ATATCAATTAAAATTCATTGTTTAAATAGCTTAAGCGCTTTATTGAATGATATCAATAGTCAACTTTTACATAAAGATCTACCAGAATACATATTAATTCACAATATCGTTTTATTTATTGAAGGATTCAAGATACCTCATGCGTGATAACGTTTTTTTTGCGGTTTGCTTCCAAGATACATAATTTTAGCTCTTAATAGAAGTTACAGCGCAATATTTTTTTTGTGTGTCATTTTAATATCTAATGTCAAAACCTCTCTTAATCTTTTGCGCTTGAAATTTAATTAAATAAAAACTTTATATTTTATGGAGGTTGAGTTTGCAGAGTGGAGCATTTTGTTGACAAGCAAGCAGTAATTCACTCAATTTGTGCGTGGAGTAAATTAATGGAAACAGCGGGAGGTGCGTTGACCAAATTTAAGGATTATGTCATGGCTCCGAATTTATGAATGGGATGCGAGCTTTTCACTCAAGTGACATCATCGCCGCGGCGGGGACTAATTTATTTAGCAAATTCGAGCAAAGAAGCGAAGAAAAGAAGGATGGCAAATTCCTGCACGTGCTCTGTGGAGCGGAAAAGGCGCCAAGCGAACAATAATCATATTTCTCACTCGGCTCTCGCGGCCGCGACTTTTGACAGGCGGCGTTTAGCGCCGTGAAATATCATTCCGCCTGCTTCCTCGATTATTCTCTCGAGAAAGAGATGCGCCGAGTGACGCATTTCCTCCTCATCTGTCTGCCCCGCGCACAGTTCACTGGACCAAGGACTCGTGACCCACCCAGCCACCCAATAAATCGCGTCTCCAAATGCAGCATGCACAAAAACGGTCCATTTCACTTGTCCTGCTTTCCCCAAAAGAAGACATGCCAATATTGTTTACAGTTAAAATAAATTTATTTCACGCTGTTTCTTCCAAATGTTTGAGGTCTAGGTCTATGTGTAAATATTTTTATTAAATTTCTAATCCATTCCATTTTCATTAAAAATACTTTCTTGCGAAAACGCTTTAAAATAACTTGAGATTATTGTTTCTTCATCTTGTTGCAAAACCGCAGCTTGCATGTATGAAAATCCCTCGGCAATTTATATTACCCTCTTCTCTTCTTCTCTCTTCAGCTCTGATTGTGCAACAGAATAAGAAATCGCCGCCAGTTTGGTTGAGAAACGCAAGAGCATCCCTCTGAAATGAGATTGGCAATAAAATTTCCAGCTGCAACTCGAACCTTTTTCACACAACAATCAGCGCGTCTGTTCGCGCATCAATTTATTTCTCAATTGCACACCAACAGGAAAAAAGGTCAATTTGTCACAGAAAAAAAATTTGGCTTCGATCCACCAATCAAAATAAAAAAATTATACGATCAAAAATTAAATTTTAGTTTGTTACGATGCACAGGCGGCGGCGTTGTAAATTTGGTCGCGACTCTTTTTCTGCGTGAATTATTATTTTTACACGCGCGCGCGCCGCTCGGTCCATTAGTGACGGGGGTCGCCGTCCCGAAACGCACCAAAAATAATTCCGTGCCAACAGCTTGGCGTGCGAAAATCTTTCTCCGCCAGTGAATCACCGGCATTTATCAAAAGCATGTGTGTGCGAAAGGGGTGCGCTTTTTGCAAGTCTGCGAACGAAATTTCTCTATGCCGGGGTTTCCCAATTCACCGAGCAATTAAAATCAACCCTTCTGAAAAGTTGAATCTGGCCGATATTTCGATTAAAATAAAGAAAAGTGCCACGACTTTTGCATATTCAAGTTCCAAGCTTTGAAAATTTTAATTTAATTTTGTACGTGAAAATAATTTATAAACTGATTTTAAAAAAGAGATTTTACGGTTTGAAATTGATATAAATTAAATCGATAATTGATTATCAAATCTAAGTAAATTTTGAAACGCAAAAGAAATAAATGTTAATTTTCGTATTTTTTTGTAGGTATTTTTTTTTATATAAAGTTAGAGATGAAATCGACTTTAAGTGGAAATAATTCAAATTAATTTGCATTTAAATATAAAAAACTAATCGTTTTGAGGAAAGCGCCTCTCTTTATTTTCGTCTAATTGATGTGCCTCGGTCGAGACCACTTATCTTTATGGAGGTTGACCAAACTCGAAGTTGATTGGCGACACGATAAATAATTCAGCACGTTAATTGGAATGAACTTTCTTTCTTTGCCTGAGAAATTATTATGATGCAAAGCCCAAATCCCCGATGGCCCTTCAATATTTCACAAGTGTTTCTCATCGGCGAGAGGAGAGGAAGTGTGAAACCGGCCGTAGATCAATTATTGCAGGGAGAAGATGCGTTTCGTAATTAATAAAAAGAGTGCACTTGTGTTGACCCAATTCGTCATTTCCCTCTCGTCAGCAAAGAGAAATGACACTCGCAGCGTTATTCCCTCTAATGTATGCAAGACGACGAAATTACGCTCTGCTGCAAATTTATGTCTTGCGTGCGTGTGTGTTCACCGTCAAGTAGGGTATGTTTGTTTTCAAAAGATATTCTCTAGCAAGGGAGTCGTATTATTTTCATTTTTTTTATACAGGATTTTCTCATTAAAACCTATTTTTTTTTTTATAAAATAACTTAATTTAACAAGATAAGGCACTCAAAACTACATTATTTTTGCCTAAAAATTTTTAATTATTTTTAATTCTACGTCAATTTAAATTTCTTCTTAATTTAAAAAAATTTCTGTTAGGCTTTTTGCTTTCTTCCTGTTTTTACCACTGTTAAATAATTTATTTTTTCTGAATGAGAAACAGGAATGTTTTAAAGGAGTGTGAATTTTTATGCTGATAGGATAACCATCAATATTTTTGTATAATTTTCAGTCGCAATTAAAAATTTAAAGAATTTCCTATTTGATCCTCTAACAATTTTGCAATACATAATTTCAAAAACAAATTGATCTTTCAAAGAGTGATATTTACAATTTTTAATAGATCCAGTGCCGTCGTCACGGTATGCAAATCATGCCCGAGAGTTAATAAAAGGTCTGTTGGTCGGTGAAATTATGACATTGGCATAAGAGGCGCGGGCACGGCACACCACTTGTACTTTCATTAAGTCTGAATTGGCCTGCGTAAAATTGTATAATTAATGGCGCGGGGCGAGCCCGGCGTAATAGAGCCTAGGGTGTCTGCGAGGAGAGAAAAAAAAACAAGGAATCCGCTGCAATTTCCTCCTTGCATATTTATTAGCCAGCGTCTAACTGGACCACTTTTGTTAAATTGAAATCGTGCGCGCGCCCCCGGCCCTACTTAAGGCCCTCCTTAATTACACCCTTGCCGAGATTAATAATTTAATTGATGGCCAAATTGGGATATGGAGTCGACGACCCCGCCAGGAAAAACTGCAATACATTAACAAATTTAATACTTATTTATTTAAAAAATAAAATTAGATTTTCCAAAATTTTCATTCAGTATTTCTGCCTTTCAAATTTTTTCCCTCTGTTTTCGTTGCAAGTTATAAACTAAAAATTAATTTTAGCACTTATAAATTTATGAAATTTAGTCATGGATTTTTTTGGTTCGGAGTCTGCGGTGTGGAGCACGCTCGAGTTGCGAGCCTCTCGTGTATTTATAAATAGTGGTCCATAATGAATGGCGAGTTGGTGTGTGCGTGAGAGAGTCTGCTGCTGCTGGCTCGGCCTGTTTGGAATAACATGTCAATGAAAGAGATGCAACTGTGTGCTCGCCGCGAAAACAGACCGCCTCAAATGAAATTTCTCACCAACGTGCTCCACTTTCGAGTTGGAGGAAGAAGTAGGAAATGAAATGCAAAATCGGCTTTTAAAAATTTCATTTAAAATCATCCGTGCTGAAACTCAAATTTAAAAAGTGAATTTTCAGACTAGAATATTTTTCAGATATTTTAACTTAAACTTCAGTCAAAAAAGTTAAAATTCCTATAAATTTTTGTTCTTGCAAATTTAATTTTATTCAACAGGTCATATTCATCAATTAAAAAATTAAACTTTTTGCATTTTAAAAATGCATTTTGTGGCTGCACATTTCATTTAACAAAATGACAATTAAATCCGTTGTTGTCCGACTCAATTACTTTAGCCGTTTTAACGAAGACAAATCAAGCAGTTTTCAGCGATTAAGATTTGAAGGAGGCGACATCTCATTTATTATATTTATGCATGCAACGTCTCCTTCTTATTCTTTCGCAACCGAAAACTGATGAGATTGTTTTCACGCTTGAAAAATTGCCTTCTTTTTAAATAAGACGCAGCTGCATATCTCGGTTCGCCAAAGCCGGTGTCGCATTTCTTTGCCTGCATTTCCCGACCACAACAATCACTCTGAAGGACGCGAGCATAAAAAATAATGCTGCAGCCGTCGCGAGGACATAAATCTTGCTCAGCCGCGCAAACGATAACTCGGCTGGACATTGCGCAACGAGCCAGCGAGGATTTAAAAAGATTTCTCTCATTTCCAAACAGCTTGTTTCAATTCAATGCTCGTCTGAAATTTTTGAGAAAAAAGATTTAAATATATTTAAAAAAAATCAATGATATTGAGTAAAATAAAAAAGAATTGAAATTAAATTGAGAAAAACTGCGAGTTTTTTCAACTAGTTATTATTCAGATTTTAATTTGTGCTCCATTGCGTTTTAGTAAAAATTTATTAAAAAGTTTAGGGACTAAAATGATGTTATTATTGTTTTTTTTTCAATTGTTACGTAACATTGTTTAAATGTAATTTTTGATGAAAGAAAATCGTTATAGAAACAGGTAGTTGTTTGTTGGACAAAACGGCACCACCACTAGCAATAATTTTGCTGAATTTTCCGACATCAAAATACCCCCATCCTCCGCAGTTCATTATACAATTAAAAAGAAACTAATTAAAATCTCTTTTCAAAATATTATGTATTAAATTGCAGTAAATAAAATTTTAATAATTATATTATTCTTAAATTCACCAAAGCCTCCATTGCAAATAGTTTTTTTATTTAGTAATTTATAATTTTTTCATGATCTGTTGCAGTTTGGCTACATCCGGACGTCCCACGGCATTTACTTCGTCGAGCCGTCCGAGTACTGGCCGCCGGAGAACGCGACTGATGTGCCCTCTAGTCCGTCGGTGATGCACGCCATGTACCCTCTGGTCGCGCCGGCCGGCGACGCAGACCAGCCGGAGGAGAGTCACTGCGCCGTACCTCACTCGCCCGCCACAGGTGCGTAACTCGACACCCTCGCTCGTTAGCCGGCGCGACTGTTAGTGAGGACATGCGAAAAGCCATTGTTGGTTCAGCCGCCACTCGCGAATTGTTTGCAAAAATGCTAAAAAAAAAATCTGAGCAAACACTCACCGAGTGCATCACTTCATGCCGTATTTATTTAAAATTACTTTAAGCAAATCATTAGGATTAAAAAATATTAAATTTCATTTCTTTAGTAGTGAAAAATTAAGTATATTTCAGTGTTAAAAATTTATTAATTTTAAATGCAAATTGCAAGTTTAATTTACTTTTTTCGAAAGAAATTGATCTTAGACAATTCTAGGTATAACGCCTTTAAAATAAGAACTACTTTTATTATTAGGTCGAAACAAATAATGGAAAATTGGATCATTTAAAAGAAAATTAAAAAGAGATTTAATTATTTATTAATAAATTCATTGTATAATAATATTTAATGATCTGATCCCTTCCTGATTTGCTTAAAGAAATTTTAAATAAATACGGCATGAACTCGGTGAGTGTTTGCTCAGATTTTTTTTAGAATTTTTGCAAAAAATTCGCTTCTCTACATCTCATTTTAATCCAAATTCGAATAGATGAGACCAAATGAAAGCGGAAGTGCGGCGGCACTTTAAAATTAATGACCTGAAGATAAAAATCCGCGTGTGTCACTTGCGTGCTTAATGAAAGCAGGCGCGAAGTTCGTAATCCCGCCGCAGCAATGGAAGGCCATCAAGGTGGTACTGCTCGAGTGCCAGAGCGACCATTTATTTCATGCCATCCGACCTTGCCCGCGGCTCCGCGCACTTCCCGCTCATCAGCCGCGCTAATGACTGCTTTTTACTTTTCGCAACTTTGTACCTTCGATCAGAGTAAGAGAGAGACTGAAAAAATAAGCGGCCGGCCAGGTGCGGACGCATGACATAATCTCCCATTCCGCTTGCACTTTTTTGTCCGCATTTCGCACCTTCACACGGATATAAGTGTGCAAAAAAATTAATTTCTTGTCATGCTGCACGTGGGAACTTCACATGAAAGAGTTCGTCTTCCAATTTAATGGGAAAAGGAAATAAGAAGGGTTAAGTTCATTTTTTGAAACCAAGTGATCAATGGAAATTTAGGTAAAAAAAAGATAAGGTTGATTCAATAATTCAAACGATGTGATTGTACAAATATGGATTAACTTTCTTGATAACTTTCAATTAATCAAAAATTGATTATAAAACTATCGTTTTCATACTAAAAAAAAATTTATTGTGAGAAAACACGTTTTTGTATTGTTTATTTTAACTTTGAAAATAACTTTTGATATACCAATTTTATTCTATTTCTGTCAAGTCTTTTTTCAGCAAATTTGCTTTTTAAAATTGGAGTTTGACGTTGCTGGGAAATCCAGGCACTTTGGGCGTCTCGCACATTTATCGCGATCCGCCGCAGACGCATCTCTCTTGGCACAACGACAGTTACCCGCGCCCGTCAGTAAATTTAATTAAAACCCACAAAGCATCAAAGTTGACCAATTAGAAATAAAATTAAAGAAACCCCAAAGTCACGCACCAGTAGAAAAAGCGCAGAAAAAATTGTCTCATTAAAATTTGCCGGCGGATCAGCCACAAAATCGCGCAGGCCTAACGAGCATCACCCTTTAATTTTCGCACACAATCAATTTGCTGCATCTCTTTCGGCGCGGCGGCGTCTCTTCTGCGGAGAGAAAAAGCGCGCGCGAGATGATGAGTGGAGAGAAACATATACGTGGTGTATATGAAAATAGATAGGAGCAGGTGTTTCGCTTCGGGCGGTGGATAATACTACTGGCCTATCTAAACAGCTCTCTCGCAGCGAGTAGAGAGAAAAAATCTCCGTCTCTCTCTTCCGCCGCCGCCGAGATTTTCGCCCGTTTTTTCTCAGACTGCTTGGCGACTGCGAGACTTGTGTGTATTCGCGACCGTGACGTAATCCGCCGTCACACACGCCAAATCAAACACACTAATTTTCCTTTTTTATGCACGAGACGTGTGTGTCCATCTTCCTAATCGTGCGGCTCGATCTCTGTTGTGGATCTACCACATAAACAAAAGAGGAAAAGGATACAATATTATCTATTTTTTTTTTAATAAAAATATTTTTCTTATGTAATTTTTTTCGTCCAATTTTTACGTCACATTGTTCATAAAAAATTTTACAAATTATGTTTTTCTTTAAGTAATCGGAGTTAAATCTTTTGTTATATTGATTTTTATAGTTTCGTTCATTAAAATCACTTTTATTTTCTTAATTCTTAATTTTATCTTTTCAAAGGTTGACATGAATTTTTAAAGGATATTAGTAGTTTTGAGCCGTCAACTCTTTTCTCTGTAAAAATATAAGATGAATCTTAAAATTAATGATATCATTGTTAATTTCTTGATTAGCGTGGGATGGAAGCTTGTTTTAATATATTATTGTCTTGTATTCGTTTCATTAAAGTGTACCATTTTGAACCAATTTTTTTTTTAAATTAAAAAACTATATAAAGTTAATTTATTTTTATTACATTCTATTTATTTTAAATCTTTTTATAATAATTTGTCTTGCTGAATATTGGATCGTTCAAAAAATAGTGAAAATCTGGAACTATGCAACCCGACGACACAAATGTCAAGCAGGTTGCCTATTCTATTGTGATATTGTTTGCCACAGTTGTCCGTGTTTTTCAGTTCCTATTCAGTATTCTAGATCGCTAATTGAAGCTTTATTGATCAAAAATCTTTTAAATAAATCTAAAAATTGCAAATATTTTCAAACTACTTTACTAACTAAACGTTTTCTAAAATATAAAAAAAAAATCAAATTATTGAAACTCGATAAATTTTTATAATTAATTGAACCTTTGTGCTTGAAAGTCACAATCGTGCTGAATCACCTCTCACTAATCACTAATTATAAAATAATTTAAAATTGAATTTTTTTCCTCTCTCACGTCCGCCTAATGAGCTGCAGATGGACGCGGCGCGATAATAATGGGCGGCCAGAGATTATTTAATTAAAATGGCTGAGCAATGGAATTCTTTGGCGGCAGATCGGAATTCGATGCCGGACGCAACAAACAACAAATTTCCCTCCGCGACAGCAGATGGCGAGGAAGAAAAAGGCCGGACGAGCTAATGAACTCGCGGCGGATTTGGAATTCTGTCCCTCTGATTTATGCGCGCATTCCGCTCGCAATGAGATGGATCTCGTCGTGCGTTCAATTGTTGCACGTGTTCTCTCCAATGGTTTTCTTTTGTCGTTCACCGCCGGGCAATCTGATTGATGATTCCGAGAGAGCCGCAAACCCGATTCAACAAGCGCAGCCAAAACAAATGACCAATCAAAATCACAATAAATCGAAAATTAAAATTGGTTTTTTTTAATATTTTGTTTTTATTTTATGAAATTAAATTTTAAATTATGAAAATTCTGTATGCCTCATTTCAGATCACGTGGATGACCAGCCTCAAGATGAAGAGAATTCAACCCACCATCGTGTTTCTAGATCATTACTATCGTACTACTACGCAACAAAACCACCGGTGAGTCTGCTCGGCTGTAAAATTTATGAACTAGACAAACAAACCGGCAGCTGCCAGACTTTTTACTTCCTTATTTTCGTTTCTGCGCCCCAATTTTTCTTGGAAATATTATCTCGAAAAAGATTTTTATGTAAATTTTTCTGGGTGATCTGCAGGGCTCCGTATCAAAGCAGCTGTACATAGAAGTCAAAGTTGTGACTGATCGCAAAATGCACGAGTATCACGGCGACGGCCTCACGCAATACGTCATGACCCTCATGTCAATCGTGAGATTTTTCCAATTTTATATTCAAATTTTGCTAATTGAACATTCTGAGTAGGTTTCATCGCTTTTCAAAGACGCGAGCATCGGCAACCACGTCAACATCAAAGTGGTGGACATTGAGAATTTGGCGGACACGTCGTTTTTCGCCTCGTCCGACGTGTACTGGAAGAGCAAGTACAACTCAAATGACGTGTGGGCCACCGAGATGCTCAAGAAGTTTTGCATTTGGCAAAATGAGAATCGACACACCAGGGACAGAACAAGGCAGTATGACACAGCCCTGCTCCTCACAAGGTACCAATAAACTTAAAAATATTTTTTATTGATTTCTTAAAAAAAATCCTTTTAATTGGATCGAAATGAATATAAATTGATGCAAAATAAAATTTGCAACAATAAAGAAAATAAGGGTTTTAAAATAACATTTTTAGGATTTGCAATAAGTAATTTTCAAAGACTGTTAATTTTTTTATTTTCTTGAATGAGAAAATGGGAAAATTCCTAAATGAAGTATCTCTCCAGAGTTGAAGAAATTATGAAAAAAATTCTGCAACAATTGTTTTCCTTGCTCATAGAGAGAACCTGTGTCGGTACAACAACCTGACGAGCTGCGGCACCCTGGGCCTGGCCGAGGTGGGCGCCGCTTGCAACCCGAAGAAGAGCTGCTCGATAGTGCAGGACAACGGGCTGAGCGCCGCCTTCACCATCGCCCACGAGCTTGGACATGTGTAAGTATTAATTGATTTGACGAGTGAGTTGTCAGACGATAATTCGCGTGTTGAACATAAAACAGGCTGAATATGAAGCATGACAACGACAACCAGTGCAAGCGCTTCATGGAGCCCAAGAGCAGACACTACATGATGGCGCACATGCTGGGCGAGAACACCTTTCCCTGGGAGTGGTCCAACTGCAGCCGCCACTATCTCACAGAATTCCTCGAGTAAGTTCGTTCCCACACTCTCTGGGTGGTTTCCTTTTTTCTTTCAAATAAATTTAACTTAATTGTAAAGGGCAGAAACAATTTCTGTCAATTTAAAAATAAAATACATTAAATTTTTGTGAGATAAATGTTTAATTTTTAATTAATAATGTTATTAACTTATTTTAAAATAACATTTAAATAGCCTTTAATTTTATTTTACATTTTTTTTTTTAATAAATTGTTGGGAAATAACATTTCTTGCTTAAACATTACTTTTCAACTTCAATCACATTTGGAAAATGTTTGATTCTATAAATCTCAATTTTTTTGGGAGAAAAAGATTCTTTTGTCACCAGTTTTATTTTTGTTATTAATGATGATTCTCAGGTCAGGTCAGGGTTATTGTCTGGAAAACGAGCCACACCTGGAGCTTCCGCTGAGCGTCGATTCAAGTCTACCTGGGGAAAACTTCAACCACAACCGGCAGTGCGAGATGCTCTACGGCCCTGGGTCGCGGATTTGCACGTACATGCCGTCTTGCAACTCTCTGTGGTGCAGCCAGGCGCAGTCGGACGAACAGAACGGCTGCCTCAGCCAGCACATCCCGTGGGCCGACGGCACCATGTGTGCCCACAACAGCTGGTGCCAGAAGGGCCGTTGCGTTCCCAAGAACAGGGAGGCGCTCACCCCCAGAGACGGCGGCTGGAGCACTTGGGGACCGTAAGTTCCTTTTTTTAATTATCTTCCTTACAAGCATTGAAATTTAGGAATCAAATATTTAAAATAGAAAAATTTTTCATTTTGTTATTAAATTGTAGGATTAATTAGAATTTTTTTTTTAATTTGAGCTTTTTTACTTATTGTCTATTACATTAAAAATATATTGCTCATTTTTTAGTGGCATTCAGCAAAAATTAAATAAGAGGTAAATAATTTTAAAAGCCAATATTTTATTCCTCTGATCTCCCATCTTTTTTTTCAAAAAAGGCTTGATAATTTCCAATATTGATAAAATTGTTGTAGTTTCGGTGTGTGCTCCCGTTCTTGTGGTGGAGGAATCAAACAGGCAAAACGAGAGTGTGACAATCCTCGTCCAGAAAATGGCGGAAAATACTGCATAGGGGAGAGGGTGAGGTATCACTCATGCAACACCCAGGACTGTCCATACAACCAGAAGGACTTTCGAGACCAGCAGTGCAGCAACTTCCGTAAGGGCTACGGCGAGGGAAAGTGGATTGCTAAGTACTTTTGTAAGTTTTTTTTGTATTCTTTATGATACATTTTCGCTCATTTTTCTTATAAAAATTAAGCAACGGCTGAGGACCAGTGCAAGTTGTACTGCAGACAGGGCACCGATTTTCAACACCTGTTTGCAGAAAAGGTGGTCGACGGCACACCCTGTTCTCCGAAGACCAACGACATCTGCATCAATGGCAAGTGCCATCCTGCCGGTTGTGACCACATTTTGGGATCAAACAAAACTTTGGGTAGAAGAGAAATTTATATAATTTATTTTGGTTTTAATTTTATTTTATAAGATTCTTGTGGGGTTTGCGATGGTGACAATTCTACATGCACAATGGTTACTGGGACGTACAATGGATCAATTCCAGAGTACCAAAAAGTCGTTGAAATTCCAGCCGGATCCACCAGTATTTTTATCAAGCAGACGCCTCTCTATTATGCAGATGTTACTGCAGGAGACAATATCCATCTAGGTACAAATTTAATTTGTTTCTCATTTATTTATAAAACGAGTTGAATAATGCAAGATTTTTATTTTTAAGTAATTATGGACTTGAATTTGTATTTGAATTTCAAATTTTTAGTATGCTCATATTTTTGATTAAATTATGCTTAAAGAATGATTAATGATTAACTCTTAGCTTAACCTAAACTAAGGAATATTTAATTAAATTAATTTTTATTCCGCAAAAATAATGTAAAACTTGTGATATGTAACTAAAATTTGAGGAGAAGTACAATTCAGGTGTGTGACATTAACAGCCTGCTAGACAGGCATGAATCTGATGTGGTGCCATTTTCGCAGCGCTCAAACTAAAGGACACGGGTCAGTACATTCTGAACGGCAACTTTAACATCCGGCCTTACGCCACCAGACTTCTGGACGCCGGCACCCCTATCAGCTACAACGGCGCCCGATCCTACGTCGAAATCATCAACTCGACTCTTGAGTCGCTCAAAGTCGCCATCATACTTGAGGTCCAACTTGATTTTCTTCAACTTTAGAATCAGGAAAAGTAAAATTAACTCAAATTTGCAGGTGTTCATTGCCGGGACCCCTGTGGCGGCCAACGTCGAGTACCAGTACATGGTGCACTTCCCATACATCTGGAAGCCGACCTCAGACTGGTCCACCTGCCACAAAACTTGCTTCAGTGAGTTCTTAAAAATACTTGAACTAAATTTTTTCATCAACTTTATTGTTGAAAATAAGAGCAAAGATCACTGGGGTGTTTTGAAAGACGAACCAACATTGAAGTGGATAAGTACCTGTGCAACAACTCAACCCAGGAGAAGCCCCAGACCAAGAAAATATGTAACCTGTCACACTGCAAAATTTAGTAAGTACTATTAATTATTTAAATTAACAAAATTTCAAAAGTGTGCTGATATTTTACCTGATATTTGGAATTGTTAGCTGTTGAATATTTCGCTTCGGAACAATTTACCTAAAATAATAAAAACATGCAAATCTACATTTTTAGTAATTAAATTTTTTGTAAAATTTAGCTGGAAAGGGAGCCGGTGCATCCATTTGATCAACAACTATGAGAAGGAGGTGGACAAAAGGTTCTGCGAAAAGGTCAAAGCTGTGCCCAGATTCTTCAAACCAGCAGCCTCTACCTACAGATGGGAATATGGAACTTGGTCTGAAGTAAGTCTAGATTTAATCCATAATTATAAATTGATTCATTTTGCATTTCAAAGTGTGGCGTCGGCTGCAATCCCGGGAATCAAACCCGAAGCGCCAAATGCCTCGGCTACAAAAACAGGTACTTGCCAGACCAGTACTGCCCCCCTCTGAATCCAATCGACACAGTGAGGATGTGCGAAGTCTTGTGCTATAGTGTGTGGAAAACTGGCGACTGGACCAAAGTAAGATCAATTAAAATTAATCTTAGAATTAATTTTAAACTTGTCGATTCCAGTGCTCTGCCAAATGTGGAAGTGGCTACCAACGGAGGTCTGTTTGGTGCGAGTTGGACGGCTTCAAAGTAAACACGGAGCAGTGTCCAGGCGCAGAACCTTCTTCGCAGAGGGAGTGCGTCCAGCCAGCTTGTGGCTATTGGAAAACTGGACCATCCTCAGTTGTGAGTAACTGCTACACTAATTATAAAACCAAGCCACAAATTTGTGGTAAAAATTTTGTTTAGAAGAAAAATTGTATATTTTTCTGATCCAAGCCATCTCTATCATCAATTTTCCAAAATTTAAAATGTGGCATGAGTGTGGTTGGAGATTTGAACTATGAGAGTTGATCAGAAAAATAAAAAATGAGAAAATGCTCACTAATTTTTTATGAAAAGCGTTGTAAATTAGTGAGAAAAAAATATTTAAACATAACTTTTTAACTAGACAGACGATTTCAATTTTTTTAGACATTCAAGTGACACGATTAAATTTTCGGACCTTGATTAGATTCTAAAAATTAAAATTTTCTCCCTGCATCCAAAAATATACTTCTTAAAGTTTGACACTGAAAAATATTAAATAAAAATCAGTGTTTTCGGGCAAAATATTGATTAAAAACAGACTTTTTTAATATGTCTTTTAATTTCAAAGAATTAGATCAGCCAATTCAAATTTATTAATAGAAGGGTATGCAACCTGCCACTCACATGTGTTGTGCATGCAGTATTATTTTGTCACTTTTCAATTAATAGCTCACTTTTCCACAAGTGAAATGTTTGCTGCTTCTTTCACTTTGTTCCGCAGTCGTTTTGCATGTTGTGTATGTATGTGTTTGCAGTGTTCGGTGAGTTGTGGGGCCGGCGTGGCGCAGCGGCAGGTGGTGTGTGTTACCGACGGTGGGGCAAGCGCCGCTGACGAGTCTTGCGCCCACGTGGACAAACCGGCCAACGTGGTGCCGTGCACGATGCCTGACTGTCCCACGGTGTGTGTCAATAATCGCGTGCCATACTTTTGTCGCCGACGGCCAAATTTCTAGAATACTCTCTTTCCGTTTCAGACAACCGTCAAATTCAAAAGTCACAACTCGAGCGACCTGATGGCAAAGAATGTCATCGTGCCGGCGCACTCGCCCCTGCAAATTGCGTGGGTGGACGGCGAGTGGAGCGAGGTTTGATAATTTTGTATCTTTCTGTATATATGAATTTTTAAAAAGATTATAAAATCAGTAGGAAATTCAAACTTTAAAAAAAAAATGCAAAATTATATTTAGTTTTGCGATCCTGAAAAATGAGCATCAAATTTTTTAATTTTTTTCATTAAAATCATAAAATCATTCACGGTCAAACAACTTACATAAAAATTAAAATTCCGCAGTAGAGGAAAATTGTTAAAGATTGATTTTTTTAATAACTAAATTTGGCCTTTCAATGTTTCCTGAATTACAAAAGATGGCTGATACTTTGGAAACTTTAACAATCAATCAATTTTTAGTCGAATTTTTTTTAATAAAAAATTTATCTTTTACACAACTAGAGCTGCGATCTCCAAAGTGTGCTTTTAATTATATATTTTAATATTAAAGTTTACGGGTTCTATAACTGATTTTTTAAACTTTCTGTTATGCCTATAAGATGTATAAAACATTTATTTCTTTTTTAAATCTTCCTTTGATGAAGTTAAATATTTTCAATTTTGAACTACAGTGTTCGGTGAGTTGCGGCAAAGGTTACAAGAGGAGAATAGTGCAGTGCCTAAATCTGAACAGCAACGATGTTCTTTCCGATGCCCTGTGTGAGCAGTTGTCTTCGAAACCCATGACCCAACACACATGCTCTCACACATGTGGCACTTGGCGGCCCAGAGAGTGGCAACCTTGCTCAGCCACCTGCGGAAAAGTACACAATTTTTTTTTTTTTTTTTTATTTATTTAAGCTTTTTCGAAAAATCATATTCCAAACATTAAGATCCAATGCAGAGCATTTAATTTGAGTAAAGCTTAAATTAATTATTTAACTTTTTTAAATTATCTCTTTCAACTTAAACTATATGAAGTGTTCATTCTGAATTTTAATATTTTAAATCAATTTAGGGAATGATGAAGAGACAGGTGGTTTGCGAATCGGAATGGGGTCGGCTGTCCCTGCCGGACACTTCTTGCGGCAACCAGGAGAAACCCGTGAGCGAACATTCTTGCGAACTGAAGCCATGCACCATGGTGTTCCACCAGCAGGAGCGCAAGTGGTCCACCGGCTCTTGGGGCGAGGTACTTCCACTCACTTGATGTTGCAAATTTTCTATTTCGTCTGATTGCCAGTGCATTGTGGTGAACAAGGACTGCGGCGTGGGCACAAGGAGGAGACAGGTCAGGTGTCTGCATGGGGTGTGTGACGGAGACGCGCCACCTGACATTGAGCCCTGCGTCATCCCCTGCCGGAATGCCAGGTGGAACTTTGGAGAGTGGGGCGAGGTATTCAAAATTTTCTTTTCTAGAGTGTCTCATTTTTTTTTAATATATCCTTTTTTTATTTGAGCTGATAAATGTTCTAATAAATTTTTAAAGAAAGTTTCCTTAATTTTTGGTGGATTTTTAGGAATTTATTAAAATTTTAATGTATAAATGCTTAGGGTTACTAAAGACTTTAAAGGGATGAAGTTTTGTCTATATCCTGGTTTATCGGGATTGAAAAATAACAATTATTAATATTTCAGTGTTCACGTCCGTGTGGGACAGGACACAAGTACCGGCTCGTGCGCTGCCAGTCTGTGGACGGCCAGTTTTTGAATGAGGAAGAATGTCCGGTGGGCGAGCGCCCGACCAACAAGCAGGAGTGCAACACCCACAGGTGCAACGGTTACAGGTGGAAGGTCGGCGCCTGGGAGCAGGTCAGTTTTTCAAAATTTGATCAATTCTGCCAATTAAAAAAAAACTGCAATTAACTTATGACGAATTTAATAATTTAGAAGAAGAATCTCATTAACTTGGTCTCAAGATGAATGGCTTACGAGCTGAGCTATAGGTGGCGGTTTAATTAAAAAGACCGACAAATAAGTGACTTTTATTTTTCTCATTCAAAATTGAGACGAAAAACTAAAATTGATACATATATATAATTTGCAAAATAAAACGTGAGATGAGTTTTTGGATGTTTTGAAAGAGGTTGCTGCAGCGTGCCTGTGTATTTATTGCTTTAGTGCTCTCTGCGGTGCGGCCGCGGCGTGAAGCGGCGGACGGTGCAGTGCGTGAGCAGCGGCAAGGGTGCGGTTGAAGACTTCCACTGCTCGGGACGCAAGCCGCCGGACACACGATTCTGTTTCAAATACCAATGCCCGTACTCGTGGCAAATTGGAGACTGGTCTGAGGTACCCTCAGCGGCTTGACATTTAAGACATATCCCCACAAAAGCAATATCATTTTTTCATTTCCCCCCAGTAGAACTGTTGCCTGCAACCCGCACTACAAAAATTTTCTTTTGAAGGACAACACTTGCAATTTTTTAATCCTGAAATTTGACAAAATTTTGTGGCCGACGTCAAAAATTTTATTGAAAACTTATTTGGAATAATGGCTACAATTTTAGAATGGTTTTGTTTTGGCTGGAAAATGCGGATTGCCAGATTTTATTCCTTTTCTATGTGACTTTTTCCATTGCAATTTTGACGTCACCAAATAAAAATTTGTTAACTTTATCATTCAGGAATAAAAAATGTATCATTGTGATTTTTTAATTTTTTTCTGTAAGTCCCATGGACTTACTTTTTAAAAGTTAAAAGATCTCGTGCAAGAAGTGTAACAATTTTAAAATTTTTTACTTTTGTTGTGCGGGTAGCAGATAAATACGCAAATCTCAATTGGCTTTTTTAAAAATGCATGACTGTCGTTTTTGAGGTTGCTTTTCATTATTTTTTGGTAGAAATTTTCTTCTTTAGCATCCTCTCAAAATTTCAACCGGGCTTTTTGCTGACAATAAAATTATTTTCTTAAATGTCTGTGCCTCCTAAATTCGCTGCGTTTGTTCTCTACAAGGGCTGCATGCATTGCGGTTTGCAGGTTTTCATATTGTTTTTCAGTAGAATGTCGCATAATTTTATAATACTGATGCGGTAGATGCGCGCGGCTGCTGTCGCCACATTTGTTAAAAAATTGGTGCTGCGCTGCTTTCGGCTTTCGTATGGTGGCGGATTCATGCTAATAATTTAATACCAAAAATGTCTTCCGTTAAATCAGGGGAGTCGAAAAAATAAAATTGTTCAACTCTCTTGCTAAATTATTGTTAACAGGTGCTGGCTTTAATTCAACATAAAATTTCCCAGGCTAAATGTGTGTCGTGCATATTCATAAAAAAAACTCCTCAACTAAATCAACTTTTTTTTATTTTGTGTATAATGATTAAAATGTGTCGCTGGTTTTAGGAGAAAAACAAAACAAACGTCTTGAAATACATTTTTATTCTCGCATGCTAAAACATTATTTATCAAATCATATATTTGCAAACATTGAAAGGAATTAGATTTTTTCACTAAAATAACATGGTAAATTTAATATTTCAGTGTTCGTCAACGTGCGGTTCTGGTGTGCAAACGCGGCAGGTGACCTGTCACAAGGTGGTCGGGCTGGGTTGGCTTGAGCCGAGCAAAGTACCTGACGGGCAGTGCTACAATTTGGAAAAGCCGGCCGCCACTCAGGCGTGTCACCTTGATTCCTGTTCTTTGCAGTACCACTGGATGACCGGACCGTGGAAGCCAGTGAGTGTCCAAAAATAAATGAACAAATAAACAAAATCTATATTATCAGATATTAAACGATTTAAACTCTAATTAGTCCAATTCATTAAAAAAATTAATTAAAATAAAAATTGCATTAAATAAAAGAAAAGTTCAATTGATTAAACTTTCAAATCATGGATAATTTTATCAAAGAATTTGTACTTGGGTTGACTTAGGTATAAAAAAATTGCTCAGTTGTAAGATGACCGACCTATAAAAAAGATAAAATCTCTTACAAATTTCCAAGACGATTCCAATGGTTTTTATTAATTAAATTAAATTAATGATGGACAGGAGTTTCAAATGTTTAATAGGAGAAACTTTTTCTTATATTTTCGAACCTTAAGAACAGCCTTAGAAGCCTTAGTTTTTATAAGTTTTTTTCTTTTGATAAACGTCTTCTGCAAACTGTGTACAAAAAATTGATTCCCAATCCAATTCTCAACTAGAGGGATGCATGCTAATCGACTAAAATTAAATTACTATAAATTAAATTATTAAAAAAAAAAATATATGTATTTCTTTTAATAGCATTGTGTATGAAAAAAATTGTAACTTTAACAAACTTCAATTTTAGTCATAACTGGTGAAAAAATTTAAAAAAATGTATTATTTTCACAAAATGTAAAATTTACAAATTTTTGAAAATTGCAGTGCTCAGCGGTGTGCGGGAAGCGCGGCAAGAAGCGTCGCGCCGTCCACTGCGTGGGCCACGACCGCCTTCGAGTGCCCAACAGTTTCTGCCGCCAGGACAAGGTGCCGGCGCGCAAGGCTAAGTGCAACGTGATGCGCTGCCCTGGCCCGTCGTCATGTCGCGAGGTCAAGTTCCTGCACCGACACGTGGCCACTGATGGCACGTACACACTCAACTTGTTCGGAATGAATGTCAGCGTTTACTGCCACGAGATGACCTCGCACAACCCCAAGGAGTACCTCACCCTGCCCACCGGCGAGATGGAGAACTATTCAGAATTCTACCACCTCAGGTACGGCAATTTCTTTTCCATTTCTAAAGAAATTATAATTGTGAAAGGACTGAACTGCAATTTTGTGTTTAGTTCCAAAATTTTAAATTAATTTTTAAATAAAATTATTTCAAAAATTTTCTCCACACTGATACATGGCAAAAGTATTAACTTATCGCTTTAAAGTTTGGAATAAATAATAATAATTAATATATTTATTTCATTTCAGTTTGAAAAATCCTAACACTTGTCCGCTCGACGGCAAGAGACTGGAAAAGTGCGACTTTTGCTACGAAGAGAAGAAAGGCCTGTCAGGCACGACCGTCTTCACCAAGATCCGGTTCAATCCGCAATCACTCAAAGTCACAAGTAAAAATTATCATTTTTCCTGTTGTACTGGTTTTTATCGAATTCATTTTAGGGGATGACTTCACGTTTGCTCGTCTGATAAGGGGCAGGAAATACATCCCCTACGGCGAGGCGGGTGATTGTTACAGCAACGTCCTGTGCCCTCAGGGCAGGTTCTCAGTCAACCTGTCAGGCACGCCCTTCAGGGTGTCTCCCACCACTGGTTGGATCAGCAATGGGGGTTCCATGGACCAACACCCTGACGAGGTATTTTAAATTACTGAATTTAATTTTGTTGTAATTTGTCTTTTGTGAATAAAATAATTCTAGATTTAATTGATTTTATAATGCTTATTTTTAACTCTTATTGCAGCGATCATTATTAAAAATAACTTGGAAAAAAATTATTGTGAATTAAATTTTCGTGTATTTTTAATATTTCAGGAACACCAAAAGGTGTGGGGAAAATGTGGTGGCAACTGCGGCACGTGCAGCCCGCGCAAAGAGACTGGACTGAAGTTGGAGCTGCTGTGGCCGGACAGACACTTGAAGCACCACGGACGATGGAGACCGAGTTAACCCGACTGGGACACAGCGTCAAAGTCCAACAGGCCGCAAAAGCTGTGATTCTTTCAAGCAAACTGTTGAGATTTTTTTCGGCTTGAGAATCTCGAGATGGCCCAAAAAAATGTAAACAAAATTTGAGAGGTCGATTTTGTTGGTGCGAAAAGAGAGAAACGGAAAAGACACTCGAGTCAGAGAAGAGGAAGTGCAGGATGAAGTAAAAAAAAAATCAAAAATTTGTTTTTCCACCGAGGCGTCTCTCCTTTTCTGCAGTGCATTTATTACTGTTAGTATCTATATCAGGAGGAGTGGTGGATCTGGAGAAGGATTGATTTTTTTCGCCTTAATTTATTTGTTGTTGTACATTTTTTTGTCACCATGTGTTATTTTTAAGTGATGCCATAAACAAGATATAATTATACAAATTAATTGCCACATAGATAAAATACCTCATTACACTCACAAAACCACAAGCGAAATAGTTCATTTTTTGCGCACCAGTACACAATTTATTATGACGACTTGATACATCTCGTAACTGCCAGGATTTTTGTTCAGCGATTTCAGTGTTCAATTTTTTGTGTAGCTTTTAGCGAGTAAGTTTCGGACACCAGAGAATATAATCGAAAGTATTTTCTAATCAAAGTTTAATTTATTATGCACATCACAAAAGAGTTTTTGGCATACACTGTTGTAAAGAAAATCTTTATTGTTTATTATTGTCTATTGCGAGGAACGCGCGAATCAATATATTTTGCAAGAAGGAAAGGCTGACACTCGAACTACGAAGTTTAGTGTGTATTTTTTCTATTTTGTAAACACGGTTTTGATTCTCAACAGAGGAAATTGCATTTTTGCGAGCGCAGAGAGAACTTTTTGTATTAATATATAGTATAATTTATTGACTTTTCGATGTAATATATATTTTGGACAAGAGTGTGTGCGAGACGAGTGAGGATTTAATTTTTTTGAGAATGAGAGATGAATGTGATGTACAATACTCTCTAACCCAGCTAACTGAGACGTACTTTGGAAAAATAACTCGTACGTACCTTTAGTCCGTAGATTCACTGCCAATACTTTGTACTGCGTTGTGTTGAAGAAGAATAATTTTGATTTTTCGAGCAGCATTAGAGACGTTTGATTCGACCTCGGTGCGATATTGAGCTGTCGCGTCCACTATTAATGTGATTCATAATTGTTTAACCTCCAACTTTTGTTATTTGCAACAACAGCCATATGAGAGCGTAGTAGTTTGTAACTTGCATATATTTCAGTTGATGAAACAAGAATCCCTCCTCAACGTAATTTTAAGGACAGAAACTCGCCGTTCGTGTAGAAACATTTGATCGTAGCGCGTCAAGTTTACAAAAAAAAAATGCTTCTATTTCCAATCAATAATAAATTATGATACTTTCAAACTTGATACTTTTGAGCATTATTAATTATGTATCCTCAAACAATCGTCATTATTATCATTCAAAAATTTAAAAATCTGAATTTGTTAATATTTATTTGTGATATTTTTTTGCTCATGAAAGGGTTGCAGACCGTGACTTATACTTATAGAGCTCAAGTCGAGCTGTTTTTATTTTTTCATAGTAAAAAGTTTATCAACAAGGACTGTGTTTCCATATCTTCCAAATGAAATAAATTGAAATATTACGGTGTCAAAATAATCCAAGAATGGTAATAAAATAAGACAATTTTTGTTTTTTTAAAAATGCATCATTTTTTATTTTGGCTTCATATGCACATGTTTCATTTTATAATAACGTGAAAAATGTAATTCTCATTAAAAAATTGCCAAAAAGTCTGATGTAACATTTGTCTGTCCGCGAGGGACACGTTATTTTGTTGTTGGAGTGGCGCCCCCTCCCGTTTTTGCCACAATCAAAGGGGGGGCCCGTCTAAGTTGTTTGGTCAGAGCGACTCATTGATGGTTTCTTTGCTGCTGTAGTAAGTAGTTGTTGTTGTGTGTGTGTGTGTGAGATTGTGTGTGTGAGTGGGAAATGCAAATGTTTTCTTTTTTTTTCTTTCACATCAAGTCGTCTTCTCTTCGGAAGAGACCAGCTAGGTGGGTAGCCATTTGTCGAGAGAAACGAAATTATTATTTCAAAACGCCATTCCTTTTCCAGCTGATGGAATCATCCAAGGACGGCTGCTTTTATGCTAATGTCGGTGTCAAACATGTGCATCAGGTCATGCCAAAACAATATATCCGTATTTTTGCTGCTTGCTTTTTTTGGGAGAAACACATCTTAGTACAAAAAACGAGCGAGCATTTTAAGCTTTTTGTTTCTTAATTCTGCGTTTGCATTTTTCTTTCACAACGTGACCTAATTACTTCATTAAGTTTTTTTCTTCTTGTTTTTATTGTTTTAATTACTTTATCCGTTCTCAAGTTGACTTGGGTTTGAACATAAAAAGGAGATTCGTGGATTGATTCTCAAGTCTCGTGTCACTTACATGATGGCTGCGGCTTTTCTTTTTTTACTATTTTTTTCTTTTATCATTCTTTTGTATTTAGTTTTAATCAATCACATTAAACACTTTACCAAGTTTTAAGACCAGATATTAACAAGCAAGGTACATTCTCAGCATTATTGCACTAAACATTGTACAACTGATGCGCGCCGGCCATTTGTCAAAAACTGCGTGAATTGATTACAATGATGGAAACAAACGAGATTGCAATCAATCGAGAAACCGAGGTGTTAAATTACTCGCCATCATCAATTCTAAGGTTACCATTTAAAATACTTTGTGTCTTCATGCACTAAACACAAACCGATGTTATTAAAGAGAAGGAAAACGGCTCAACTACGTGTTTTCATTAATTAATTAGAGGTATGACCTTTGCAGATTGGGTTTCATCTTCTTCTTTAAGCACTGCTCTCTGTGGTGGTCGTGTTCTGTACTGACTGCCCAGATGGCTCCTGCAATGCAAAAACTTCATTTAGAATTTCAATCTTCAAGAACATGAAAAAATTAGCAAAAATCTTCTATTAATGCTTGGAACATTCATTTTCTGTTAAAGATTATGATTTATATGAACGAAAAATAACAATTAATTGTTTATAAATTCTTTCACCAAAAAAGTAGGATCTAATAAAAACATTCATTGGCTTTGAGCTAAAAGTTATGTTTCAGAATAAATATGGGAATTTGATTGTAAGCTTTACTTTTCAAATTAATTTTTAAATCAGTCATTTATAATTTAACTAAATTAAATGAACTTAATCAAAGTTGAATCAATTATTACATAAAGTGAAACTCGTCTATATCTGAGCAAAACTGACCTTGGTCTTCTCTCCGCCCTCACTCTGGCTGTTGCGAGCAGAGCCTCCCTTGCTTTGGCGGTTGCGACGGAAGCGGCCGCGGCCTCCGGCACCCCTCGGGGGGCCTGCGTTGCCGTTGGTGGCGCCGCCGTCCTTGGACTCGCCCTCACTGGTGCCTCCTTCACCGCTCTGGGTCCTGGGACGCTGGGGACGTCCGCCCCCACCAGTGCCACCAGGGCCTCCGCGCACGTTGCGTCGGAAGAAACGTCCGCGCGGTGCGCCACGTCCACGACCGCCGCCACCTCCCCTCGGCGGCCCTCCCTTCTCGCCGTCCTTGTCCTCACCCTGAAAGTCGCCCTAGAGTTGAGTCGGAAGATTAATAAAAGGAAAAACCAAGGAGAACGCAACTTAAATCTACCGAATTAAAACTAATCAAAAGCTCAAAAAATTAAAATTTTTACAGTTCCTTATAAATCAAAAGAATAATGCTTAAATTTGAAGTAAAAATTATAGGAAATTAGAATGATATCTGAAATAAATTGCTGAATTTGAAAATTTGCTTAGACTGACCCCCTCAGCTGGCTGACCATCTCCGCGGGGTCCGCGGCGGGGCCGGTTGTTGTAGTAGTTGGGGTCGAAGCGGCGCCTGGGCTGGCGACGCTGGTTCTTCTGGTCGCCGCCGCTGCCGTCCTCCTTGTTCTCGCCGGCGCTCTCATAGTCACCGTCCTCCTCCTGGTTGTCGCCGCGCCGGTACGACTCCTTGCGCGGAATCACCCACTGGCGGTAGCCGCGGCGCTTGTCTGCCGCGTACGGAGACCCCTTGACGGGCTCGCCTTCTGGCCCGGTCACGTTGGCAGCCTCGTTGCCCTTCTCGCCGATGACCACGTCGAACTCGACAACCTCCCCGTCGCCGACACTACGAACCGCCTTCTTCGGGTTGTTCTTTGCGATGGCGGACTGCAAATGGACATTTTTGTTTTAATAATTGTCATTTTAATTGTAAGTTCAGTGTATGATAAATTTAAAATTAAGTTTCACTCACTTGGTGGACGAAAACGTCCTCTTTGGTGTCATTGCTAGAAACAGAAGAAAAAAATGTTCACAAATTCAAATTCTGAATTGCGATTTTTAAGAGTAGGGGCTACAGTTCTGCTATAACTTTTAAGTGCCGGACGGAAGTAATAAGTTTATTGACGATAATTATCAGTTCAGGAAGTGCTATTCTTAGACGGGTGTAGAAAAAAATTTAATTGACTCAATGATGTATATTCTGACATTGGATTACTGCCAATTAATATTAGAGAGTATTATTTAAAGACTTTTTACTTGTTTTCTTTTTTTTTGCTGCTACAAACTTTCAATGCCGTTTCAAAGACTTTGCAATAAAACATGGATGTTTTTTTTGTGCCATAATTATTAGATATCACTGTATCTGCAAAATTTTAATGACAAGTAAAAACAAGAGATTTTGGAGGGGGAAAAATGTGATAAATTTGTAATTTCCCATGAAAAACATGTTTATTTGATCATTTTATAAATAAAATTATTATTATTATTCAAATTATTATTATGTAAAAACACAGGATTCAATTGAATATCCATATTTTGCATGATCAGCTAGATTAGGCAAGTGCAACGAGAAACAGAATTTTGATCTACAACCAGTAGAATTTGGGATATTCAAATTTTTTATTTAAAAACAAAAATGTTTCCCAAAACATGAAATTGTAAAACTTAAAATTTAAAATAGGGTTTTCTCAATTTCAAAGAAAATTAGTCCTAGTATTTTTATATTACTATTAGCAGTTTACAATCATGACATAGAGGAATGCACAAAAGATATTGCTTCACTTTCAAATTATAATTATCAAATCTTTCTTAACTTACTGCAACAAATTATGATAATGTTCAACTATGTAAAGACTAAAATTTAAAAACTTTCTTAAGCTTCAAAATTTTTCAGTAATTTTGCTTCCATATGATTTAAAAGTATCTATCATAAATCACATTTGTTTCTTGATTTCACGTATGAATACTTTGTGAAGAATAAACGATGATAATAAAAAGAGGAAAAATAACAAAATAGCCCAAAGCAAAATTTTTGTTTTAATTGTCCAATTATATCCCCTTTTTTGTATTAAAAATTGGCGTCCCCTTGTAGATGTTTAGGATGAAAAAAAGGTAAAATGTTTAAAAGGCAGCCAGCGTGAAACCACAGAAGCATCACTCCGACGCAATTAACTCCGGCAGAGAATTTTTTATACCATATATTTTTTCATGCTTTGTCGCCAATCGGCAGCGGAATCTGTCGCTCGGCGTTCCACTTTGCTTGCTGCATGGGCATGCACCCATAGTTATGCTCGGAGGCGGCCGGCGAACGGTATTGATCGCCTCTGCCGCCGCCGCCGCGAGTGCAGCGGGGGGCGGGCGGGGGGCGCTCGCCACCAGCCCACTCGACTTTTCCAGCCGGCCGACGGAATTCGCGTTCCAGGACACGGACGCCATCGAAACAAACTCACCGGTTGATGAATCCGTATCCGCTCTTGACGTTGAACCATTTCACAGTGCCGGAGACCTTGGTTGCTGCGAACACAAATCAGACAACGCAAAATTAGTTCTGGAGAACGAGTTGGAGGACGAAATGATAACAAGTTTTAAATTTTTCTTTCGCGATAAAATGTGAAATTTCTAAACTACTCCTAATGTTTCAGCAACTTTGGGCAAAAAATTGAACAAATGAATTTAAAAATTAAAGATTAAGTTGCAAAGGAAAAAGGTTAAATATCGATAAGCTCAGGATTGCTGTGTGTACCATAAAGAATTGAAAAGAAGAGAATGAAATTAAAAAATGTAAAAAAAAAAAAAAAAAAAAAAACAGAAAGGCCCTTCAATGTTAGTTTTTAGCGAGTTGGATAAAATTTGAATAAATAGGTTTTTACTCAACGAAAAACAAAAATTTGAGTTTTGGCGCAATTTTTTGTAATCACAATTTATTTCATCTAATTATTCTCATTGGCATAATGATGCTTCCCTGCCCCTCAGCCGAGTTCCTCTTGAAAACTTTTCAACCTTTTCATTGCTGTCATTTTCGGATATATTTTGCGATCCATTTTAATTAAACGCCAGATTTGAAACAAAAAAGAAAATTTTAAATTCTTTTTTTAAAAAAAAAGCGTGATTTTTTTTAATTAATTCACCTGATTTGACACTATTCCAGTCTGGTTTTTTAAAGATTAAAATCCTGAGGAAACTTTAAATAAACGATTTAAAAAAATATTATTATTTACCGCAACTAATTTCAATTCGATTTAGTAAAATCGCTCTTGAATGATTAGAAAAAACCCATTAAAGTGTCAATTTAAGCAATTTGGAGAAATAATCAGAAATAATAAAATAATTAATTAAATTGATTTTGATCGCCGCTGAGCTTCTACGAAACGTTACGGACAATCCCTCGTAGAGTAATCTAGCTGATAAAAAGTCTCAAAATCAAATTTGCGAATTAACGCGTCGCTTATCTGCTGTCAACACCGTTTTCGAGCACCAATCTGGCAAATAGATTTTTGCGCCCGAGTGGAAAAATGAAACGCGGCAGCTCCGAGATGATTAGCTCAAAAGCGCTGACCGAGTCTTGCTGGTCAGATTAATTTACTGAAGAAAGTTCAGCAGGTCATTAGATTGCGCATAAAGCCCGAGAAAAACAGAATCACACTTAAACAAAATTGGAATTTTACACAATATAGAAAAACACAAATAGACTAATTTTATAATTTAAATAATTTGTTGGTTTAAAACATTTAAATGAAAACTCAAATTGGAAGATAATTTTAATCCAAATTAGATAAATCCAAACAGAAATTTCATCCTTTCATATTTAAATTTTTAGTAAATTTTTTTACAACACTCAACAAAAGTTTTAGCCTTCGAAGCATAAAAATAATTGTGCAGCCATAAAACGAAAGTTACTATTGTAATCGGAAGCCTTCTTCGTAGAAAAGTAAAATTAAATTGAAGGAAGGAATATGCAAAAATGATTTCATAATCGTGTTTGCAAGCGAGATCGAGGTCAGAATCCAGCAGCGGAATACCGGAGGGTGTTAAAAATACAAAGCCGGCTGTGATTTAATTAGTGCGAGGGGTTAAAGAAACTGCTCGTCTACCGAGGTCCGACCGGCCATCATGTATATTTCGTGCAGGACGAGAGTGATTGGCTCGGGGCCAACACGTGCACCGTCCGCCCCGAGAGAAAGAAACCCCATAGGCGTTATTTTTAGACAATTTCCATCGATGCTGATTTATTCATACACACACTCGCATTGCTCATTACCAGACACGACGGACGGTGTGAGTGTGTGTGTGCACGGCCGGGGGAAAATCAATAACCCATCGCGGGCCAGGGACGTACTAACGAGAGAAGCGTCCATGCAAATTCGGCCGAAACGAGAGGAGATTCGGCCGCCGAATGCAGTCGCGCTCGGGCGAAAGATTAAAGAGAAGGAAGACTCCTTCCGAGGCCCCCCTCGTATATTTATTTACCACGAGCAAAAGCAAGGAGAGGGGTGGGGTGGATTAGCACGGTGCTTTGTTTTGGCCTCGCGTAGCCCGAATTTCGGCCGTGTAGCCGCGAGTTCGGCCGAAAAGCCGACTTTGGTAGTGGCGAAGGACGACGTGCGGGCCGGCCGAGTGTAATTTCACTCAGAATTCGCAGCAATTCTGGCGAAAAAGCGGACGCGCACCATGCGGCCCGATGGCGTGCGTGGTGCCGCCGACTTTCGGCCCACTTTTCAACCGGCTCGGGCGCTTTTTTAGCCAAGCCACTCGCACCACTTTCTTACCGATGACATGCTTGGTGGTCGCTGCAGCCTTTTGCTGGTCAGGCTGTTTCTCCGGGTCAGCCATGGGTGATGGTAAAAAAGATGTTAAGACGAGCCGATGTTATCCTCCCTCACCTCAGCGATGTTTCTCACTACTTTTGCATTGCATTTGCGCAGCGCTCGAGAGCTAAATGCGAAACCAAGATGGCCGCTCCCGAATGCAGACGATTGAAACACGTTCAATCCCGATCGCCATCCGACCCTTCCAACTCGCATTTGTACCGCCAATGCTAAAAATATTAAAACAAATTCCATTATAAATAATAAAAACTCACTGATCCTTCATTTAAACATATATTCTGTGTAAACAAAGCAAAGTTTACTTTTGTTACATTGGTAGCATATTTATTTTATTTAGGTGCCACCCTGCTTTGTTGAAAAAAGTAGCATTTGGCCCCTCCCCCTCCACATTTTCACAAAACTGTGTTAAACGGATTCGTCACACCGCAACGATCTTCGTGTGAAATTCAATTTTTAGAAGAATTTACCAACATATCGGCATGTAAGGCTGTAAACTGATTAAGTGTGCGACTGCAGACTTCGGAAATTCGGCCTTCTGAGGCAAAATGATTGAGCAGCTGCGGCGACCGCGAAATGCCGCCGTGCTCGCACTCGTGTTGGGAGTTGTCTTCAACTACCTGCTGAACTCTCTTTTCATCTTTATCTACCTTTTCCTGCTCGCCGCGAGCTTCGGCTTGACGGTGTGCATGAAAAGGTTCGGCATCGCCAGGGAGCAGATTTTCGACCTGCTGCACCTGCCGGCCAACTGCCGCGAATTCATCAACGGCCTTCTGCCTGCCCGAGATGAGACCCGCCACTTCGGTAAGAAGTTGCATCGAGAGATCCCCGAGAGCTTCAGGTTTGTCGGAGCCGACTTATTCCACGAGAATAAAGACGAGGAGGAACCGCGAAGGGTGGAACAGCAACAACTGTCACCGGCCTCCACCAGGCAACGGACGCGGATTGTCCGCACAGTCCAGTCATCGCCAGGTCCAGCCTTGTCGTCTACCAGATTCAGGAGCAATCTCGACTTTAGGTATTTATTCATTGACAATATGATTGCAGGGTTTTATGTAATTGCAATTTAATTTTCAGTCTGAATGCTGAAGTGAATAGCCCTGGCTTTGCAAATCGCATTGTCAGCTACCACCACCAGGAAAGCCCCTCTCAGGACAATCCGAGCTCACCAAGACCGCAGATTGGGGAGTTCCAAAATATAAAATTAAACCAGGAGGCCACACCAGTCAGGCGGGTCAATTTGTCATCGCAAGTGGGACTTCCTCTAATTATTACTTCTCCCATGGCACCACCCAACATCTACAACCAGTGGTAATTTAATATTGATATAAAGTGATTTAATATTGTAAATTATCGGAAGGCTTGGAAATTTTAAATTCATAAATATATAAAATTATGTGCAGCAATGCAATTGCAGTATTGGCAATATTATGGTCTGTTGATATTCGGATGGATTTAACAAGGCAAAAATTATTGATTGTTGGTTGCATAGAAATTTCTGTGCTCATGTCCATTAAAATTTTTGATATTATCCATATCTCATACTATTGTTGTATTTCAAATTATAACGGTCAGTTAAAACTGTTTAATTCTTTGTCCTTGGATTTTAACAGTTTTTCCAGTTATGTTACTTAATTCTTTGTCTTTTTAAATTCTTTCAGTTTGCCACCTGAAGATAAGCCAAGCTCAATGGAGCCTGCTCCGTCAGTTTTGGAAGCGCTGAAAGAGATTTCCAGGAAGAGAATCTCCAGTGAGGTATACTTTAAAAAATCCTTACAAATCCAGCTTTAATGATTCAATTTAAAAATCAGGACAACAGACCACAGGCTGGAATGAAGCGGTACAAAAATGATCTTATTAACGCTGCGGCAGAATTCCCAGCCATCATAAAAGAAACAGTTTCGTCTCCTTCGAGAGTGATTAGGTAGCATTTCTGTTTTAATTTATGCTTGGATTTTTCTTAAATTGTTTTTGTCATTCAGCAAGAGGTCTAGAGAAGTTGTTGACGTTTCTCCAGAGACAAATCAGCCCACAAAGCAGGCAAAATTCTCAAAGTGCAACGAGATTGAAGCATCACTGAGCTCTACCAAAATGTACCAAAAGCAGAGAGCTGAAGCTAAGAAAAAGCGAGCAGGTAAAATTATTCAGAAAATGTTCATTTGCAATGTTTTAATTAAAATCTGTTTATTCTTCTTGCAGCTGAAACAACTCTGCAAGAGCCAGAAACAAAGACGGTTAGAACTGAAGAACCAGTGGTTCAGAAAACTCCAGAGGTGGTTATTGTCCACGAAGAGCGCAGAGCTCCACTGTCTCTTTTTGGAACGCAGTCCCCACAAAAAGCTTCACCTGTCAAGCCAGCCAAGAGGAAAGCGGCATTGGAAGAAATTTACTCGCCCATTAGATTGGAGGATAAACCTAAGACGTCCAAGCAGTTGTCCCTCAAAGAGCTCAGGGAGAAAAAGCTTCAGAGTCTTCTGGTCGAGTTGGAAGGTGATCTATTTTTATTTCATTCGCGTAAGATTTTAATTTAAATTAATTATTCTTCAGACGCTAAGGAGCAACCAGATATTGTGGAGGTGAGCAAACCAGAGGAGACGAGCACCCCTGCATTCCTGAGCAGCCCAGTGGCCATCATGACCTCTGACACAACTGTAACCACATCAATTCAAGGCCCTGTTGTCTCTTCCACTTCGCCAACAATCACCCAGGACGCTTCCTCCATCTTTGCAACACCCAAGGCAACTGTGACTCCCTTGGTGCCGTCAACTCAAACAACAAATCTGCCCACAATGAGTGCCCCGTCATTTTCGTTTGGATCAACTTCGAGCACCACAGCCAGCCCGGCCGTCGCCACATTTGGTGTGACCGTACCTCCAAAATCAGACACCCCCACCACCATTTCTGCCGCCACTTCATCCTTTGCATTTGGAGGTCAAACTGCTCAGCCTGCTGCAACCACCACAGCTGCAAGTTCCACAGCTCTGGCAACACCTTCCTTCAATTTTGGAAGCTCTCAGAGTTCTGCAACTCCACCCAACCCAACAGCCTTGACGTTTGGCAAGAGTGTCAGCACCCCAGCTACAACCATAGCTGCGAAGCCTTCCTTCACCATTGTTTCGAATGCCTCACCTCTTGCTCTCGGCAAGCAAACAACTCCTGCTGCGTCTTTCAACTTCGGGTCAGTTGCAGCCAACACCGCAAAATCCACCACAACTGCCACTGGTTTCAGTTTTGGCAACACCACCAATGCATCTGCAGCCCCATCTCCTTTTGGAGCGACCGTAACTTCGGCATTTGCTCCTGTGACAACAACAAGCACTACTCCGAGCTTTGGAACCCCAACAACCTGCACCACTTCCATCTTTGGCACAGGCACTGGCCCAACATTTGCCAGTGGCCAATCTCTGACCTTTGGCACGAGCACAGCCACAACCTTTGGCACACCCACTTCAAAACCCCCACCTCCATTTGGGTCTCAGACCTTGTTTGGCAGCACTGCGACTACCTCTACTCCTTTCGGAGCCACGTCAGTCCCCTCAGCTGTGGAAACGCCTTCCTTTGGAGTGGCAAAGACAACCGCATCCTTTGGAAGTGGAACCTCAACCTTTGGCACCTCTGGCACTACCAGTGGAAATACCGCACCTCCTCCAGCCTACAATGCTTTTGGCACGGAAAAGTCGGCTGGCCTCAACTTCAATTTCAGCAGCACCACGTCAGCAACCCCTGCTGCCAATTTTGGCACCGCAACTACCACTCCAGCCTTTGGAAATCCAACAGAACAGGCCAAGACGGCTTCCTCCGGCTTTGGGAACTTCAGCGCCAACCCCACAACAACAACAACCCCCTTTGGAGTTACAAATTCGTCCGCGGCGCCCTCGCCCTTTGGCTTCAACACGGGTGCCGCGACCACTACCAATCAGCCCATGTTCAACAGCCCCTTCAAGGCGGCCACCACTTCGGCCTCTTCTCTTTTCGGCACTTCTTCTTTCAGCAAGGCCGAGCTGGCCCCTCTGCCGACCAACTTCAAATTCGGAGACAAGACTGACACCTCCCCAAAAGTGGCGGCCAACATTTTTGGCGTCCCCTCTGTGCAGAATCCCTTCGGCGGCGCCAGCAGTGGTGGTAGCGGAAGTGGATTTGGTTTCAACCAGGCGGCCGCCAACCCTGGCCAGCAGTCCCAGACGGGCTTCAACTTTTCGGCCGCTGCTGCCCCACAACAGCAGGGAGCTTTTGGGTTCGGTGCCCCCTCTAATCAGCCCCAACAACAACAGCAGCAGCAGTTTGGGTTTGCGGCCAGTCAGCCTCAACAGTTCCAAGCTACCCAGCAGACTGGCACAGGTATGTAAAAATTTATAAAGAAATCCATTTTTAAAATCTCTTATTTTGTAATTTTAATGTAAATAAGTATCGAGGAATTTTTCAACTTGAAAAGAGGGCAAATTTATCAAAAGTTTTTGTGGTGCCTTAAAAATTTTAAGTTCATTTGGAAATTTTAAGTTCATGCAAACCTCTGTGGAAACTTTGCGTTAAAAATTCGAATTTCTTTTTAAAATAAATTCATGAGAATCCTAAATGGATGTCCAGATTACTTTTTTCATTCAATAGATTTCCTATTATTTTATCATTTATTGTATAACATGATGTTTTATTCATTGAAATACATTCAAACTCTTACATTTGAAATGTCAGCACAATATTTGAATTCGCACCACTTGTACGTCTTGCTAGTGTGTCAATTACAAGAGTGCTAATGGACATTACGTTGTTTGTTTCAGGAGGGTTCAGCATCGGCACGAGCAGTGCTCGTCGGCAGCTGCAGGCGCGCCGGAGAAGATGAAAAATGAACTAGAACAAACTCCAAGAAGTGCCACTTACGTTCGACTATCATTTGTGTACAAAGTGCTTCGCAAAGATAAAAGCCTTATTTTCTTTTCACGTCGTGGTTTTAACCCTTCAGAACTAATAAAAACCCTGTATTATAAATTATACTTTTCACGAAATAAAAACTTTAATTTCTTGGAATTTTTTGTAAAATCAGCGCGTTTCATTATTCATTTCAATAAGGTGGCCAATTTTCGTGAACACGCCGCCGATTCCTGATGTTTCGACACTCGACAGCTGCGCGCCTGCCGCGAACAGCGGTGGGGGGCGCGCAGAAAGCAGGCGAGCCGCGCGACCGAATCTGCCTGCCGTCGGTGCAATTTGCAGTAGTCAGTGTCTGAGTGAGCACCACTGCGTCCCCAACTGGATGCACCGACCTCCGACAGAACCAATTCCTCCGAAACTTCCTTCGAACGCGCAGTTTTCTTTGGTCAAGCACAACAATCAGGATTAAAATAAACCCACTTTGGTACGTCCACTTTTTCTTAATTTTTTTTCTTGCTTTTATCTTCAACTATTTTGACGATTTTTTTTTTTAATTTTCCAATAATGCCGGGTGAGAAATAATAAATAATGTGTGTCACTTGCTCGCATGAGTGCGGCGAGAATGTTGCGCTTCCTTATATCACGCGGCGGCGGCGCGCGCTCGGCCAGATGCAATTAAAATTATTATATACGTTTATAGAGAGTGAGCTGGTGTGTGTCTGTGTTGTTGTAAGTCCCATTGGAGCACTTTCGCCGCTCTCCGCTAAGACTGCGTAACACCTTCCCTGACGTAACCAATAATGCCATAGGAAAGGGCTAAGCACCATATACTCGCGGCTTATAAAAAAGCATAGGCTGTCCTAATAGAAAAAATAAAATTGTCACTCGGAATTTAATTCGTTTCGTCGGCAGCAGGAATTTATTCCACGCGGGAAATCCACCTGTGGCTCGCCGGTAAATTGAACTCTAGTCTAGGGAAAACCAAGGAAAGGATCACTTCGATGAGCGTCAAAGTTAACTTCTCCGTTGAGGTATTTTATGTTGAAAGTATAGAAATCATTATTCCATGCTATTGATGCCGTCAGCCTCATTAACTTTTCGTGATTTGAAATATCCTCACCATACCCTTAACATAGAGAACTAAATTATGAAATTTAAAAGACCAGTCCTTAAATTTTATAATAAAATATCACAAATATTGTAATCAAAAATTTTTTACTTAATTTATTTTAATTCAGTCTTTTTATTAATATTTAACTGATTTGGAATGTAAAATCAGCTAGAAATGTGTAATTTCTTGGAATTGTTGGTTGGGGCGGAGATTAATTTTATTGTAAAAGATCAAAAAATTTAAATAATTATTATTCCTTGCCTTACGACTGCGATAAGTAGGCCATAGGACACAACAATTGTGATGCTTGTCCTTGACGGTGCGATTGATCACTGCAGTGTGGCAACCGCCTTAACCATCATTTATATAATTTTACCAACGCCGGCCGAAATAATCCCGCCGATTGGAAAATCTACCCGCGACCACGTGTGTCCTCTCAAGCTGAAACGCGGAAATGATCTAACACGCCGCGCGCCGTTGACCGAGCTCTGTACATAATTTATTTTCATTCACTGAGCTCTTTTTCAAATCTTGAGGATATTAAAAAAAATGAAGAAAAATTATGATTTTTTGATTGAGACGTTTGTGAAGTTTTGGAGTTACAAAATTATTCTGCCAAGAAAATTGGCTCACGCGTTCGCATTGTTTGTTCGCGTCGTTGCGATTTAATATTAAAGCCGATGCTAGACATGGAAACGAGCATTATTAGTATTCCCGGGGTACACCGTTTTCAGTTCTTGATCAAGGTTATTGCAAGAGGAGGTGCTCACGTCCAACATTTGTGTGCCAAGTTGAAAGAACTGATTAAATCTCGTGCCAAGAGAAATAAATATTTCATTAAAAAAGTGTGTTGCCCTTTTTTGAAATTTTTATTGAAGTATAATAATAACATTGATAGTGGAATTTTTCCCTCGTCAAATTTGTAGACTTTAATCCACAGCCTGTTTGATTTTTTCAGATTTTTATTATCTGTTTCAAATGATTTAAAATTCAAAGGCATTAATTGAAATAATTATAGCACTCAGTTTTAATAGAAAAGTTTTGGTTTCACATCCTGAGAAAAAAGATGATGAAGTATATTTCAATTTTTAGAATCTTTGAATTTTTCGCAACTTCCAATGTTGATGCTTGGAAAATTAAAATTGTCTAGACTTTAAAAGCTAAAAAACTTTTTTACGAATTTATAATATTTTCGTATAGAGAATTTTTCAATTATTTATTACTTCCAGAACCTTATTATACAAATCTTTTACTATGATTTTATTTTTCACAATTTTTCACTCATCCCAAGTTAATATTTTTGGAAAAGCTGTTCAAAAGTCCTCCCCAGAACGGTGACAAGTCTGCGTAATTTCCAAGTATTTTCTGGTCGTTGCCTTTTTCTGCCATTGTCTCTTGTACGGAAGTTGGCAGTGCCACGCTCTGGAGGAAGCGCCACGGGCTGTGCTCCTCTCTGCATCGACTGCAGAATCCGTCCATCGTTTATTCCAGCCAAGCAATTAGAACACACGTAATAATGCAGTCGATTCGCCACAAAATTCACTTTCTAGAGTCGGGATAACTTTTTAGATCGATGTATAATATACTCAAGAGCAGTGCGTGTAATTTCGATTTGTATGCTGGAATTGCAGTTCCCTCCCATTCCTCGACGTTTCTAAAAAGTATCACCTCAAATCAACTCTCCGGATGTATAATTGCAAAGAGATTATTTCCAAAGATGGAAAAGTGAAAGAAAGTATTTATCAATATAGTTTAATTGGTAAAGGTATAAAATCTAAATAAAATTCTAGCTACACAGAAAAGAATGCATATTCTGATATGTTTGATTAAATAAGAATTTTACAAAGAATTCAGCATTCTTCAAGTCCGGAGCGAGAAAAGTAAATTTTGTAGCCAATTTAGTTTTGCATTGATTTTTTTGGGGGGTTGCTTAAAAAATGTTCTACAATTTTTTTTTTTTTTAAGATTAAATCTGATTTTAGTAACAATTAAAAAGAAAAAAACTTTAGGGATATCTTAGATCCCTTATTTATTTAAAAAAAATTAGTTTCAACAAAAAGTTAGTATTTCATTGAGAATTATTTTCTTTATTCAAATATGAATAACCATAAATAAAAGTCTGATGTACATTTCTTGCAGTAAAGTTTATTAAGTTCCTGTTCCTGTGAAGCGCTCTTTTCACCTTGCTCGCACAAAGTGCATTCAGTTTTCTCGGTGTTTGCACCTCAATTAGAGAGGTTTGCGTGCATGCTGATTTATATTTATATTGCGCTTTCAAAAAGAGTCGCAGGAGAAAGAAGCGTGTTCGGAAGTATTCCCATCGCAATGCAGAGAATGGAAATGTTTATGGCCGCACCATAACAAAACCTCACTTTTCGAAACGAGCTCCATAGTCTTCACGGCGAAATTAATTTAATGATTCTCACACAACGAAAGGACGCAAATTGCATACGCATTATGGATTTTCACTTTGCAATTTCAAATCTCCTTTCACGTTGTAAAAACAAAAACCTATCAAAAACGTCAAGAAAAGTAAACAGGAATTTGCAATTTTACAATCCCTGGAAATTTTCCTTGTATTTTGAAGATAGTTAAATAAATTAATCTTCAGTTTTTTTTTAACACATGCACATTAATTTTGGTTTTGCAATGAGAAAAGCAACCTTTCACGTCACAAGGAAAACTAATCGATTTTCACGCAGCTTAAAGATGACAATAGAAAATTCCCCAGTGCCTTTTTTCACCGAGATCAAGTGTGACAACTTCATTACAGGGTCACGAATTTTCCACGTATGCCTCTCTCTTCAGAAATATTATTGCATCTTCTTCCTTGGTTTTTATTCTTGGCAAGTAAAAAGAAAAAGAAAAAATATGGAGACGGTGGTAAATAAGGCCAGGCATTATTCTAAGTGGACATAGTGATTATATGGGCATGCGTTTACAATATTTAACAAAGAGCTCGTGGACCTTGAGCCTTTGCACTATTTTTTACGTTCCGTCCATTTCTGATGAGTGAGCAGAATAATACAAGAGACAAAAAAATCTCGCAAGGCCAACGCAGCTTTTCGCACCATGGTGGCAAACAAGGATTATTGTACTTAATTGATAAGATTTGCGTTGCGACCACTTTACTATGCTAATTAAGTGTCTGCTAATTTTATTTGGTGCAGTTGAAGGAAAAAATTACTTGGAAAAACAAAACCCTCAAAAATTTCAGTTAAAAAAATTTTATTCTAGTTTTGGACTAATAAATTGAATCTAAAATTTTTTTAATTATTAAATTTTGCTTCTTTTTTCGCAGATTAGGGTGCCAAATCGCGAGGGCGCCAAGATGCAGTCGGCGCCGAGCGGTGCGGCCGTCAGCGTGCGCGAGGCTTACAAGTATTATGGCAGCAGCAAGTCGCCCAAAGTCGTCCTCGACAGACTCAACATGACGGTGCCCCGCGGAGCCATGTAAGTAGTTTTGTTAACCCGCTAATTTAAAATGATCAGAAATGTAAAAAATAAAATTAAAAAAAGTATAATTTTAATACAAATTCTAGAGCGTTTCAATGAGATTTGTTATCGTTATTAACTATAATTTTTGTTTTTATTTTTCGTTTGGGTTTTCTCATTGTATTTTTTATTTTTAGATCTCATGAAGTAAATTAATGTTATAAATGAATTTTACAAAATATTTTTAGCTAGATAACTTTAAAATATTAAGAAAAAAATCTGGAATATTCTAAAGCTTTCATTGAAAATTCTACAGAAATATTCATTAATTTGAATATAAATCTTTATTTCTTGAAATATGCATGATTTCAAATTTGACAAAAAGCAATGATGCTGCAATATATAATTCAAATTAAACCATGGATTATGACACATTAACTGAAATCAATCGAAGCTTTTCAATACATTTGTTCAGTTTCGTTCATTAAAGTCTCCCGTTCATTTTGCAGCTACGGCCTGCTGGGCGCGAGTGGCTGTGGCAAAACCACCCTTCTCACATGCATTGTGGGCAGGAGAAAATTGAAGTCAGGAGACGTGTGGATCTTGGGAGGCAGACCGGGTTCGCCCGGCAGTGGCGTGCCTGGACCCAGAATTGGATACATGCCACAGGTATTTATCATAAACTTTCCTCCTTTTCACCAAATAATCAAAAAGAGCGATTTTTAATTTCGTCTCAAAAAAACTAGTTCAGACCAACAAATGGATTCCTTAAAAAACCTATATTCATTGAAATTCTCTTTTGTAAATTTCAATGAACAATAATTGAAGGATTATAGTTAATTAATTAATAAAGAATTTACATATTTAGATTTTGTGGCACACAAAAGAATGCTATATTCAATTTGAAAAGTTTTGAGCGTGGCTGGTGCGCGCGATTTGCATTTATAGTCAAGGACACTTATTAATATGACTGCTGGACTGTGCGTCGTGTTTGTTTTGTATTCCATATAGGCGCGCGAGTACGGCTCTTCATTTTAAAATAACACTTTCTCCCGCCGAGTGCGGCTCGAGTGCGCACACAATCGTATGTAATATACGCGACGACTCTGTATTGTCAGATTCAATTATTTTGTATAGATGTTTGATGTATGCAAAGAAAAAGGTTGTGTAAAGTAACTGTATAATCGAAAGGGGAACGATTTTTTTTATTTAAAAATCAGTATTTTTTTAATTATGTGAAAAACGAAAAGACTGAATTGTTAAAATATAAATTTTTTACTAAATCCACCGAAATTTATAATTTTTAACTTTATTACATCTTAAATTCTAAAAAAGGCAAGGTTTGTTTGATTGATTTCAATATGACATCTTTAATTTAATTTAAATCTTTTCAAAAATTGTTCAGTGACAGTATAGCTGTAATTAAAAAAAAAACTGTAGAAACTTTAAATTTTAAAGAATCAGATCACACCGATTAATTTTTTCAAATTTTTTATTCCGCTAAGTGGACAAAATAAATATTACAAATTAGCACCCCTAAAAACCATGCATTGATCATGTTCACTTTTTGATTTCCCGGCTAAATTAATTAAAACTTCAAGGAAATTTAGTCAGTCAATTCGGTCTGAATGATTTTGGCTTGAAAAGGAAGATCACCCGGTTTTAGCTCTAAGAATGAAATTTTTATTCAGTAACTATCCACGTTTCCCATAAAAATTCACCACTTTAAATTATATTGTAAAATACTTCACCAGTGTAGATCTTTAAAAAGCCAATTTTATATCAATAAATCTGTATTTTTTAAATATTATCAAAGGTTCTTATTCACGCCATAAGTCTCATAATGTTGGCACAGTTTCTCCCTAAGTAAATAATTGCTCAAATGAATTGCCAAAAGAATTCCCAGCCGCGCGTGTTTTTTTGGTGTTGATTTAATTTTTAATGAATATTTATGATACATTCACATTGTTACACCGCGGCGTGTGCTAATAAAGGCCTGGTGAAATCGAAGCCGCAATTCGCGCGCGCACTTGCACTTTTCATCTGTCTCGAGTAGGAAACGCGAATAATCGCTGCAATAAAATCCGCGATGGCAAAAGAGTTATTTGCCGCGCTATTTACACCGCGCGACGAAGAATCTCTGCCGTAACAGCCGCTCGCAGATATAACAAGAGAGGAGAAAGTTTTTCGTTTTGAGTCAAAATCCGCCAAGCGGCTGCTGCATCCCACGACCTGTCTTCTTACGAAACACCAGACACGCCGAGCGTTCGATTCGGAAATAGAGATATACACCTCGCTATTAACGGCCGGCCACTTTTACCTCCATCGAAATCTATACTCACTCGCATTTTAGCACCAATAAAAGATTTATTAATTATAATTGTTGTGACGAAATGCGCTATTTTTTTATTCCAAGAAATTGTAATTTTACTATGGCAAATTTAATTTTAACTTTTTTTGAACAAACTGTTAAAATCTCACCATTTATTTTTGGCACCAATAGTCTCAATCGTTTAAAAAAAAAATCAAGAAATCATCAATTTCTTTTAAATGTTAAAGTCAATCAATTAGCGCTTCCAGAGAAAACGTTTCATATTCTAAGTGAAGCTTGCAAAAAAAATTATTTTGGTGAGTCGCTGTTATTTCCCCTTACTTCTTCTGTCCTCAAACAACTTTCTTAATTTGTCTTTGAATCAAAATACCTAAAAAATTGTCTCAAATTAAATTTTCTTATGCAAGACCCTGATTTTAAAATGTTCATAACAATTAAAATTTAAAATAAAAAGGGAATATCAATAAATTTGAAAAAGGAAAACAACAAAAAAGCTGGAAAGCCATGAAATCACAGGATGTGTTACAATCTTGGAGAAGGTTGTCTTCATTTGATTCAAATTCAGATCAATAATTCTTTTTGCCGGGTTAAAATTTAAACGAAAAGAAATTGAAATCATTAAAATATGTTATATATAATTTAAAAAAATTCACAATTCTTAAATATGTGTAAAAAAGATTGTAAATTCTTTTCCCAAAATTTATTTGATTCGAAAAAAATTGTATATTATTTTGAAATCCTATTAAATTTTTTATCGACTGGCAACAAGTTTTAAAACAAGTGTCAAAACGAATGTAAAAAAAAATAAAATTCTGTTTGATTCTGGAAAACCTCGATTTCAAGCAAACTAGAAGTTTCTGTCATGAGAACAACAAACATCTGCTGCACTTCTACGAAAAAATTAAATTCTCCAATTCAGTGTGGCGGCCTTGAAGGAGAGCTGCTGCAACATATTGCGCGCCTCTCTATTATTCTTTTTATTTTCGAGGGTCTAACAAAATGATCTCCGGCGGACAAAATTCGCTCGCTCTCTCGTGTGCGGCAAATTGCAGCTGCAGAAAGTCAAGGTTGCGCCGCATTCGACCAGCGCAGCGCATTTTTCGCTGCTTCTTTCCAAAAATAAAAAACAACAACTTCCGTGTGTTCGCAGGACATCGCCTTGTTCGGCGACTTTTCCATCAGGGACACCATGTTTTATTTTGGTAAAATCTTCGGCATGTCCAACAGAGAGGTGGAGGAGAGGGCGACCTTTCTGCACAGGATGCTCGAACTGCCCCCCGACGACAGACTTGTCGGCAATTTAAGGTTTGCAATTAATTTTTTTTTCTTTATATATAATTTTTTATCGTACTTTTTTAAAAATTTTAATTCTAAATCACCTAGATATTGAAATAAAATAAAATTACTTACATTCCGAATGCAACCCGCTTAACAAGAAGTTGAAAATTGCTGTGAGAATCAAAGAATGTTTATGAAAAATAATTAATTGTATACGCAACTTCCTTCTTGATACAATGTTTTTAAGGAAACGTTTAAATTTGAATTTAATTTTTATTATTTTTTAGTATTTTTTTTTACTCATTGAATTATTTACTTTTTTTAAATTAGAATAATGAAAAAAAAGTTAATTTAAGTTTCTCTTATTGCAGTTTAAATTGAATTTCGGTATTCATTTGTATAACTTTTTCGTTTGCAGTGGCGGACAGCAGCGGCGCGTGTCTTTCGCAGCCGCTCTGCTCCACGACCCCGAACTGCTCATCCTCGATGAACCCACAGTCGGCGTGGATCCTGTTCTTCGGCAAAGGTATGTGCAAAAAACCTTTTTGTCTCTCCACTTTTCCGTGTCGCACCTGCAGACTGGGCATAAATTCGCAGATGAGACCAACCGCGAGCTATAAATTATAGCGCTTCGGTTAAGAAAAATGGATTTTGGGAGTGGAGAGAGCTTAAGGATTTCAGTCTAACACCAGAAGATCAAATAAAACATATAACTTTTGACCTTTTAAGCTCTGAAGTCGCACCTGCATACTATTCAAAATTAGTAGTTTTCCAGTCATAAATTTTTCTGGAATAATTAGTTTTAACCCCTTGTTTATTTTATGAGAAAATTATTTGTCAATAATTGATCATAACTACTATTTTCCTTATTAAATTTCAAACAATCAATTTAAAAAAAAATAATAATAATTTTTTTATTTACGTGTCATACGAATTCAAAAATTAAAATTTCAATTACGGATATTCAATTTTTTAGTAAGAAAATAATTTGTATTTCGAAAAACTTACATTGATTGAAATGAAAAAAAATTATCGCAAACAAATCAATGTTGGCGCAGCTTTGTAATTCTTTGATTATATTTCTTCTTTTCGCTGTACAGAATTTGGGACCACCTGATGTACATCACACAGACTGGAAACAAGACGGTGATCATCACAACGCACTACATCGAAGAGGCTCGCCAAGCAGGCACAGTAAGTCTCCAATTAATGATAATTATTATTTTGCAGTATTTTTTTTCCAATGATTTGCAAATTCGCAAACAATCAATCATTGTGACGTGCGAATGTTTTGATTGGTGAGGTCTGTGCGCGTTCCTCATAAAGGACCGAGAGGCTTTTCAATTTGAGAGACAAAAAGAGCTGCGCCGATGCAATAACATTTTGAAAGCAGCAAACCTTGAACTCTCTCACAGTGGGCTCGCCGCGCCGATTGCTCCCGTCAGGGTCCTCAAGGTGCTGCATGTGCCAATTTCTCCCAATTCTATAAATGAAATACACCGTGGCTTATATATTTTTATATAATAAGCTGTGAAAAATTGCAACTTGCGCTGCTTTTTTTTCAACTTAATTTTTTTTCACCTGCCTCTTTTATTGAAAACGTTTTTTCATCCCTAACTGTAATTTTAACTTTTAATTATAATTTTTTTCCAACATCTTAAATTTCTTTTCAAATGCTTCAGTTTGATCTCCGCACTTACAAAAAAATAATAATTGGAAACAATTCTTTCTCGTTTAGTTGGCGCATACGGAACAATGAGTGAAAATTACATATAATTTGAAAGAAAGTTTCCCACACAATACTTGCATGCGTTTCCTCTCTCGGCGCTGCAAATCAAGTCAATAAAGGTGCATTCAGGTACGCACTACCCCGTGTAATAACTTTCCATTTCATTCAGTAACGCGATTCCAGGTATTTACGTTAGACGCGCCTAAGGCACTTTTTATGTAAGCAAAAGAAAAAGCTTAATTAATTAATAATATAAAATAAAAATATCTTTCACAGAAGCCAAAAGAAATATATTGAAAAAGAATTCGTAAAAATTGTGAATTCATTTTCCATTCAAAATCTTTCAAAATATTCTCAAAACAAATATACATTAAAGATTGAAAAAAAAGTAAAAAGTGATTACAAATTTGTTACGTGGATCAAGCACAAATAAAGCTGTAACCGGCTGGGCTACTGCGAGTGAATGTGTTGTTATGTCACACGCCGGCGGCACGACCTGAAAGATTTAAGTAAGCTTTTCGTTGTTTAACCCACTTTCTTGCAGAACTGGTTTAGGCGCGCGGGATGCTGTGCTGCACCACATCGCTGTGTTTCACTCTCGGCCGTAAATTGAATGAAATTTTTATTTTAGCCAAGGTTAAGATTCGTGCGTCGGTTCGTCTGCATCACGCGTAATTTCAACCGGCGAAAGTTTTCCCGATGATTCTTCTTGTCCGATTCAAGGTTCTAACGCAGATTTTAATGGGGAAAAAGAAATGAAAGGCGCCTCCGAATCGATCGGGACCCAAGACATTTATGACTTCATTTGTTGATCAAGTCCATTAGCCTTTTACGCAAAATTGGCACCCGAGGCCAATTCGCGTCATTCATTTCGTTAGAATTTGCTTTTAAAATTTGGGATTCAACACAAACTTAAAGTGGTGAAGCCCAAATGTACAATTTGAAAGTGTAGTTAAACTGACTGAATGGTTTGAATTGTCAAAAGCTGGTAATGATAAAATGGAATGTTAAATTTTTGCAATAAAAACTGACTGTAAAATGCTTTCCGTTGAAAAATATTACACAATTTTAATCCTTTTTAAACTTACTGGATCCTTTAAAAATAAAACCAATTTAGTTTCTGATTTTTCTAATGTAAGTTTTCGAGCTTACTCATTGTGGCCATTGTTGCTTATTTTTTTTGTTCGAATCTATACATTGAAAGAACATCCATCACTTATTGGGAGGAAAACATTGTATTGTTGGAAATAAGAGACCAACTAGCAAAGATTTCGCTCAATTTCGCTTAAACTTTCAAGATCAAAAACCCCATCCGCCGAAGAAGGCCTCCAATTTAAAAAGAAAAAATCTTGGCAGTTCGCGAGAAGAATAATTAAATAATTATCCAAATTAACTATTTCAAAATGAATTGACGTTCAATTCAATGTAGGTTTCCAAGGTCAAAAAACGCATATGATATTTTGATTGTTAAATAATTTTAATTATGCAGAACAAAATAAAATATTTAGGTGAATTTTGTGTGCTTATGATCGTGACTAGTCTCTTGTCCACTTTCAAAGATTGCAAATTTTTCTTGCGCACCAACAACTAGAGATTTAATTAATCATTTGCGTCACGAGCCGTCAGTCGAATTTCATTGCACGCGGATGTGTGACGAAAAAAGTAGGTTCTGGCAAATGACGCAGATTTTGAGACGCTGACTTGCATCAATTTCAACGCAACACCGAGCGCGAGAAAATGAGAAAGATAAACTCAGGCCTTTCCGCTTCTTGCGATTTTGTTTTGTTCCGCCTTTGTGGCTTTTTTCCACCGTGACGCTTGCGAGCGAATGAAGGTGCATTGAAAAGAGTGAGGATAATGATGATGACGGCGAAGAAGACGCTGCTTGCGAATTCTGCAGCCGGACGCGCAACAAAAAGGGGCACTTTGTTGGTCATTGCCTTGAGTGATGATTCAGTAATTTCATAGAAAAAAAATTAAAACTATTTTTTCATCCAAAAGTGGTAATTGGGCTCAATGCAGTAAAGAAACGCAACATTGAAAAGTCATGCTGAAAATAATACAAAAATGAAATTTTTTACGCTCATCCAATCATGAATTTGCATGAATCGCGTGATTTAAAATTATTTTGAATAATATATCAAACTTTGAACATTATTGTGTGGAAACTTTTCAAGAATGTAGTTAAAAAATTAATAAGCTTGAAACCTTTGAAATCCTTAAAATTTTAAAGTAGTTTTTTATTAAATTTTTCCACTCTTTTGTTTTTACTAATTTTCGACCCTCTCGAAACAACAGAATTTTATTCGCAAAACCTAAAAGATTATTATTTTAAAACACAACTGAACAGAACGAAATATATTAAACATGAAGATAAAAATACACTACACTCTATGGTTAATTTTACTTATAAAAAAATTGCTATCATTATTTAGATTTTTCAATTGTAAAATTTTACAATATTTCAATTCAAATATATTTCTTATTCATAACAGATTGGACTGATGCGAAACGGGACGCTTCTGGCGGAGGACTCGCCTAGCGAGTTGCTGACCCTTTACGGCTGCAGCTCCCTGGAGGACGTGTTCCTGCTGCTGAGCCGTAAGCAGGGCCGCAACAGCCAGGACATGGTCGCTGACGCTGAAGACCCCGAAGAGATGGCCAATGTGCAACGACAGCAGCAAACCCAGCAAGAAAACCGCAGGAACAGTATGGTAAGAAATTAAAATTATTGAAAGCTCGATAATTATTCCAGAGAATTATTATTTATTATTTTTAATTGAGCACCAAGGTCTTGAAATATTAATTAACAAGGCACCAGCTTTAAATCTTCCCGACCGATTTTAAGATATTCTACTTTGTGAAAGTTATTTTTATGTTGAGATATCGCCCAATTGCTTCAATTAATATTAAGTTCTGAATTAATGAAATTATTGGGATAGTTTTCCAAAATAATTTTCTTTCAAAATATATATGTGCCTGATTCAGCTCTCTAATAAAAACCTAAACAAATTGAAAAAGTATGAATATAATATTTTTTTTTTAAGATATTTATTGTTCAAATAATACAAGTCCAACCAAGCTAGAAAGCTTATCGGCTGGTGCTCATGTTAACTGACGAGCACATTTGCTCTGCAGTGGTTTTAACATAATATACACAGTATATTATTACATATAAAGCAAAGGGTAGTTTGAATCCAAAACATTACATCAGAAATGCTTCTGAAAAGCATTTCTCACTCTGTGAAGAAACCTTGAATTATTTAAATTTTATTGAAAGCATACTTGTTTTTCTCAAAGGCGTCTTACTTAATTTTTTTCAAACTCGATCTCACGCAGTTAAAACTAAAAGTAATTTAATTCACATTTGCATGTAAATTGTATCATAAAAAAGCTTGCAGACTGTTGATGAAAAATTGCTTCAATTTTTTGTGCCAGAGCGAAAAGGGATTCCCGGTGCGAACTCTTTCATTAGCGGTATGTCAAAAGAGATAAATTGTACAACTCCCGACTGAAAATACGCCCATAACTAGCATGAAGTGAAGTAACTACAAAATTAAATTAAGACTCGACCTTCAAGAGGTGAAATGGGACGTTAAGAAAACTGGTTTAAAAATAATATGGTGGAAAACTTTTTGCAGTTTACTGATCCAGGGAGTTACCAAGAAAGTTTCCAATTATTAATTTTTTATCCTTTGGGATTCATCAAAAAAAGTTTTAATTTAGTTTAAATTTAGTTAAAAGTTTATGATTTTAATTTAATATTGCAAAGTAAATTATATTTTCCGTCTTGTGCAGCTTGTAATTTTCGGCTCCACGATTCGATACGATGCAAAGCGCACAATCACGTTGGGAAATTTCGCAACACACGTCACAAAGCGGCTCAGCAATTTATTTATTCGCCAACATTTGCTTGGTACTTGCCGGAGTGACACGCAGATAATCGCTGCAAGGGCCTCATTACATTGGATGTAAAAAGCCGCGCACAATGAGCAAAAAGAGCGCAGTCATTTTCGCCACTAGCTGCTGAAATGAACGAGGGAATTGAGAAACGCGGCGAGCAAACAACATACTAAGCATAGGCCTCTCTTGAACCGACTCTTTCATAGTAATGAGACTTTGAGGTTTGGACATGTAGGAGCGCCGCAAATTTCGCCTCACTTGAGTGGATTTGCCTTTTTCCTTAATTTTTTGCTGATGAATTTGGAATTCAAAAAAATATTTTAGTCACGAATGAATTATTTTGAGCGTGTTTTAGCGACAAATAAAAAAATAAAATAGCTGTATCATATCAAACATAAAATTGGTAAATTTATTACTTCAATTAATTGGATCTATTTTAGGAACACTGATCAAATTTGGCAAACATTGATGCAAAATTGATGTTAACTTTTCAAAAATGTATGGTTTCTGCAGATAAAACTAATTAAAAACATTATGCTCCATTGGTTATCAAAATGATTTTAATGACTTGATAAACTTTTGAATTACAACTTTAAAAAAAATCCTAAAAATTTTCAGCTCCCGTAAAATTTTTAAAATAAGATTATAGTTTTTGTGCGCTGCATAATTTAATTTTTCAAGTTTTTGTTTGGTATTAATTCAGTTAAAGATTTGCAGTAAAAACTAAAAAGTCTTTCATAATTACAGCAAAAATTGGCTGTTGAATTGAGAGGAATAAGTCACCTTATTGTTAGTTAGTTTTAATCAAATTTTATAAATTATTTCATTTTATAGGAGGTTGTGTCGCACCAGCAAGACCAGGGAATGAACCTTCAAGCTGCTTACAGAAAAAACACCACCACAGCCTCCACAGCGACTTTAACCAATAACGTAAATAATGGGCGAGTACGGATCAGAAAAAAACATCAAAATATCATTTTTTCCCCTCAGACTGACGAAATTCACATTCCGTCCAGCATAAGGCGGACGCTCAAAAACAGGGCCTCCCGGATAGGAAAGATGGAGTCCCTGCTCAAAAAGAACATCCTCAGATATTGGAGAAATTTTGGGTAAATATATAATTTTAAGTTTAAAAAAAAAAACCCACTCGAAAATAAAAACAATTTTTTTCTTTCAGTTTGATGATGTTCATCCTCGGGTTTCCGTTGCTGCAAATCGGTGCCTTTTTCCTTGCCATCGGACACGATCCGAGACACTTGCCAGTTGCTGTGGTGAACGACGAGGTGCCCTGGTACCGGGCTGGCCCTGGACCTTCCTACACAGGAGGACCCCTCTTCGTGGAAAATGACAGGTGCCTGGGTATGATAGTGCCAGGGTGCAACATGACTCGCCTCAGCTGCAGATTCCTTGACGCCCTCGACCCCACATTTGTCACAAAGGTACTGTTAAAAAACTTCATCTTATTAAATAAAATATATTTTTAGTAAAATTTAAAAAAGATTCCATTTATACTTTTTAAAATTTGTCTGTCAGAGAAAAATTTTAGCAATCTACTAAAATATTTCGATTTTAGAAAATATTTATTATAGATTTCAAAATCTATAGCTAAACCGAGCTGAACGAGACTATTGAATGATTTCGACTTTCGAGGCGTATTTTTAATTTTCATCTATATTTTTGAACAGAACTTTTTTTGTATTTGTAAATTTTGTAACCTTTTGTACCATAATTGTAAATGAAATCTCACAACCGAATGAATGTTCAGAGATACTACTCGGACCTGAAAAGTGCCCAGGCTGCAGTGAAGGCGGGCGAAGTGTGGGGCACCATGCACTTCGGAGCCAACTTCAGTGCTGCCCTTGAAGAGCGCAAAGAACGAGGAAAGGACACCAGCGACGAAGCCCTGGAAATGGGAGAACTCGGCGTGTGGCTAGATATGTCTGGTGAGACGAACTATCTAAAAACCAAAATTAAATTACTAAATATAAATTTTAAAGATCGGCAGATTGGCCTGCTGCTGAAAAAGCAGATCCTGGACTCTTACAAGAAGTTCTTCAAGGAGTTGTTGTCCGACTGCGAACTGAACCACAAGTACGGTGAAGTTCCCATCCAGTTCAAGCCTCCCATCTACGGAGTCGAGTACCCCAGCTACACGATGTTCATGGCCCCCGGGGTCATCTTGACCGTGGTCTTCTTCCTCAGCACCGGCATCACCTGCACCACCATGATTTCCGAGGTGCATGAAGGCATTTGGGACAGAGCCCTCGTCACAGGCAACGACAATGATTTTTTTTTTTCACGAAATAAATAAACATGTTGATTTTTTCCACAGGAATCACAGCAAGTGAGATTCTGCTATCCCACGTGCTGACCCAAATGCTGGTGCTGTTTGCCCAAACCATCGAGTGTCTGCTGCTCTCCTTCCTCCTCTTTGGAATGACGAGCAACGGCTCAATCATTCTGGTCACCCTCCTCACCGTTCTTGAAGGCTTCTGTGGAATGTGCTTTGGTAAACGTCAAGAACTAATAATTATTAAAAAAAGCCATCAGCTTCTATATTTCTTTTATAATGCTAGTTTTAAAAAAAATATATATAAAGCAATTTTTTAATAAAAATAGTAAATTTTTAAATTTTAACTAGGTTTCTTGATCTCCATCGTGTGTGAGAACATCTCTGCTGCCAACTACTTGTCAATCGGAAGTTTTTACCCCATGATCCTTTTGTGTGGTGAGTTTAAAGACCTTTTATTTTTCAAATTAGCTCTGGCAAAATACTTTTAATTATGCATAGTATGGCTGTATTGTACAAGTTTCTTTACACTCTTGATCAAGATCATCTCAAGTTTTTAAATTATATTAAAAAAAATGCTTCACATCAGTATTTGGCTGGAGGCCTTGGAGGGACTGCTTCTTTCTCTTCTAGGTTTCCTTGTGCACGCAGCAGCAGCAAGAAGTACCAGCCAACCTAACATTTTATCCATCACAAACAAAAATCAATTTTTCCTCCAGAATTGCCATACCGAGTCTTGATCAAATTCAAGAGCGCCCGAGTCTTGGCGTTGGCAGCAGACAGGCGGCCAGTGAGCTGAATGATGGCTCCGGCCGAGGTTTGCACTCGGTCCTTGAAGACATAGGCCAACCTCCGGTGCGGCACCTTGAAGGCTTTCAGCTGCTCTGTCAGGCAGTCAATCAGGTTCTGCAGCTGCATGATTTGCTCCTCCAATGAGTTCAGGAAAATTTGGTCACGTTCTAGCTGAGAATTCAAACAAATTGTTTGAGCTGGTCAAAAATATGGTCAAAAACAAAACAATTACCAAGGAAATGACATCTTCGCACGACATTTTGGGCTCTTTGGTGCTCGTCTGGAGCCGCGTTTTTTCTTCAAAGTCCAACTGGCACTCGGTGTAGGCCTGAAGCTGCTGCCTGATCAGCCCGATGGACATGTCCACGTCGTCGTTGATCTGGTTCACGCGCATTTTGGACTTCCATGGAAATTACATGTGACACTCGAGAACATGTGTTTTGGACTGCCAAGGACAAGGAAAGTGGAGGGAAGACGGAAGAAAGCTGAAAATCTGCAATACCGGTTTAAGTGCGAAAAATTACCGGTATTTTTCAAACGAAGAAATCGGTGATTCCAAATTATTAGCAAATTTCAGTATAAACTTCGATCCCAGAGTAGAAAATCTTTCAGAAAAATCAAATTTTTGTCTTATTCTACAGCCTAATGCAATTTTTTTCTTTTCAAAAAATCAATTTTGACGAGAAAGCTTCTTGTTATGATCGGCAAGAAAACTGGTTATTTAACAATAAAAAAACCTAACCACTTCGTGGGAACGCGCCAAGCTGGCCGTTATTGTCAGAGGGGCTAACGACACATACTATTATGAAACATTTTTTATTTTTGCTCTTTAATCTTTAACTATTATTTTTCCGTTTTCAGGAATTGTGTGGCCTCTGGAAGGAATGCCATCTGGTCTGCGTGCCTTTTCGCTGCAGCTGCCTTTGACTAGGTCAACGGACTCGTTGAGAAACATAATGACGAAAGGCTGGGGAATCACCGAGCCTGGCGTTTACGAAGGCTTTTTGGCCACTTTTATTTGGATTCTGGTCCTCCTAGCCCTTTGCGTCGTCGGATTGAGAATTAAAAAGGGTTAAACAAATCGGCTAAAAAAAACTACATACTTCATTTTTTACGACAAAAGAAGGGAAAAAATCCGGTTTTCGAGCTTTAATTAATTTCGAATATTTTATATGCAGGACACATATTTGCTCAGAGACTTATTTCTCGGTACGATTTTTTTTGCTAACTAGTAGTATTGGTTTTAAACATTAGTTATTTAGTTTGTAAGAATTGCCCAGCGCGAGCAATTAAATTATTACCCCCGCGAGAATGCGCATCGAGTGCGTGAATCCGATGAAAAAAAACTATTGGTCACTGAAACAATTACTTACTTTTCTGCCAGTAAACGTGATGAGAGGCTCGGAAACCCATTCTGCGACACTTTTGCTGCTGTGATTGTAATATTTAATTGCATTTATATATCATTTTTTTTTACTCCCCACAACTAGCAGAAATAAAATTAATAATAAAAAATGCCTTCAACTGCGAAAATAACTCTGTTTGTTTATGAGAGGAGAAATCTGTTTCCTATGTAAATATATGTATTCAAAATTGTGGTGACTTTGGAGATTTTCCTCGAGTAGTAATATTATTTTGAGTTTGTGTCATTTTTACTATTGATTTTGTTGCAAGGAGGCCAAACAATTATTGAGATGAAAATATTAATAAAAATACCTAGAATATTAAGAATATAATCTTTTTATTTATAATTCCATCCTTGGTGATTGAATTTTAATTCTACAAGTGAATGAAAAACTATTATAAATTTTTTTAATTATTTATAAAAGATTATATTTGTAAGAAAAGAACAGAGAATTGGCCCCACGTAAAATGTGAAGCAATTTTGTTTCGACTTGCTCAGATTAAAAACAACATCCTAAATACCACATGAAAGAAGGATTTCCCACGCCTGCTTTGAGAAAACGAGAGAAAATAATCGAACACGGAGCTGCGAGCGCCTGGTGTGCGGCGTTAGGCAACCGGCGCTGCAGGCACGTCGTGCCGGTTGCATACGCACCCTTGTCAAATAGCACCATAGCAACACGCAATCAAATAGGACGAAATTTTTTCACAGATTAGGAACTTAGTTGAGGACTTTGCTGATTTTATTTCAGTTTAATTTTAAAAATGGAGTTGAGCGAAACAGATACACCAATTGAAGAGGCTCAGCAAGTTGATTACGAACTGCTCGAGAGTAAATACAAAAAGGTTTGATTTTTTTTATATGTAATTATTTTTTTGTAACGAATACAAAATTTTGAATTAGTTGTGTGAGGAGTTGGAGCGAAATGTGGCGATGGAGGATGTCCTTTCCGAGTTCAATTCGCTCTTCGGCGCCCTGATGACCACTCGCCAAAACGAGCACCTGATGAGACTCAGTTGCGAAAAGTTGCAGCAGCAACTGGATTTGAACGAGGAGTCCCTGGAAGAAGCTGTGCAGCAAGCGGAGAACTCGAGCAAAAGCGTTTTGAGCATGAAAGAAGCGATGGAAAACGCATTTCGGATGGCCGACGCGGCTCACTTGCGAGAACAGGCGGCGCAGGAGGCGCTCGTCGCTGCCGAAAAGCAAATCCAACTGCTCAAAACGGACATTGAGCAAACTAATAGGGCTGCTCTCGAAAAAGAGGAGTAATTAAATTTACAGTTTCATTAAAAATTAATTTTAGATTTTACGAGGGGAAAAACGTGAAATTTTATTAAAACTATAAATAATAAAATATACATTAAGATTTTTTGAGGATTGTTTAATTTTTATCGCTATGAATATAAAACAAAAATTTCAGTTTCAATAGAAATATAAAATTCATATAAATGTATTTCGAGGTTAAAAATTTTAATTGAAGATATCAATAAATATTTCCTTCTCAGTTCTGCTCCTCGGAAACAGGACGAGCAGAAACAGGAAAGGGAAAAGGCAAACGGCGATGTTGTTGATTTAAAAGCAAAACTAACAGCATCGTCCAACGCTTATGACGAATTGGAGAGGAAAAATATGGCAGCCGGAGCAAAGATCGACACGATGTCACAACACTTAGAGGTTAGCTTTATAAAATTATAAAAATAAAAAGATGGATATAAAATAATAGAAAAAATAAAGGTTTTAAGTGTTGAACTTGGAAAGGAGATGCGATTAAGAGAGTCCCTGGAGCAGCAACAGCTCTCTTTCTCAAACATTGTAGCAGAAAAAGATTCCGAAATCCAAAAACTTGAACAAAAATTAAAGTCATTTGACAAACTTGTGGGCAAAAGCGAAAGTCTGGAAAGTGAGAAAAAGGTAATTTTTTTTTTTTTTTTTAAATCCAAGATTTTGATTTAATTTTAAATAGGCAGCTGAGGAAAAACTGCAAAAGGAGCTTGAAGTTATGGCGGCAAGGGCCGTCAAAGCCCAGCAGGATTATGAAGCCCAGTTGATCAAAGTTGAAAGGCTGTCCAGAGAGGCGAGCCAGAAAGCTGCCGCTCTGAGGGTGAAATTAATTTTGTTTTTCGGAAAGAAAAAAATTCAATTTGTTAATTTTTTCAGGCTAGAGACGAAGAAGTTCAGAAGGTGAGGCAGGAGGCAACGAAATACATCAAAGGGCAAGAGTCGCACTTCAAGCGGATGGCCACGATGGAAGCGGTGAGAAACGAATGGGAAAGGCAGAAAGAAGAGCTGAGGGCGCAAATCGTTGAAAGAGAGCGCGAGGCTGACAGGCTGAGGAAGCAGGCCGACAGTCAGAAGAAAAAACTGGACGTCGTTGTCCGGGAAAAGGAAATGCTGGCGAAAAACACGAGCAAAGCGGCCGGTACTTAGATTATAATAAAAAAGAATTAAAATTAAGGAATGATAAATAAAAAAAAGGATTGCTGGAGCAGCAAATTGAAAAAACTAAAAATTTTGAGCAATTGGAGAGAACTTTGCAAAACCAACTGCAGGAGAGGGACCATGAAATTGCAAAACAAAAGACGCATTTGAAACAAATCGAAAACGAGTGCAAAAAGTACAAATTAAATTTTTATAAATTCAAAAACATGTTCACTTGAGCAAATAATTCAACAGATTAAGAGTGATGACGGAGAGAAAAGAAGAAAAATTTGAGGAGACTTGCGATCAGCTCAAAGATCAGCAGGATCAGAGAATTTTCGCCAGGAAACAAATGACCAGGTTGTCATTTGAGCAAAAAAACGAGTCGGCTCTTTTGGAGGCGCTCAGATTTGACAAGGAAAACTGTGAGAGGCAACTCACTGCTGCCAAAGTATGCACAAAAATTGTGTGGAAAAAAATATACATGTGTTTAATTTATAATTTAAATAAAAGGCTAGAGTTGAACGGTTGGAAGAAAAAATTCAAGAGTTGGAGCAAAATGGGGTCCAACTGAAAGAGAGCATCATTGGTTTTGAGACGAGTAAAATGAAAGAAGAGCTCGGTAAAAGAAAAGAAAATTTGAAAAAATATAAAAGGTTAAAATTATTATTATTATTTCAGTTTTGCAAAGAGCAGAGCGCGAGAAGGAGAGCGCACGGCACGAGCTGCGGCAGGTCAGGGAGCAGTTGGTGACCTTCAGGGAACGAGCCCTGACCGCCGAGCAGGAGCAAAAAACCCTTCAGGACGAAATTGCAGACTTAAAGCAGCAAAAAGAGAAACTCGGCTCCGATTTGGAAAAGGTAGAATCATTAGAATTAATTTAATTTGCGAAATTAAAATTTAAATTAATCTGACGTTTTTAGATCAATGAGAGTCAGACCGTTTTGCAAAAGAAACTGAAAGCCAAGGAAGAAGAAATTCGGGAGTTGCGAGCGCAAATCAAAGAGTTGGAGAAGGAATTCAAAAAGGCGAATGTGCACTACGATCAGAAGGTGGAGGAAATCCGGCTGCTGAAACTGCAGGTGCAGAACCTGACCAACGAAAACCGGCTGATCACGCAGGACCTTACGGCTAGGGACGACACAAGGGTGCAGGTTTTCAGGCTGCAACGCGACCTGACGGAGGAGCAGCTCAAGCGAAGGGCGCTCGAGGAGGAACTGGCGCAGCCCAGGAACATCCACAGGTGGCGCTACCTTCAGGTCTGAACAACACGTATGCAACATTGAAAATGTTTTTAATTTTCTTCATTCAGGGTGAGGATCCTGAACGGTTCGAGCTGATACAAAAACTGGCCCTGGTCCAGAAAAGGCTGATTTGGACCATGTCAAGCAAAAGTGGCAAAAATAACGATAAGTCTGTAGAGGAAGGTCGCCGCGCTGCACTCCACAGTGCTCCGCCTGCTACCTTCAGCGCGGCGGAAATGCTATACCAACTGAGACAAAGCCAAAAGCAAATTAAAGTATATAAAAAATTAAAAATATAATATACATTTAAAAATTAAATATTACTTTTTGTTGAAAATTCCAAATCAGGTATCAATCTTTTAATTTATCTAAATCAATGTTTCACAACTTTTGTTCAGCTAGTTTTTTTTTTAGTTTTAATCGTTTTAATGTAACAACAAAAAGGTAAAATATTTTTCAGTGTTTGGTTGCCGAAAAGATGATGTACCAGTCACAGGTGGGCGATCTGCGACAGCAGGTGCATCAGTTGGGACTGCAGCTGCAGGAGAGCAAGAGGAAACTTTTTGCACAGGTATGACGTTTTTAACCATCAAATCGCTTCACGGAAGAACAGTGATTTTTTTTCGTAATGTGAAAGAATAATATGATACAAAAAAATGAAATCTCAACAGAAAAGAAAACTGAGGAAAAGCAGAAGTGCGAAATTGGAGGAGCCTACCTTAGTTCCTGTGCAGCCTAAGGTTCGGTTTACCGGTGGCGGTTTCAATCTCGATGTGACTCCGCAGGACTCTCGCTTGACAGATTAAAAGACACGCGCGTGTGTGGAAATAAAATAAAGTGTTAAACATGTTGTTATTAAATTTTCCATTAGTCTTCAGGAATTTTAATTAGATTTTACACGATTGTAAAAACACAATTAGAAAGGAAAAAAAATGTAAATGTTACAATAAAAATGGAATCACATAAAAAATCTAAAAAATATTTCTTATTTTTCATTTCTACTATTTTTTCTAAATTGGCTTTTAAATTTTTCAATTAAGAGCTTTCGCCAGCTCGACATCGGATTATCGCACCGAGAGTATGAGACGATCGATAGTTTCGGCAGCAGTCAGGGATGAGAGTGCCACTCTCGCTGACGAAAACCTCATTTTTCTTATCGCACCCGTTTAACGTAGGCTTTATCTATCTCTCGCGGTCGATTGATACAATCGCGAATAATAACGAGACTCAGTCAGTGAGGCGTTGAAATGGCGATCACGCACAGGACGTTCGTACTGCTGACCTTTCCAATCTCCTGCATCTCCATCGCCCTGCTGGCCACGGCGCTCGCCTCGCCGAACTGGATCCAGGCCAGGGCGCTTTACGAAGAACCCACCTATGACCTCTCCGACATCAACTACGGTCTCTTCACCGGCACGCTCACGCGCCGCATTTTGTTAACGCCTAAAAGTTTCAGCCTGCACAGTGAGTAAATTAAAATTTGAAATTAAAAAATTAATAAAACCTTTTAGAAAATAAAATCTCAAATAGCTGAGATCTGAGCTATAAAAACGGACCAAATTTTTTATTGGACAATTATTCATGGAGTTCCTATATTTTATAGCACCCACTTCTATTTCATCCAAAATTTGTCAATAAATTTTCGTACATAAAAAAATTAAAAAAAAATCAATTAGAATTTTTTTGATCAGTTCCAGTAGTACTTTTTATTTTTGTCAAAGTTGTCACCCATTTTAATGTAAAAATTTTTAAGTGACATGTTTGGTTGATCTGAACATCTGCGCTCTGAGCTGTTTGGGAACCGAAGAGGAACGGCAAGAGGAAGTCCGGTTACTCTATGACACCCAGGGTGATGTCAATGCTACAGAATGCGCCCCCGTTGTCTTATCCCAAGGCCCAGAATACATAACAGACGGTCAATTGAGAAAAGATCAATTCGAGATCAAACCCCTGCCTCAAAACGGTAAAAAATGAGAGAAAAATTTCAAATGGAATGTTTATTTAAAAATTATTTTTGTTTTTAAGATAAGTTGGTCAGATTTGATCGGGACCCTGTTTTCATTAACATGGGCCTCTGGGCTTCAACGATCGCCTTCATCGCCCTGGCCCTTTTGATGGCCACGGTCGGGGCCATCTTCTCGGTGCTCAACACGGCGGGAAACCCCGTCGAGCCGATCTTGGGAATCATGGGTCTGTTCATTTGGAACGCGATTGCAGGTTTGTTTCCTAATGTTGTCCTCTATCAAAATCAAGAGTAGCTCCTTAAGTGTGATTTTAATGGGATTTTCTCAATATCGAAACAGAAAGAGCCAAGAGATACGTCATTTAGCAATTCAAACGATTTTCTTATCTGCCCGCGATGACGAATAAGTTTGGAAGTCGCTGATAAAAATGAATAATCTAATATATAAATGGAGCTTAACACACTGTGCTGATTATAAAAATTAAAAAGTCTCCTTGCAATTAATTAATGGACTAAATGCTTATATAAAATTTTTAATAATAAATTTTTTTATTAAAAATGTAATTAATTAATTTTTTAATTCAGCTGTGGCGATTGATATTACTTTAATACTGTGGGGCATCCAGTATGGCATCACCTTGGTCACAAATGTAGCCCTGACCGAAACAATTATTGGCTTAACGTCGACAAATGGATTGGCAGCACTCGGCTTTTCCTTCTGGTATATAATAAAGATAATCAGCAAAATCCCCATTGACGAGAATTAACACTTTGATGTGCGATAGGATACTGATTGGAGCCGACGTGGCGCACGTCGTTAACATAGGACTCCTGCTGTACCGCAGACACCTGATCCGGACGGAACCGCCGGCGCCGACGGTGGAGCTCAAAGACGACTCGGACGGCGCCATCTTTTTGTATTAATTTACAAGCAACGTGTGTTCAAAACAGAGGAAAGATTGCTGTCGAGCGAGGTTGGAAAGAAAGGCCAATAAAAAGCAGTTGTAAAGTTCCAAAATTGAGTGAAAGTTAATTAAAATAAATGCAATAATAAATTATTATGTGACTCTAAAACAATTAGGAAAATTGTTTCTTTGCGTGAAAAAAATTTAACTTTCAAGAGTGAATATTTTAATGAAACTTTTTACACATATAAAACATGGCAAATCTGATTTATTTACTTTTATACACTGTTTTATACTATTATTGAATCAAATAAAAAAAAAAAATTTCAGTACAATATCACAATTAAGGGTGAGTTGAATATAAAGTCAACGTTTCCTCACATTTTTTTAAATCATTCTAGTGCAAAATTGGAACAAAAATGTCATAAGATTATTCTTGAAAGAATTTTGGTTGAATTTTAAGAAACAAATAAAAACTATTTCAGGTATGTAGTAATCTTTGTAAAAAAAAAAAAAAAATTTATGAATGAAGCCCGCAGTAGACACATTTAGAGAAGAGCAGGTTTTTTCTGAAACAATAATCGACTTTATAAACCCTTCTAGGAACAAAAGATTTTTAATTCAACTCGCCATAAAAAAAATAGTATATAAAGAGTTTGTAAGTTTTCACCGGTTCACACAAGATTTTATAAAAATACAATTTAATTAGGAAAGTGTGGGTGCAAATTAAACTTTCGCCAGCAAATATTTCGCAGGTTAAACAGTTAAAAGTTAGAGCAAGCAATTTTAATCCAAGAACAAACGCTCCCCTCCCGCTGTTTATTACTTTTTTTACCTGGCAGGTGAGCCGCGCAGACCGTCAAGGGCTCCCTCTGCCTGCGAGTGGAACGACCAGTCGCCAGTTTCCAAGCAGCTGTAGTTGTTGTCGGACGCCCGAATGTGCTTTTTGTCGGCGGAAATGTCGTGAGTTTGACCCCAAGATGAATTTTTACAAGCGAGGGATGATTTTCGTCACCTTCCTGGGGTGCTGCTTGGCCCTGGGGTTGTTGGTGGGTGCGCTCGGCACGCCGTACTGGGTGCTCTCCACGGCCGAACGCATTCCCAACACCGAAAAGTCGGACGGCAGCATCCACTTTGGCATCTTCACGGGCAGAAAGAGCCTGAACGTCGGCTACGGCACCAGGACCACCGAATTCCAAGGTAGTTAAAAACAAAGTAATTAATAAAATAAATTTAATAAAAATAATTTAAATTTTAGAAAAATGAAAACAAAACTTCAATTATTTTTAAATTAAATTTTTTTAATTAAAAATTTCCTTTGAATTTTATTTTTATCAAAGTAATTACTTTTCGCCTGCGAGGTCTCTTTTTTTACACTTAATTTTGAGATGTTACGTATTCAAGGTCTCGGCTCTCTCAAGTGCTGCATATTATTTCTCGAACAAAGCGTCTGTGCACCTGAGCGTGACAAAAGAAAGATTTTCGTTCCCTCGGTACCTATATTATCTATTTGCACGTGAGAATCTGAGTTTCAAATTTTTTCTTTAATAATTTATCGGCCGGCCAACAAAGGAAATTCCTTCGTCGATTTCGTGTTCTTTTACGCGCGTGCACTGAGAATGAATTATGGCTAACGGTACTCTCGGCCTGCATCCATGTTGTGATAGGCCTCATTATGGGCATTTATAATACTGCATCTTCGTTCGGCGCCTCGAGGCTTGCAAATACAACCTTAGTGAGAAAAGCGCCGTGCGAATTAATTCTAATGTCATTTTGTAACTGTTGTGAATTGAGTGCGGCTTTGGAGATTTCTACTCGAATCGGCGGAAATTGAGAAACAACTAAATGTTTCACTGGGTCAAAAGGCCGACTGACCGCAGCGGACCTGTTTCTTTTTTCATCGGCGTGTGTTGCAGAGATGCCACTGAGATATCACGAATTGGCATACAAATCCTGATTTGGACTTTTTCCTTGTAATAAATAGATTTTCGACTGAATGAATTAAGGAAAGAAAATATAATTTCGCAATATTTTAATTCGTTTGGTTACCGGGTGAAGATCTGCTTTTGCTTTAAATACATCTAAAAAAAAGCATTAATCTAAAATCTAAAAATATTTTAATTTTAATTAAAAAAACGTGTCGAACAAATCAAGTTTTTTTATTCAATTTAAAAAAAAATGTGAAAAATAACTCTAGCTTGACTATAATCAGTTTTTAATTTTCAACTTAATATTACGCGTAAAAATTACATCATTTTATACTTTTCTGTGAAAATGGTGTTCAACTTGTTTTATTCATTTTTATTTCTTCATATAAATTAGGAACATATTATTTCGCAGCGGAGCACAAATGTTAACAACGGATCCATTAAATTAGCAGTGCCCTTGTTGATTTTTGAACAAGCCACGCACAATCTAACATCAGCTAGAGAAGCAATCAGGACAGAACCCGAAAATTTATTCAGTCTCGATTCGGCTGCGTGAAATCGAGACCGAAAGGCCATGCGATTGGCCAATCGTAGCACTGGGCTGAGCACTTTATGCTAGTCTAAGTAATATAATATAAACAAATAAAAAGTTCATTTCATTTTGAGAAATTTTTCAAAATAAAACAGTAATGAACTGCTTGTTAAAAGTGATTCCTTTTTGAAGCCTCTTTTTGAATAGCCCACGCAGTAAAAGCTCAAATTTATTACAATGAAAAGTGAGCGATTTATTTGTTTATTTATAACACTCGTTGGTTATTCCCACGTTAAATTTTGCCGTGGGCGAACTTGCATTATTTTATTATTTGATCTTACATGCGCGAGTAAAAATGCAAACGCCAGAAAAAGCGTGGTGTATAAAATATTGTTTGCTAGAAAGTTTCTCGTCTGTGAGAAGAAAATTTTGCCTCCGTCGCATGAGGTAACCACGCGCGGCTTGAATTCGATATGGATGCGGCTAGTGTTAATATGCAGTTTGTTCAGGGTGTTGTGCAAACAGCATAAGTTTCATTCCGGTAAGAGAAGCAATTTGTGGTGATTATTTACGCAGTTACCCTTTGTAATTATATACCGCTCATCCTGCTTTCAAAGAGTTATCCAAGAATGTTTTGAACAAAACTTTTTCATTTAATTCGATTTTATATAATTTTCTTTACTTTATAAAAGAAAGCCCTGTTTTCATAATTTTTAATACTTTGAATAAAAATAAAAAAAAGAATGAAAAAAAAATTGAAATGTAAAAAATATCGTCGTTGCTTTTCTTGCGTAATAAGCCCATACAAATTTCTGAGGAAATTTGGGTAAAATTTATTGGCATTGAAACTCTTTTTAATAATTAAACCTTTCACTTCCTAATTGATACAAAAAAATAAGACTTCCTTTCAATTCCGCATTTATCTGTAAGGACAAAACGATTTTTCGCCGCCTCACGCATTGAATTCACACCATAGTTTGCACTTTTTCCAAGAGTTAATTAAAAGCTCTCTCAGCGGTTGATCTCATTGAGTGTCTCTCTCAGATGAGAAAGCGACGACAAAGAGCAGCGAATTAGTGAAAGAGGATCACACCGGCGGTCCTCCTTTTGTGCCTTGCGCTTTGTTGTGAGATACTTTGCTCGAATCTAGAGCAATCTGAGTGAGAAAAAATCTGCTCTTTATATGGCTTCGTCCGAAATAATGCCATGCGTGCGTTTTCTCCGAAATTATACGGCGTAGGTGGAGCAAGACTTGCGGGGATAAAAAAATACGAGAGATGTTTTATTTTTCTGGTGAGACTAACGAGAGCAAAATTTCCATTTCCGAATGGAAGGGGAGGCAATTAAGAGGAATATAACCTCAAGGATTAATGCACTCATGCAGTACTTTGTTCTAAAAAGCAAGTTTTGAGTTGATACATTTTAACACCAAACAAAAACAATTTACAATATTTTTATATTTACGAAAGACAAATACCACAAAAAATAATAAAAACGTAATTCACATTAAAATAAAATAATATATAACCTGGAAATGATTTTATCGTTTTTCAGTATAAATAACTTAAGGTATTCATAAATATCTTCTTATTTTTGATGCTGTGAATTTTTGTATAAAATTAATTATTCTAAATGTCAATCCCTATTTCTTTTTTTCTTTTTTGCAGTCGAGGAACTTATGCTGTTGGACGCGGACGCATTTGCCTTGAACAGAGTTTACTGGTGGGGCACCGTGGGCGGACTGACCGCCGGCCTCCTTCTGGCCACCCTTTCTGCCATACTGGCCGCCCTGAACACGGCGGTCACCCCTGCCAGCGCCTTGCCAGGCATCCCCGGCATTTACCTCTGCAACTCTTTGGCCGGTATTTTTATTTATTTATTTTATTTTTTATTATGATTTAATTTGGTTTTAATTATCTAGTCGCGGCCAATGTTGCAACTCTGGCCTTTTGGGGTGTTGCCTTCCACAAATCCTTCCAGTACAACGTGCTAACAAGAGAGGATTTGGAAAATCATTGGACTACAGATGGAAAAGCGTATTTTGGCTTTTCTTTCTGGTGAGTGATTACAATTGGAGTATTAAAATAATTCAATAAATTATATTCTTATTTAGGCTCGTGATTGGAGCTGCAGTTGTTCATATTTTGAACATTTTAATTCTGGCCATCGGCACCAGAGACAGAGAGTCGCGCTCGACAGTAACGCCTGTCGTAGAGGAAAAGACCAACGGGGCCATCATGTTGTACTAAATAATTAACACATCAAAATTAGAATAATTGTATTGCAAGCGATTTCGAAGTGAAAACCAAACTAATTGAAAATGCATAAACGTGTAGCGTAAAAGTGCTGAAAAAAATAATATGAATTTATGATTCTAGACTATAGCTTGTAAGAATGTGCCTCATAAATAGTTGGTCCAAATTTTAATTTTAAGCAAAGAGATACTTTTGTAATAAATGCATCTCAAAGACTAATCTTGTAATTTTATACAACTGAATTAAGGAAATATTGAAAATATTATAATTTCTGGTAATTCTATGCAACAAAGAGAGACATCGAAATGTAATAAGGAAATAACATTATATTTTAAACAAATAAAAAAAATTAAATCTGAGATCTACTAAATTAATTTAGTGTATACTTCTTACCATATTGCAACCAACCTTTTAGATAACAATATTATGTTGCATTGACACATATAAGCCGTTTTATAAAAAAGCCAAGTGATTGAAAATGAGCATTATGATGATAATATTGAAAAATAAATCATTAATTATTGCTTTGTGCCTTTCTTGTGCATTATAGCATTATGATACCTGATTGGCTCGTTCTTCTACTCAAAACAAAATAAAAACGAACACCATGCAGAGCATTTTTGCGTTTCAAGGTTTGAATTTTTTTCATCCTCTTCATCGCTCCTCTGTAGATTATTGACTGAGTATTGACATGCGCCGAACGCAGGAAAACAAAAAGATCCCGACCAAAATGCTAGTTGGGAACTTTCCTACAAAATACTTTAAATGAACAAAGCATGTATTTTATAGCTGAAAACATCCCTCCATGGCATTAATGTACAGAAATTAATTCTTTTTCTTGCCGAACCATTGATTTTATTCCTAATAAATCAATGTGCCGAACAATAATAATTCTTTTATTAAACGCTTTTGCGTACAATACTAAACGACCCACCCTTCTCCACTTTCGCGGTTTTTATTTTGTAGCTCGACTTGGCCGCGCCCACAAACAATTCAGCCAATGGCGGATGGCGAGCCACTGCTCACTGCCCCCTGGCTGCCCCTGGCGTCGTCGACGAAAACCACTTTTCAAACATTACCGGTTGACCGTTGAGCTCGCGCTTGGCTGCCCTTGTAAGGGGTGGCGATTTAATTTCGTCAATTAACCCCTTTCCGTCGAGGTTCGTCCGCTAAAACAACAAATATCAAGGTAAAAATATCCGTGCCAACATTTTCCACCAGGTTGCTTCCGACATTCTTGTCAATTTTGAAGAAAACGAGGATTGTTTATGTCGACCTTGGCTTCCGGCCAAAAAGTTGGGGCATTTGTTATCCAATCTTTAAGTGCCTGTAAATGTAAATGCATTTTTCCTAATTTTCGCAGATGTTCGGACGTGTGATTAAAAAGGCTTCACCTCGCAAGAGGAAATCGTTGACCATGAAGCACGGGACGGCATCCAAGAGGCTTTCCAATGTTGGTCTTCTGGCCACTCCGAGTGCCAAAGGCTCGGCCACCTGTAGCAGCAACATCAAAGTGCTTTTGCGAGTGCGACCTTCGTCTAGGAAGGAGTTGGACGACAACAGGTGGAGGTTCGTTTTGTCATTAATTATTAAAAAGAAATCTACATAATATAAATTATCTTTTGTATTCTTTGCAATATTCGTATGAATATAAATGTTTAAACTTTGCCCAGGGACGTTGTCGAGGTTGTTGACAAAGATTTGGTCATCTTCGACCCTAAAGAAGAGGAGGACTTTTTCTTCCACCACGGAAAAAAGCAGGCTTTCAGGGACATAAACAAGAAGCAACCAAAGAACTTGCAGTTCAATTTCGACCAGGTCTTTGGTTCGGAAGAATCGACTGCTGAGGTTTACCAGAAGTCCATTCAGGGACTGATTTACAACTTGATGAATGGCTACAACTGCTCGGGTACGTCTAAATAACTATAAAAATGAATTCCTCATATCTCTAATCTAAATTTTAACAGTTTTTGCTTACGGAGCAACTGGCGCTGGCAAAACCTTCACCATGCTTGGCACTCCGGAGGCACCTGGTATCACTCCCCTTCTAATGAAGGAACTCTACGACACTTTGCAGCAGGAAAACGCTGATGTTGACGTTGCTGTCTCTTATTTGGAAATTTACAATGAGATGGTAAAAGATTTTGTAATTTATTTTACATGCATTCATTGAAGTCTCTCATAAGGTGCACGATTTGTTGGTGGAAACAAATCCGCCCAAGCAGCTTCAACTGCGAGATGACGGGGCATGTGTGATTGTTAGCGACCTGAGTTGGCACCGACCGGCTACCGCAGACCAACTGATGTCCATTTTGCAAGCTGGCAACCTTCGGAGGACGCAGCACCCAACTGATGCAAACAAGGAGTCTTCTCGATCACATGCTGTTTTTCAAGTAAATTGAAAATACCAATTTTTAAAATTGATTACATGTAAATAAATTATTTTTAGGTTTTGGTTAAGATGAAGAAGAGGAGTGACACTGGAGGCAGGTCTGGCCAAGTGAGGTGCGCCAAGTTGTCAATGATTGACTTGGCAGGGTCTGAGAGAGCAGCAGCAACAACCAACAATAAATGCCGGTTTGCTGAAGGGGCCAACATCAACAAGTCCCTGCTTGCTTTGGGTCAGTTGATTTAAACAAAACTTTGTCCCAGATTAAAATTTTGAATGTTATTTCAGGCAACTGCATCAACGCTTTGGCTGACGGACTGAAACACGTTCCTTTCCGCAACTCCAAACTGACGCGACTGCTAAAGGGCTCGCTTGGGGGAAACTGCCAAACCGTGATGATCGCCAACGTCTCCCCCAGTAGTGCCGTCTATGAAGACACTTACAACACCCTCAAGTATGCCACAAGGGCCAAGAAGATCAAGAACAGGGTCAAGAAGAACCTGATCTCTGTTGACATCACCGCAGCGGAGACTGCAAGGGAGTTGGACTCGGCCAAGGCTGAGATTGCAAGGCTGCAGGCCCAGAATGCTGCTCTGCGGGCGGAGAATGATTCGCTTAAGTTAGCAGCTAAGGAGCATGTCTGTGCAGGTGCACCCGTTGTGGTCGAACAACCCGTTGTCACAGTGGTGCAGGAAACACCGCCCCCTATTCAAATTGTCCAGGAGTTGCCAACACCTGAACCGAGTCCAAAACCTGCCAGTCCGGCAGTTGAGGAACAGAAGAATTTGGAAATTCTGGAAATGCTGAGGGCCCTTCGAGAGTCATGCAAACAATTTGAGACTGCGGCAGCCACCAAGTACACTTTGGTCGCTGAGTTAGATAAGTTGGAGTACAACTACGACATCAAGAAACTCAAGTTCCAGAGGATTAATGAACTTAGCAAGGAGGGAACTCAGATAAAGGTTTGTCAATTAGAAAAGGCAGTATTTAATATTTTTTAATTTTGATTTTATTTAAGGAGTCGTCACATGAGATTAAAGTCAAGGCCCAAAGGATCAACCTTGAACAAAAGCTGGAGGAAGCCACGCTTGAAGAACAAAGGTGTTTTGAGACAATTAAATTGTCCATCTCCTCTCTACAGCAAATTGACTCTACCATTTTCAACTTGGCCAACATCATGCTCAATCCCTACGTAAGTCAATAAAAATTCTTTTGAAACGGCATTATATTTAAAATAGTTTAACTGAAGCAAAAAAATTTTAAAATTATTCAAATTCTAAAAATCAAATTTATTCTCAACCGGGAGTTTACGAGTTTAGCCACTTGTTTAAAACAGTTGATAATTTGAAATTTTCCACGTAGTGTGAAGGCAAGGAGAAGGAACTGCGGTTTGCAACCTGTTCAAAGCTCTCAGTTCAAAAGAGTACGGAGATTGAAACTATCCAAAGCGCCTTCCTCAAATGCGCTTCCGTCCTGCACAAGTGCTTCTTCACTCTGAAAGGCCTGTGCTGCGTGAGCCCCGAGCTGCAGGCGCAGTTCGACGAACTGCTCTCGTATGTGCGGCAAAGTGGAAGCGTCAAATTCAAATCGGCGGATGAGGAAGACGAGGTTGACTCAGCTCTCAAAAAGAGCGACGAAGACTTTGACAACTTCATGGACGAATTCGAGCAGGAGCTGCTGGCGAGACCTCTTGACCAGACCTTCAACGCAGAACCTAAAGTTGTAAACACTGAAAGTATGGATGCTACTTTCTGCGTCGAAAACCCCAGTGCTGCCAAGAAATCGAAATTCTCACCACCGAGACGGCCGATGGAAGCACCCTTCAGGGTCAAACCCTATTCTGGTGAGTTCAACACTCAAACTATTACAATTAGAAGCTATTGAGCATTTTTTTTAGGTGGTTTCAAGAAAAAGCCAGGCACCCCCATGAGGAGTGCGTTCAGAAACAAGCTGAAAATGGCAGGCGGTTCTGCCAGCTCGGCAGCGAGAATAGCAAAGCCTGTTCAGGTCAAGAAGTTTGTGACCAACAAAGAAAACGATCCAGCATAGCACCCAGCTCGTCAGCTTGATTCGTGGAAATTTACAAAGTAACCAATCTAGTGTGAATTCACACAGCAGACAAGAGAAATTATTTATTTCTTCCTCTAACCTGTCTCATTTTAACTGCCTGTAAATAACATAGCTCTCTTCCTATCATTTGTAAATAACACACACTTATGTTCTGTGTCGCCAATTCGGATGCATTTATTAGCAAAGTTATTAAAAAAGATGAGCGCGTTGCTTTTGATAGATTTTACTCAAGTGACAACATAGTTGAGTTAATAAATAAGAAGTTTTGCTGAATAATAAATAATAATGCACTGCTTTTGTACAATAATCAGTGTCTGTTTTTGATGCTCTTTGCCCCGTCGTTCAGCGATTCCTAGAAGAAGAAAAATTAAATTTCTAAAATCATTTGAATTTCTCCACTCACGTAATAGTCGATGGCCGAATCAAGCAGGTTGTGAGCGTTGGTGCTCTCGCCCTGGCGACTGCTGGCGGCGCTTCCGTGGGGCAAGTAGTAGCCAGCAGAGTGAGCCGAAGGACGGAACAAGAAGGACAAAAGGGCGTGCAGAAGGAAGGAGATGAAGGACAAGCCAGCGAGCAGACCGATAGGGTCAAATCCTCCCAAGAAGTGACCAGTCCTAAAAAGTTAAAAAAAAATTGTATTAAACCCAGAAATTAAAAAAAATCAAAATTTCTTGGATAGAATCAAATCAAAATTAATTAGTTTTTTTTCAAATATCAAGCAATAGTTAGGGTTTAAATAAAACAGATGCTGGAAAATTTAATAAAAAACCAAAATTGGTAACTTACGAGTAACCCCTGTCCTGGGCAACTGCAGCGGCGCCATAGTAAGCTGGGTTGTACATGATTGCTGGATGAGGAGATTCAGCAGAATGAGTGTCTGGGATACACAAACTCATTTTATACCAAAACCTGGTGCAATTTATTCTGCCTAATTTGCATTAGATTCGCCTATACCTACAACTTGCTCTTCAAATGTGCAATTTCACGGCAACTTGCGCTGCTCTGCTGCCCCATATATGATTCCTGATCTTCTAAATCTGATTCATTTCTCATTTCATATTGCACATAAGAATGGTACACAAAGATTTTTTCATCATATTGTTTATCTCAGAGAATTGCGTATACCAAATAATTTTGTAGTCTGCAGGGTTCTTGCTTTTCATCTTTTTTTGTGATATTTTTTTTTTAATTTTTTTCTTATAATGCTTTAAAAGTTAACATACAAATCTTTTTAACATGTAGTAATACTAGAATCAATAAAAAATATCGAAAAATATGAAACATATCATTTTTATAAAAAAATCTCATCATCAGTTGGAAACGAAGGGTGCGATTAAATTCTCTTTAATTCATCTTTTGTGTTATTTTGTAATTAATTTTATAAAAATGTTATTATGCATATGCACCAGATACATAACACTAAAATAGGATGTGAAGTAAAAAAATAGAAAAATACATAAAAATAAAAGCTTGAAATTTTACTGAATAAGCTCAATAAGCAATAAGCATACAAAAAATTTTGAAAACGTCATTGAATAAAATAAGGTCAAAATTGTTATTGTTAGCTATAAAAGCTCTCCTTTTTATGTTTGATATTTTCATTGAAATTGAGCAATCACTCCGTGCTCAAAAAGCGAAAAATTGTCACTAGAAATCATTCGAGCCCGCCAAATTGCAGCAAAATTCGCTTATTCGCCACCTGGCGAGCGCATGCAAACTAATCCTGTTGTGCTATGGCAATGGCAAACAAACACAACACAGCTGAAAAGCATGCAGCTTGGTGAACGCACGTGGTTAAATTTTTCAGTCAATTAAAGTTATAAATTTCACTCGCATGATTTTGCATTCGACAAGATGAAGAATAAACCAAACAGACACAAAGAGGAGAACGTCTTCCGTGTAAGTTTGCAACTCTCCAAATTTCAAACAAATTTGAGATTTGAGCCTGTTAATATATTTTTCCCATTTTCAGTTCCAATCCTTCACGGAGAGGATCGCCTGTCTGAAGGTAGACGTTTTTCACCAAGTGCAGGCCTTCGACACTGACGCCGAGGAAGGCGAAACACACTTGCAAAATGCCATCGACAAGTGGAACGTGCAGAATGGCACCGAGGCGTTTGAAAAGTGCCTTCGGCAGCTTCCCGACTGCCGCAGCCTGGCTCAGATTTTGCTCAACAAGGAGAAAATCGTGCAGATTCTGTTCGAGCACATCAACCAGCAAGACCCTCTTGCTCTTCAAGGACTTCTTGAGTAAACAAAATCTAATTTTTAAATTATTAATAATTTTAATAAATAAAACGACTCTCTTCAGGCTGCTGGTTGCTCTGGCCAGGGACATGCGTCATGAGTTTTACCCTCACTTTTCTGACACCCTCTCCCTGATTTTTAATTTGATCACCACCTCACGGGACGCAGATGTGCTGGAATGGAGTTTTCAGTCGATGGCATATCTCCTGAAATTCCTCTGGCGCAGTTTGTTGAAGGAACCGACCGGCATCGTTTTCAAACACGTCCTGCCCTTGCTAGAAGACTCTCGGTAAAATCTCTAATCTTCTTTGTGAAACTCTGAAGTAATGTATTTTTTCCAGTCCCGTTTACATCCAAGAGTTTGCCTCTCAGTGCTTTGCATTTGTGGCTCGAAAAGTTCGTGACAAGGAAAGCTTTGTCAAAGCCATCATCGACAAACTGGACCGGGAGGAAGATGTAATGGATTTTTTATTAATAAATATTTGATCTAAACCTGAACATTTTAGGGTATTGAGGGCACAGGCATTTTAGTAGCAGAGTCGATTTATGGTGCGAGCGGCTACTTCCACTCTGGTGCCGAGCCTTTTCTCCAACTCCTTATTTCCTTTCTGGCAAGCCAAGAATTGAACTGCCAAATACTCCAGCAAGTTTTGACCTCGGCCATCAAAAGGCTCATTTTCAAAGTGAAAAAAGAGAACTTTGCCCCGTTTTGGAACACAATTCCAGTATGAATGTATTTTCCTTAAAAAAAACATCTTTTAATAAAATATCTCAGGTTGTCCTTGTAGAATTTGTGACGAAATCTGAATATAAGGCTGTGACAAGACTTTTGGAAATTTTGCAAGTCGTCAGTGAAACGAAAGGAGGCTTTTTCTTCCAAACAGCTCCGATTTTGTCTGCCCTAAAGCAATTGGTCAGCAGAGAGGATGTTCCAGAACAAACGTTGCAGGCAATCTCAGATCTAGTGGCTGAAATTCTCTGCTCGCCTGCACAGAAATTGAGCCAAGAGGAAACTGCCACACTAACTTCCCAAGTATTATAATTATATTTATTTTATCTGGAAACCATACTTACAAGTTTGCTTAGGTTCTGAGCATCAAACACAAAGCGATTTTCCTCAACTTCATCTCGAAGGTCATAAACTGCAGTGGCTTCGAAGCGCATGTCCTCCAAAAACTGGCCAAATTTTGCAAAGAAACCTCAGATGTGCAGGACTTCCCAAAACTTCTGCTCTTGTTGGCAAAAATCATTGAAGTCAAGGCACCTCCTTGTCATTCAGGGCTAGAACTGCAAAACTGGAAACAGTACCCCCTGGGCATTCAAAAGTCTCAGTTCACAGAATTCCTTCTTCAGCAGCTGGACGAAGGTGACCTTGACAAAATTATGCCAGCAATTGTTTTGCTGCCCCACATGTATTGCATCGACCGGAAATTGATGCAGCAGAAATTAGAGGGAATAATTGAACGAACTGGAAAGCACTCTGAGAATGTGTTTATTTTCGGACTTGCTGTGGAGGCTGCTGTCCATCTCATGTTGACCAGTGAACTAGATAAGGAGGTCCTAATAAATTTTGCCATTGAAAATAAGGATAAGTTGGCCGCTCTCAGAATGCTCGACATCTACATCACAGCCGTAAACTCTAGAGATCAAAATGTTTTTAATAAACTGATGGAGGCCAATTACCACCACATTCTATCATCACCCTATCACAAAGTAATGAGTTTGAATTTTTTTTTAAATAATTTGTAATTTTTGAAGAATTTCAGAACCGAGTATTGGCAAGTCACACGCTTTCCCTACTCGAGCCGGAGGAGAGTAAGATTTTCACCATGTGTCTTCAAGCAGAAAACACTCCGGCCACAATCACTGACTACAGGGATAGGGTGAAGGAGCTGCAGGGCCTGGAGTTCAAATACATACATGACATGAACGAATTCAGTGCAAATGTTGCACTTCGCTTCCTTATTGGTAATAAACTTTGATTCATAATCAAATTCCACATAATATTTTTGTTTATATAGGGAATCTTTATGTGAACTTCAAGTTGGTTTGGGATCCTGTGACATCCATCATTGTTTCGCATGCATCTTGCCAAGATTCGCACAAGTTCTGGGAAATATTTGGAGAACAGCTTAAACTGGCTTGTCAGAGGTGCAACAATAATGAATCTGTGGAAATCTGTCTGCCAGAATGTGAGAGCTTTCAAATTGATTAAATTATCAAATGATTTTATTTTCTTGCTAGGCGATCAATTCGTTAGTGACCTGTATGGGAGTCTTGAAGGTCAGTTGGACACTCCAGACCATGCAAACTTCCGACGCCTTCTTTGGAATGCAATGACGTTCTTCCCTGAAGTGTGTGAGGCAAGAAATCGAGACATCTCCTCGTTGTTTTTGGACTTTTTGCAGTAAGGTTAAGTTGCTATTAATTTAAAAAACTACTTATGTTTTGTTGATTATTAGAAACGAGTTCTTCAACAATGATGTCAGCGATGCAAACTTCTGGAATGTAGCAAAAGATAAAAATGAGGAAAAAATGGATATTGATGATCCAACTGAGCCTGCAGAGGAAGAGCCAGAAGAGGAGGAAGGTGAAGAGAATGAGACGGAAACTCAAACAATCAAAAGATCCAAAACGAGACCAACACTTAATTTGCTCCTGGTTAGTTCAATTTAAATTTTTTGAACTTTTTAATTAACATTATTTATTTATATCTAGGCTCATTTGGAGTTGCTGGCCAAGCTCAGGAACCCAAGAGGTATGTTTCGAGAGTCCGAGCTTCACGACGCGTACCAGGAGCTGTTGAAAATGAAGAATTCCAAGGTTCAAAAGCTGGCTCTGGACTGCATCATGGCCTACAAATTCAACTACCTGGTACCGTATAAAGACCAACTGTATGGCCTGGTTGGGGAAAAGGAGTTCAAGGACCAGCTGGTGGCATTCAACATTGGAACGGATAGCGATGTCGTGCTTCTCGAACACAGACCCCAGCTGATTCCGGTTGTGATGCGTATCGTCTTCAGCAAAATGCAGAGTAAGACTAAAATCAAAGGCAGCTCCAAAAGGTCGCTCATCCTGCGCTTCCTGGGTGGCTGTCGGCAAGAAGAACTTCTCATTTTCCTTGGCCTCGCCTTCAAACTTGTCCTGGCAAACTGCAAAGAGGACGAGCCCTTTGATGCCATGGTGTTGAGAATCATGGACAGTGTTGATTTGAAACGGATGGTCCCTCCGAAGAGACTAAGCAGCGCCCTCAATCTGGCCAACACTGTTTTGAGCCAATTGGGTAGAAGAGATGAAGGAATGGCTCTTTGCTCACAGACTCTGCTCAAAATTCAGCTGGTGGTCGCCGCCCAGGTGGCAGGGGTTTTGAGGAGGAAGGAGGAGGTGGCGAAAACTGCTGTTTCGGCCTACAGGAGCACCAGGAAGCAGGCAATAGACTCCTTTTCCAAATTTTTCTCAAGAGATTACCAGGGAGATGCGTCAAGTGTGTACAGGTGGTCTGCCCACGAGATCGACGCAGTCTTTGAAGCCGTGGTGTGGCCCTCGATAGACGTCCTGCATGTTGAGAGTGTTGCATACCCAACAGCATTGCTGAAACTTTTTGGCGTGTGGGCCGGAAACACAAGGTATTTCAACCTGTTGGTCAAGCACAGGGTTGGATGTGAAATGAGCAACCCTTTGGCCGCAATGATCAAGCTGCTAAATGCGGAGGCTGTCAAGGGTCAGGTGGTCGCCGCAATTTTGGAATCCCTGACCAATCTGCTCACCCTGAGACCAGCCACCGATGAGGAGGAGGAGGAAATGGACGCTGGAACTGCAGCTGCTGAGATAGAGAATGTGACTAATGTGCTTCCAGTTGATGAGGCATATTTGGAAAAAATTCAAAGTATGTAATTTTAAATAACAATAAACCTGAGCGATTCCTATAGTAAAATAAATGAGCTAGTTTTACAGATAAATTGTGATTAATGATGTTATTTTGCAGCTCCAGGTCTTCAGTTGAACTATGGCAGCAAACTGATCCTACCACATGTGGCCGATCTCCTCAACTACCTCCACAAGAGGGTCTCTTTGGCCAGCACCAAACTCAAGGCCAAGGGTGGCCTCAGTGATAGAGACCTTGTGATTTTAGCACGCGTCTCAGAGCTTGTCTACGACCCTGAGCTAAGTCTCTCATTGCTGCGCCTTGTCCTGCCTCTGGCTGCCAAGAAGGCTAGTCTTGGAACTGGAGACAGGACGCTCGAGCCACTACTGAGCACCGCCTCTTTTCTGCTCCGTCGCATTGACAATCCCAGACAGTTCACTTTACAGATAGCTCCCTTGTTTGGCTCCGTCCAGGGACGGGCAAGTAGAGATAGACTTTCGCAGATTGTCTTCAGCAGGGTAATCAATCTGATTGACGAAGAGGAAGCCAAGGTTGTGTGTGACTTGAATTCCTGGGACGGTAGGCACATTGACGAGCCTGATTTTGAGAAGAGAATCAACAGTTTCACTCAAATCAAGAACATGGACCAAGCCAGTGTGCCATTCTTCCTCATGGTCATCCACTCCAGCTTCCACACCCTGAAGGCGGTGAAGGATTTATCTTTGAAAGACTGCGCCTCTCTGTGCTTGCAGACTGTTTGCCCCAAACTGGCTAAGAGATTTGCCAATGACCCAGAAAACAGGACCATCGTCATGGAGCGAACCACAATGGAGATTATCAGGAAGGGTTTGAGGGATAAAAATGAAGAGCTACAGCATGAGCTGCTGTGCCTGTTGGGAGTAATGGTCAGAGAATGTGGACAGCTTCACCCAACCCTTAGGGATCTGCAACCGCTGGCATGTGCTGAGGACGTGGAGTTGGACTTCTTTGAAAATATTCGCCATCTCCAAGTTCACAGAAGGTTGGATTTTTTTTATGAAAAGTTTTATTTTAAAATCACTTTTTTTCTAGGGCCCGTGCTCTGATGCGTTTTACCAACACAGTCAAAGAGAATGGAGTTGTAATGAAAACCACTACTTTGACGCAAATCATTTTGCCCTTAGCTTCCAGCTTTTTGTGTGTGGAGAAATATGCAAAAATTAACAGCCTTGTTGACGCTGCCATTGATGTGAGTAAAATTTACTTGTATTTATAAAAAAAAAATATTAATTTATTTACAGGCATTGTCAACTGTATGTTCAATGCTGCCATGGGCCGAGTACGAAACTGTTCTTAGATTCAATCTGAACAGGCTGCCCCGAATGTTTGACTACCAAAAACAACTTGTTCGGACAGTGATTGCAGTCCTTGATGCTTACCATTTTGATTTGTCTGTCCTTGAAAAGAAACCCGTAGAGCCAGCTGTGACTGCTGTAGAGCTGAAAGGAAAAGACCTGGATGACGAAGAGGAGCCTCAGGATGAAGAGGAACTTGCAGAAGTTCTCGAAAAAGTCACTGAAAAAAAGGAAGAGGCTGTCAAGTGCACAGTTACTGAGGCAAACAAAATCAGAAGCACAATCCTGTTCCAACTTCTTCCCAAACTACAGAACACCGTGTCTGCAAAATCTGCCACTGACAGCTTGCATAAAGTAAACAAGAACACAGGTGACGTTGCTGAAGAGAGGGAACGAGAGGCGAGAGAAGTGCTGCGAGTTCCAATCGCCCTGGCTATTGTGAAGCTTTTGCAAAAACTTCCTGGCGACGCCTTGAAGCAAAACTTGACTGGTGTTCTTTTGAAAGTTTGCATCTTTCTGAGGTCTCGTCTTGAGAGCACTCGTCGAGCTGCGAGAGAAACACTTCAGCAAATGCTGAGAATTTTGGGGACCAAGTTTTTGAACAAGATGCTCTCCGAGTTGTGCTCTCTGTTGACCAGAGGCTACTTGGTGCATGTCTTGATTTACACTGTGCACTCTTTGATTGTTGGAATTGGTGATATCATCCAGGCTGGTGACATTGATGCATGTCTCCAAAATATCTTGAAGGTATTCATTTTTATTTCAAATAAATCAGAATTGAAATCTTGTATTAATTCAGGTGTGCATGACTGATCTTTTTGGATGTGCTGCTGAGGAAAAGGAAATTGCACAAATTGCCGGAAAAACAAGTGAAGCTAGATCACACAAAAGCTTCGACACACTTCATCTTGCTGCAAAATATGTGTCCGAAAAGTCTGTAACAGACATTCTCATTCCGATCAAAAATGTAAACAATTGAAAATGACATTAAATACGAAAATAATTGTAACTTACTGTCTTTTGCAGGAATTAGCTTCATCGCATAGTTATAAGGTTTTGAAAAAAGCAAACAATTGCTTGCAGCAAATAGTTCAAGGACTGGCCGAAAACACTTTCATTTCTGCAGAGTCTTTGATGACCTTTGCTTTTGGAACTGCTTCAGAAAGTATTCCAGCTTTGCAGAGTGCAATTAAAGCAAATAACAAGCAAAAAGAAAAGCTGACGGCTGGTAACTTAAAAAGTGCAAAGCAAATGATTATTACTAATTTGATATATTCTCAGCTCAAAAGGCGATCCAGCGGCCAGATACATTTCTAATCACACCTGCGCCTAAAAGGAGTGGCCCCACAGTGACCAAGAATGTGGACACCCATGCCCACCTCTTCATAGCTTTTGGCCTTCAACTCCTCCACTTTTTACTTAAAAGAGAGCGAACAAAGGAGATACCTGACGAGATGCTGGATCCCTTTGTGGCCATCTTGGCCAAAAGCTTGAATTCCCAGCACAACAAGCTGACAGTACTGTCCCTCCAGTGTCTCGCATGGCTGCTGAAATTGGAACTCCCAAGCTTGAAAGAGAACATTGAGACTATTGCAGACAACATTTTCAAAATTCTGCACAAGTACTCTGGTAGCGCGCAAGGAAAAGGAGATAACTTTGACATGGCCAATGCTGCCTTTAAGGTTTAATCAATACATCAATATGATGCGAATTTCTGATTCATAAAATTTCCAGGCTGTTGGAGTTCTTGTTCGGGAGGTTGAGTACCACAACATCAGGAAAGAGCAAGTTCGTCTGCTTTTGCTTTACGCCGAAAGAGACATTCAGGCTGACTCCTCTCGTCAGGCAACAGCTTTCACCCTATTGAAAGCAATCTTGAGACGTCGATTGTCCTCTCCTGATATGCAGCAAGTTATGAGGACTGTAGCTGAACTTTCCATCACCTCCCCAATGAACCATGTCAGACAACAAGCCCGACAAGTGAGTTAAAATATTAATTTATAATTTTTGCTTACTTTTCTTCTTGTCCACAGGTGTTCTTATTTTACATGTCCGAGTACCAGTCTGGAAAACATTTTGAAAACCAGTTGACCTTCATGCTCTCCCAACTCAACTTTGAGCTGCAGACAGGACGGATGTCTGCTCTGGACACCCTAAGTGCCCTCATCAATAATATGCCTCATCAGCGTTTGTCTTCTGTGTGCAGCCTCATTTTTATTTCAATGTCGGCCTCACTCATCAACGATGAAGACCCAGAATGCAGACAGCTTGCTGCAAAAATTCTGAAATCCATGCTGCAACGTTTAGAGCCCAAAAGCAGGGAGTTGCTATTCAGTATTGTTGTCGCTTGGCTCCAAGACAAAAAAGTAATTTTCATTTTTAATTTGTTTCCTTAATTCAAGATTAAAAATGTATCTATAGATGGCGCACAGAAGACTTGCTGCTCAAGTGTGTGGCCTTTTTGTTGCCCTCGAAGGGGAGAAATTTGCCCAGCGCCTGCCCATCATTCTTCCTCTTGTATACTCCTGCCTGTGCCCAGTTAGCAAAATCGGTCGTTTTGTGCGGGCACCGAAGGAGCAGGAGGAAGTCGAGGACGAGGACACCAATTCTGGGGGCAGTATTGAAGACCACTTGCTCTACCAAGCTCTGCAGCTTTTGGTGAAGATCTCTGGTCACTGCCCCAACTGGCTGAGAAACGCCAAAATTGAAGAGAGTGTGTCTGATATCTGTCTGGAGATGACCCGCCTTCTCTGTCACTCTCACGAATGGGTCCGTTTGGGAGCCTGTCAGTTTATAGGTTGCATCTTTGCTGCCCTAGACGCAGCTGCAATTGCCGAGGCCGTGGCCAATAGAAAGGAAGAGGCGCCAGATCTACTTATTTTCAAACTCAACCCTGAGCTTGTCCTCAAGTCTTTGGTGTTGGATCTGTGCGACCTTCTGCAGCCTGGAGATTTGCAGCCGCAGCTAGCTGAGCAGGTATTATTTTCTAAATTTAAAGAAAGTCCTGATTTTTCAACTTCAATTATTTGTAGGTTGTGAAGAATTTGGTTTACCTGGCGCGAGTTTTGAAGCACATTCCAAAAGATTACGCAGTTAGTTTTGATGATGATGATGAAGAAGAGGAAGATGGTGAAAAGAAGCACCAACCCAAATTGTCATTGGTCTGGATGGCCAAGAGAATGAGGAAAATTGTCAATCTGGAGATTGCCAAGGCGCCGAAAAGTGGCACCTTGCGCGACTCTGTCCTTAAGTGGACGACGGCTGTGATCATCGATCTCGGACCCGAGGCTCTCCTGAAGAACCCGATGCTTATGCACCACATGCTGGCACCTGTGGTTAGGGAGATTACTATAACAAATGAAAACAACCCCCATGCACCTCACGGGCTGAGAAAGTTGGCAAAGGAAGTGGCCAACATTATTAAAGGACAGGTTAGAGGATAAAATAAATTATTTATGACTTTAATTATTTATTTTGATTTGCAGATTGGCGTTGAAGCTTTCGCGCTGGCCACGTCCAAATTGAATGCCAAATTTAGTGAGCATAAAGCAACAAGAAAGAGGAAAATAGCGCAACAGGTACTACTATTTTGCTTTTGTATTAAGAGTTTATACATCGGACCTTTTCAGGCAATCACCGACCCCGAGTTGGCGGCCAAACGAAGGATTAAGAAGCAGGCTATGAAAAAAGTTTTGAAGAAAAAGAAAATAAACAGTTTGAGAGGCCGAGTGAGGAAAGACCACAGGCTGCACCAAGATGAGGAAATGGATGTCTAAGACTATATAATTTTTACTAAAAGAAAATTCAATTCAAAATTTGCTTTATATCATTTATTGTTAGGTAATAATTTTATCACAACTATCAAGTTGAGTACTTTTCATTCAAACTAAAGACTTGGTTTTTTCTTAAGACAAACTTGAAGAGCAAAATTTTTAGATCATAAGCTACATAAGCATTTAAACAGACAACCAATAAATTGAAAAACAAACAAAAAACAGCGAAGAATTTATATAGGTGGTGGGTGAAATAACAAGGGTGCGCTTTAAATTAAATTCGTCGGGAGTTTCGGATTGAAACTTTCAATAAAATAAACAACTGCTCGGTACTTCGCAGTGAATTTCAAGTACGGCACGATTTTTAAAAATGTTCTTCCATTCTCTCTCGATCCAACCAATTTACATTTGCCAAGCTTTCTTTCACCACTAGCTGAAGAGCTGCTCGGTAGCTCTCTCAAGATCCCAGTCGTAGGAGGAAAGGGCCACTCTGGCTTTGTGTTCCTCGACACCCATATCCAACAAACGTCGTATTTTGTTCTCGAACTCAACGTTTCGGTCGGGCCCTAGAATTTGTGTGATTAAAAAAATTTCTTCCAAAATATGTATGAAAGAAAACTCCACCTCCTGCATAGGCTGACCCCCAATGCCTGGCCGTGTGCCTGAAGAGTTCGTTCTTTTCCTTGTACTGTCGAGCTACCACTGCATCCTGAGGGTCGTCAGGTTCAGCAGCGGCCAAGAGAGCCTGGAGGGAGAGCAAGACTGTACGTAAAGTCATAGCCGCAGCCCTGAGGATAGGAAAATTTTAAATTCAAATTTATTTTTCACTTTAAATAGACCATTGATCTTTGAGAATGTCCAAACAAATAGCGCCAGTCACCGATGAAATATTTGGATGCCAAATTTTCGTGACAAAACGAACTTTGGGAGGGTTGAACGGATAAGTCTCGGGCACTTTGATTTCAAGGACATAATTTGCTCCTTCGTACGGCGTGTCGGGGGGTCCCGCGATTTCGCCTCGAAGTTCTGTGAAGGTGTCGTTGACCAGCTCCAGTTTGATTGCACATCTTTGGACCTGCAATAACAATCAATATTATTTGTAGCAACTCTAGAGATAAAAGAAGGACAAGTTTAGAAATTTATTGATCTCTTTTGTATGGAAAGTAAGACTGTTCTAGTTTCCAAGATAATGACCCGAAGGATTATGCGCGTATGACATGTCGATCTCTGACCTTTGCCACACTTGTCAACAACAGAGACAAATAATAATGCAGCAATCAACCGACTCTAGTGCGGTGCATTGGACAACTTGGAGTATTGTTTGCTGAACGGTCGATGGGTAAGTAAGTAAAAGTATCTTGCTTTTAGAGTGACAAACAAAAGAATTATTATTTTTGAAACACATGCCTCGAAAAGATGCAAACTTTCTTTTTTTTCAGTTTATTTTTTTATGGTAAATAATTTATTTGATTTAATTGAAGCGAAATGGGTAGACGGGGGTGGATTCTTAACGGAAGTTGTCAAATCCAATTTTAAATTGGTGAAAGAAAATAGGGGTCTGGAATGCAATCTCACCTCTTCGGAGGTGACCACCTCTCGAAACTCCCTTTTTATCCTCTGCGCCGCGATATTGGCCATCTCTTTAAACTAAACTTAACACCGACTAACGAATTGGAACATAAGAATTTGACAGTCACTGGTGATTCAGGCTTTTTCGCACGATTTCCCAGATAAAAAGTCAAGAATGGGATATTTTGCGTTTGTCGTTGGGTTGCTGCCATGCACTGCAGCTGATTCTAATGACCACTGATGCCAACTCTTGAAATTTGCTCCTACCCACTCCTACCCAAATAACGCAAGTTCAGCTCAATATTCAGCTTGATTTGGATTTCCAGATATAAAAATATTTGAACAAGTCAAAAATCGTATGACATAATCTTATTTGAGTGTGTTTGTGCAACAAATGAAACACAAGTGAATTTGAATATATTTTGAAGTTGGCAGCACTGTAATGCGTCCTTTGTTGATATTATTTCATGGAAGACGTCGAGGGGGAAATCAAAGCAGAAAGTGGTATGTATGGAGTCACTTTTAACGTAGATCATAGACTATTTTTAAGTGTCTTGCCCAACATGTTTTAATTCGCAAAGTCCAATTCAAACTCAGGACCGCACGAGAGCGTCATTGGCCTCAAGTTTGACAGTCTGGGGTGTTGGGTATCGACTTGACGCGGGGTGGAAACCCTCGAAAGTAGATTCACGCGCCGGCTACCCAAATTGCAAGCAAGGTATCCATCCCACGATTCGGCGCACCCGCGCTTGGTCGCGGCCCCCACCAGTCGCCTCGTGATATCTAAAATTTGTTCATTTTCCCCAGTAGAGACGACGAAAATAATGCATGGCCGCCGCTAACTCAGTCCGTTGTTGTTTGTTCCGGCAGATTCGTCGTCCAGCAGTTCGAGGAATTTGATTCTCCAGAGCAGAATGCCCAACATCAAGGTCTTCAGCGGGTCCTCGCACCTCGATTTGGCGCAGAGGGTCGTCGACCGGCTCGGCATCGATCTGGGCAAAGTCGTCACCAAGAAATTCAGCAACTTGGAGACCTGGTACGTCTTTCATTTTATAACTCTCGTTTTATTTGCACGTGCCGGCGGAGTGAAATCCGAACCCGGCCAATTTAATTTAATAATGGCTCAAAATTGGCGTGGGGGTGCCCATTCAAGGCCGTTTTTATTGAAATTGAACAACTCGCGTCCATTACCGCGGGCCCAGAAAAAACGCGAGCTTTTCGGGCTGCAAACTGGAAAAAATTTAATAATTATATTTGGCAAAACGATTTTTGTGATCAGCAAAGAAATCTATTTTAAGCTTCATTTTTGTTGAAAAGTTGTGGAAATGGGAAGCTTTTAATTGATTTTTCAAGTTTTAGCGAAGTTAAAAGTTAATTATGATTAGACTTTATTAAATTTGGCTCAAAGTAGTTTGGCTGGTTTCCAACTTCCGGCTGTGAAATTGAAGAATCTTGAAACATTGAGTTATATTTAGCCAACAATCTTTATCTCCAATACACTGAGACAAAGTTCGAGTCTTTATTTAACAACGTTTGACTCATAATTTTATTACTTATGTTATTTGAGATAGATTTTAATGAAAGGCCTGTACAAATATATTTGGAAAGTTGAGAAAGTTCCTGAATTTTTATTTTATAATGTTGATATTCAATAAAAAATGTTTCATATTTAAATTTTAAAAATCAAAATAATCGGTCGTAGTTCTGTGTGTCAGATAAATTTCTTAAAAGGTGTTTTCCTATTATTTATCTGAACTTGATTTTATCCTTATTAAAACCTCCAAAGCAGCTGCCCGTGAAATAGTTGCAAAACCAGCGAACAAGGTGGGTTTTATTTCAGTCACACCAATCAGAGTCTTCAATTTCTACATATTTGCATTTTTTCATCAAAAAGTTTACCTGTGCCTTTGCACCTACTAATGATTTGTCTATGATTGAATTAAAAATCATGAAAAATTTATAGACACGTTTTTAAAAGTTCAAACCAATAGCTGGGATTCTTATCAATTTTCACATTATCCACTTATTATTAATTATTTTTTAATTTTAGTGTTGAGATTGGCGAGTCGGTGCGCGGCGAAGATGTTTACATCGTGCAGAGCGGCAGCGGCGAGATCAACGACAACCTGATGGAATTGTTGATCATGATCAACGCGTGCAAAATCGCGTCCGCCTCGCGCGTGACCGCCGTCATTCCCTGCTTTCCCTACGCCAGACAAGACAAAAAGGATAAGGTAGAGTGACAGTCCGCCAAGAAAACTTTCGCCCCACTCAGGAATGGCCGTTGAAAACAAAATTAAAAAGAAAAAATAGGCAATCGGGGCCACGTTGCCTGATTTCAAAACGTACAAAGTCGATCTGCCCCAGGGCGGACGGCAAGGAAATTTTGTTTGGCGACCTTGGTTTGTTTTCACCGACCATTCCGAAACTTATTTATATTCTATACTTTAAACACCTCTGCGTTTTTGGTGAAGAAACCTTTTTTTTAATTTTGACGAGGAAATTAACGAAACGGGTGTTCGTTTTTCCTGTCTGATTAACACGAATAAGCAAGCAGCAAAATTATTCCATGAGAGTCTGCCTAAAACTTCCATCATCTGTCTTTTCTCTCTCTCTTGATCTCTTCCTGGAGAAGTTCAATTTTTTTCAACTAGTCTAGTGACCATAGTGCATGCCTCTTTCATCCCCTCGCCCCCACTCTGCCCGCCCCTCTTCGCATATATTTCGTCCAAGAAAAGGTCGTGTCTCCTGCGGAAAACGACAGAGATCTCGCCTTTTAGAAAAATTTCACGTTTGGTAAAGAAAAAGCCGGGCGGTTGAAACCGCATTCTTCTTTTCTCTCCTTGTCGCTGGGATGCTGTGAATGAATTTGTTACGCAATTGCAGGCTGGATTAGAAGGGAAAGATGACGGGAGTAAGGTTGTTGCGACACCGCCGCAGGCCCGGTTCAAAAGTAACGAATGGAAGTTTCGGGTAATTGTGACGACGATTTTTTTTACCTTCATCTCTGGGTTTTCGTTCCGTGTCTATGACTTTCCACATCAGCACGCGAGCAGACGCAATGTTTTCTCAGAAAATTATATTCTAATTTTATTAATACTTAAAAATTAAACTTTTGTTAACACCTTTGGTAATTTTTTTAGAACTTTCCTATTTGTATTCAAAGAAGTTTCACAGACATAAAATTTGAATTTGAAATAATTTTCAAGATACCGTCAGAATTTTTTACTTTCTTTTCTGAAAGTGTCTAAATTTTGATGAAACATTGGCACTCATTTAAATCACGGTTTCGTCGGAGGTGCACCTGCTCTTCTCATCAAAGGAATTTGAACCTTAAAGTTTGTCCTAATTTCAATAAATTTAGTTAAATTATTTCCACTTTAAAATTGATTCCGATGATCAAAAATACTTCTGGCGGAAAAAGTAAATCACCCGATCTCAACGCTCAATGTTGCCTGAAGGGTGCGAATTTTTTCAATCGCGATTTCTATCTTCTAAATTAAAATTTTCTACTTTCACATTCAGAAATAAATAAATATACTGGTGTGCGTCCTTAAATTGAAAGGGAAAGGAAAAAGGAGAAACCATACAATTTCATTGATTTTGTTAACAATAGTGGTCGTCAATAGATGATTAAAGAAAATTATTTTTTTTTTTTTAATAAAATTGACTTATTTGAACAAGCTTTGAAATTTTTGATTATAGATAAAATAAACGCTTTAATTTCAGTCAATTTTTTATGAAGAAAATCTTTTTCTTGCCGCCATTTGATCATCTCATTGGCGACTACTTTATTATCAAAATTTCAATTGTAAGCTCGCTGCTGTTACGGAAAGGATAACTTATATTTTTCTATTTACACGAATTTAATTTATTTTCCTGGGTCTCACAATCATGATATACTTTATCACTCTGTCCTCGTGTCCAATCGGAGGAGCTGCATTATTATTTTCATAACCAGGGTGCGCGTCTGAACTCTCTCTTGAGTCTCTTTCCAGATTTAATATACAGATTAATTAACTCATGACGACGATGAGAATAATAATGGGGCGTTGTGGTGTGGTGATGTGTCACATTTTATATTGTCCGTCCCTTGCTGGCGCATGCAGCAAAATACATAATACCCGTCGCTCTCGTTCTCATTACTTCTTGACCCCTGATGCATTTTGATCATCATTTTAATCTCCACAAACAAACATGACAAAGCAGCATAATTTTACAATGACTAGAAGAAATTTGATTTGTCATTAAAATAAGAAAAGGAGCAAAGAAAACTGAAGAGAAACAGTAACGGAAATTAATTTAAAAAATTAAATTGTTCAATTCATAGCTAATTTTTTTATAAATATGAAGAAAAAAATCAAAATTTTTACCGCATCATCATCTCCACATAATTATATTTTGAATTTTTAATAGTATAAGTTCAAACGAAGAGCAGATTTTGGAAATAAAGAATTTACAAGCAGCATAGAGAATGAAAATCTCGGGAAATGTTTTCGCTCGTCAGAATTTGAGCTGACGTCGGCTTTTGTTTTAAGAGGCACACGCGACCAGCAAAATCGATTGGCCGACCCCTCACCTTTCGAGGGTGGCGCCGTTCGGTGCCAGTCACGAAATCCTCCTCCCCATTCCCGTTTTGCCATCCGAAATTGAATGCTTGTTGTGCATTTGTATTAATTGCAGGAGGGCTTAATGGAAGCCGTCGCGGTAAGTTAACGGATCGCCGTTAACTAATCATGTTGTGATTAACCAACCCCTGAGTGACAAATTAACAGAAAAAAAATCCCGAATTGGCCCTTGACCAATAGATCGGACAAAAACAAATTTTTGAGAGCGAATTCGAGACTTTTTACGCATTTAAATAATTGCAAGTCGAGTGACGTTTTGAATAATGAATTAACCCGAAACTAAAAGTCGAAGTTTTATTAATAATTAAAAGAAAACTAGTCCCCGAGGCATGTCGGGAGGAAGTTTTTAATTAAACACGATTCTTGGAGTGATCCTCAATGAAATAACTCGATTGATTTTAATTCTCACATTAATTCCGGGTTGCGTAGAAATAAATAAAACGGACGAAATTCTTCGTCAATGGAAGTTATAGGCACTGCTGACCGAGATTAACTCCGTAGAATTCGATTCGCACCACGCTTAATTTCTTGAGGAGGACTCCAACTTTGGTTTTCAGTTTTCTGCTGCTTCGTCTAACGTCCTATCCGAATTCTTCTTATATTTCTTTTGATTTGACGCTTTTCAACGCATCTTGAATTTGCACCTCATCTCTGGTTTGCCCCGGCCCGAACCAAATTTCTGCTCTAACCGGATTTATTTTTCACTTCATGCATGGAGGGGTTCCAAATTAATTCTCGAGAAAGCAGGGTCGGAGCAGAAATTTGGTGTTCGTATTTCTTGCGAAGAGCCCTCCCGTAACAAACGCCCCAGCATGTTGGAGCCCTCACCAACTAGTGCTTGATTTTGCCGTTTGCGTGTGTTTGTGTCCTTACTGGCGGGGCACACCGCACTTCCCTCTCAGAGTCGGGCACCCATCTCGGCGAAGCTGGTGGCCAACATGCTGAGCGTGGCCGGCGCCGACCACATCATCACCATGGACCTCCACGCCTCCCAGATCCAGGGCTTCTTCGACATTCCCGTCGACAACCTGTACGCCGAGCCGGCCGTCCTCAAATGGATTAAGGAGAACATCCCCGAGTGGCGCAACTCCATCATCGTCTCGCCAGACGCCGGCGGTGCCAAAAGGTTGGAAAAAGGAATTTTTTATTATATTTAAATTTAGATATGGGAAACACTAACACTAGCATTTGAAAGATTGATCAGAATTTAAGTTTTTGTATTTTAAATTTTTGAATTAATTGCCAATAGAAAATTTATATAACAAAATTTATCAAAATTATCATTTCATCGTTTCAAATCTTTGAATTAATTTAAATTTGAATTATTTGTCTTTTCCAGAGTGACCTCAATTGCGGATAGACTGAACGTTGAATTCGCCCTGATTCACAAAGAGAGGCGCAAGGCCAACGAAGTTGCCTCGATGGTGCTGGTGGGCGACGTCAAGGACAGGATCGCCATCCTTGTCGACGATATGGCCGACACCTGCGGCACCATTTGCCACGCAGCTGAAAAGTAATTTCGATATTATATTATTTAATCGTGATTTGAAATGTCATTTTGTTCAGACTGATGGACGCCGGCGCGACCAAAGTCTATGCCATTCTTACCCACGGAATCTTTTCTGGACCTGCCATTTCGCGCATCAACAACGCCTGCTTCGAGGCCGTCGTCGTCACCAACACCATTCCTCAGGAGGAGCACATGCGGGATTGCCCCAAAATTCAGGTGTGTATTCCATTGTTTTTCACAACCCATTTAATTAATGCTCAATTCTTCGTGAAAACTTTATAAAATAAAACTATTTGCTGAAAATATCAAACTACAAAAAAAAAATCAATTCTCCTTAGGTATCCATTTTCAGATTTTTGTATTAATAATTTTGATTTTAATTTTAGTGCATCGACGTTTCCATGATGTTTGCCGAGGCAGTGCGCAGGACCCACAACGGTGAATCGGTCTCCTACCTCTTTTCCAACGTGCCATACTAAAATACCAAATGACAGCAAAAGGACTGAACACGTTAAAACAAATATCAAAAGAACGAAACAGCTCTAGTTTAGGGAAAAAATGATACTTTCGTACACACTTGAACTACTATTACTACTCCTCTTCTTAATTATATAAAAAAAAATGGTGAAATCGGCATCAGAATAAAAATTTGAGACCACATTTGCCGTCCGACGGGAAATACTCTGCTAAAAGCCTCTAAAGAGATATTGTTGTTGATTATGGTACAAAATAATTAACTGGGAAATCATTATTTGGAATGTATGTTATTTTAGCGTGGACTTCTGGGCGGTCTGCGCACGGATTAAAGCGATTGTTGAAGATATGCATTTTGCGCTGGATTACGTTTAGCATTTAGTTCTGTAATCAACCATTCACGAAATAATAATGAAAACAAAGTGACTGAGAAATCCCGCGTTTGATTTAAAAACCAACCAAGCCTTATCAGTGCAGATAATCTAAATCACAAAATACTTGAAAATTTGTTTCTGACTGACTGATGGCATTATTATTGCGGTTGTTCAAATATGCCTCACTCGAATCTGCAATACCTGCCCATCGTCCTGGGCACTGCTCTTCCTGTCACCTTCATCTGGACGTGAGTGTTAAGAAATCAAACAAGTTGATCAAACTACCAGGGGTGTCAGTTACATCATTGCAGTGTCATTGCGGCATGTCGAGCCAGGCTTCCCGTTCATAAGCCACGCTGGAAATGAAATTCCTGAGAGCTGCTTTTTCGGACAAATGCTCAACATCTGCGCCGCCCTGAGTGAGGAAATCAAAAATTCCTTTTTAACTCGAGTCTTATTCTAAAAAAAATTTGTATTAGTGACGTTGTGTGTGTACATCAGACACAGGCAGTTGGTGTCGCAAGAGCCGCCTTATCGGCCGCCGCTCGCTCTGCTCAAGAGTGGTTTGTGGACGGGCTGGATCGCCAGTCTGGGTGTCAGCATCGTTGGGAATTTCCAACTCGAGTCGCTCATCATTGTCCATGGAGTCGGCGCATTTTTCGCGTTTATCATCGGAATCCCGTACTTGTGGATTCAGGTGCATAAATTTCAATTCCGGGCATTTAAGAAAAAGAAAATAGATAAATTAGAAAGACTTAATTAAAGGGAAGTCGTGAAATAAAGATAACAATTACAAAAATTATTGAAATATCTATATCTCTATAAACTTTAAAAAAAATTACTTTCTCAGGTTGTCTGCACAACTTACGACCCTCCGTCGAAGTATTCAAAAGTTGTCATCCAAACCCGAATCGTCTTGGCTTCGATCGCAACTTTTTCCCTGGTCGTTTTGCTGGCCACGATGCTCGCATCTTACATCATGCTTTCTTTAGGTTCTCATTTGCAGATGAGTGAATTTTTTTTGTAATTAAATTTTTCAATAGGGCTGAAAAACGATGTTCAATTCGGTCTGTACTTGACCAGCGCCGTTGCCGAGTGGGTCATGGCGATGGCAATGTCCGCCTTCATAGTCACATTTGCCCGCGAATTCCAGCAAATCTCCCTTACAACGCCAGAAGTACCAAAAATTCTTGCAAAAAATTTAAAGCTTAAAAAAGTCTCTCAAAAACAGGTGCACCGAATCAAAAAGGGAGTGAAGCAGACCGGGAATTACGGATCCATCTCTGAAGCAAGCATTGAAACAGACTGATTTTATTTTTCAATAAAATATAAATTTTTTTTATTGGAACTCTTTTTGTTTGTAATTCCACTCAGAAACACCCCATCCCTGCAAGCCGTCGCTGAAAACCTCGACGAAGCGCTCCACCATCCTCGTCTCGCTGACCAAGTGTTCGCTGCTGGCAATCACCTTCACCTGCAATAGTCGAGTTCGACCACCTGCCGCGCGCAAAAAATTCCTTAATCTGCAAATTCGCACCGAGATAACGAGACATACCGGCTTTGTAGTGGAACGCGTAATCAGTTGGCGGGGTGCCGCCCTCGCCGTGCCGATACAGCTCCAAATCCACTTTTTCTATCGCCTCAATTTCACCTTTCGGACTGCAGTAGTAACCTGCCTCTAACCTAAAAAAATTCAATTTAATTTTTTTATTTTAATTAATCCAAAAAGATCAAAGCTACCGAGATGAGGTGCATGGCTGGCAAATCACGGCCACGACCAGTTTGCTGCCATCCTTGAAAAACAAAATGTGGAAACCGTAGCGGTGCATTAGAGTCCAGTCGCGTTTTTTGCCTATTTTTTGGGAAAAAAATTAAATTATATATACAAAATGATCATATTTCTAGGTGCAAATTTTTTGGAAAATTCTATGAAATTAATATTTTATACAACTTATTAAGAACAAAAAAAAAAATATGAAATTTATTTCATTAGTTTGAAAAAATTAAAAGAAATGTAATAAAATTTATTATATAACGCACCAAAACTGTGGTCCCTGAAAGAATGTGAGTTGATACTGATTGTCTCCTCATTATTGATAGTCAGCTTTCCCTGTAGTTGTCCTAATTGCTCGTAGTGCGTCTGATGCGCTCTGCTCAAAATTATTCAATGGAAAACTATTTTTTTTTTTTACTTTTAATATTTATTTACTCTTTTAAATTTTCAAAATATTCTGCGCTCCAGTCTTCGGTGGCTATGGCGCGCGCCAGGGTCGCAGGGTGCAAGTCGTGCTCGTAGTCAAAATGTGGCAGGTGGGAGGACCACGTGCCACTAAAATCCACATCAAACTCCTGTTTTTTTTTAATTTTTTTTTTTAATTGTAAAAATAGTTCATTTATATAATTTTTTTTTCAAACCTGTGACTTGTCATCGCAAAGGTACATTTTTCCCCTGTACCCGATTTTCCACTGGCTCATCGGAGTGATCATTTTGAAATTCACCCCTCCAGCCTGGTACTCGCCCTCTGCAAATTTCTCGGAGTCCATTTTCAGGTTAGTGCTTGGAAGCGCCTCGCTGCAAAGAAGACCTTTTCCCGGAACCTACGAATTAAAAAAAAAATCAACCTGAAGATCTGACATTATTTAAAATGTATACCATGAGATAGCACAGGGCATTGGCGTTTCCATCCTTTCGCGCCTCGCAACCTGTTGCCATGTAGAACCCGTTGCGATTTGCAGCGACAAAGAAAACGGCGTCGAACGCCTTTTGAACATTTAATTTTAATTAAAAAATTTGATTTGATTTTACTACATACCTTCGGATGGTCAGATAGCGTCTGTGGTTTTTCAATTGACTCATAGTTCGTCGTCTTACCAAATTTAGTTTCAAGTCTCATATTATTTAACTAAAAGTTAATATGTCATTTAACATAATAAAAAATTTCATTAAATGATGGTTAATGGTACCTTTCTCATTAGCAGGAGAAGTCGAAAAGCGGCATATTTGAGGTAGTACCATTTTCCCTTCACTTTGTAGATCCCTAGGATGAACTTCTCCTTCTGTCCCTTTTGGCCTTTTCTTTCGCCCACATAATGGAAAATCGAAGCTACGATTGTAGCCACTAAAACTGCAAGGAGAAATACTCCCAACATTTCTTTTGGAGACTAAGATGCCAATTGAAAGTAAATCGCGCTGTTTGCTTATCCAATCATATCAATCTTGTTATCACTGGACCTTTCTTATCAGAGATAACCTAAAGACTTGTGAAGTGGAGAGAAAAATCCAGCTTTGTATATATACGTGTCTTGCTTTATTTTCATTAAATTCCACAATCTCGTTACCACGTGGAGAATAAATTATTAACTTGTACACTTGCGACAACTGTGTCTGTTCACATCAACATCAACAACAACTATATATAAATTACGCAATTCTCATCTTCATATCGATATATAATAAAGTAAATTTGGTATTTTGCATTAACGCGTCTGTAGGCCTAATTTTTATTATTGAGATATCCACCGAAAAATATTCAATTAAGTAAAAATAGGAAACTTTCCAAATTTGGAACCAAAATTAAATCATAAAGGGAATTTTTGTAATGGAAAATATTGAGCAAAACCAGTTATGTATTCATTTTTGAGAACGCAAAAATAAATAGAAGCGAGGGCTTGCGCGGCCTAGCAGACTTTCAATCAATTGCTACCAATTATAACAAATTGCTATCAATTCTTTCTTGTGAGTCTATTGTTATTTTTTAAACATAATTAATTCAACGCCTCTCTGATCTTTTAATTTCGTGTGATATTTTTAATCCACATTCAGTTACATAAAATATGCTGGATTATCGATCAAATTAATTTTTTACATGATATTTCATAGTAAGTGTTCCGAATACATTTATATTATGCGTATTTTATCTTTGGTCGCTCAAAAGTAACCTACTCATTATAAAGAGGCAACAGTAATCGATTTCTCATTCAAGAGCACAAACAGCATCACCAAAACTATTAATTGAAAAAGCGATTAGACGTTTCGCTACAAGCAAAAATATCACAATGAGCCTATAGGAATGCAAAAATCAACAGGAAAAGTAGTCAACTGAGGAATGAAGAAAAGATATTATCAAAAACAAAGAGAAAAGATAATAATTAACACCCTGCGTCATGTAATTCCCCAGTTAGCAGATTTTATTAGTGGAATATTTATGAGTATAATAGTAATTTTTTATCAAAGAAAAATACTCGGCAAACAAGAAATGAACAGATTTCTAGATAATTTTAGAAAAGTGCCGAGTGCAACCCCGACAGAAAGCTAATTTTTTGTCCTATTAAAAACTGCAAAAATTAATATTCACTCAACTCCATCGCTGGATTTTTAAATAAAAAATGCTTACTGGGTCTGCTCTCTAATACTGGCTGAACACACTAGAGTATACACGGGATTAAATTTTGTTTGACTTTGGCTTTTAGAGAGTCGGAAACAAAGCTGAGTATTAGCAAGAAACATTTTTGTTTTCAATTTACTTGCACAGTTTTGCACAACAACCGAATACTAAAAACAGTGCCTTTCACAAAAATAGTGCGTCCTAAAAAAAGGAAAATCAATTGACCAAAGTTGAGCCGAATGTGGGCATTCAGCTGGGCCGAGGGGGCTGCCTGGCCGGGATGGGGGGCGGCGCCCCTGTCGGGAACTGAACGTTGCCCACTCTGACAGGAATGGGAGGCGGCCTGCTCGGAATAGGTGGCCCTGGAGGACCCCTGGGAGGCGTGGCTGCCTGGGGCGGCCTTGCTGGCAACAGAGGGGGTGCCATGCTTGGGGGTGGTCCCACGTCTTCCACCGAATCCAGTCTCGGAGGCGGTGGAGGCGCTCGGCTGGCAACAAGAGGCGGTTTTTCCTCCACTGGTTCCCGAATTTCCTCGTAAATCCTTTCCGGCTGCAAAGGGGCCTGCTGGGGAGGGGTGACTGGCTGCGGAGGAATCTCCTCTGGTTCTGGAGCCTGGGCTGTTTCAGGTGCAACCGGTGGTTCTGGTTCCACAGGGGCAGCAGCCGCAGGACTTGGAGAAGGTGGAACTGGTGGCTTGAAATTGACACTGATTACTCCGGCCTGAAAAGAAACAAAAAATACACTATAAGGATACAAGTTTAATAAAAAAATTTATTAATAACAGAATAGGATCAATTTTAATTCTTGTAGGAGAGATTGTCTAGAAGAATGATGAAATGGAATTTTCCTTGTCTACAAAAATATTCAGCCTAACTTGTAAATTTGAGTTAATTTTGATGCTTTTTAGTACTTGACAATACTAAATTTGTTCAAAGAGGACGAGCAATTCTACAATCAAAATTTTTTACTTTTGGCATTGGTTTCCTTGTCATTTGAGGCGAAGGCTGTGGAGACTTTGGAAGTGGTGGTCGAGAGGGAGGCGCTCCAGGCCTAATCGGAGCCAAAGATTTTGCTTCATCAACTTCAGTGGGCGAGTCCACTAAACCGGCCAGCGCTGGAACTTCCAAATCTGCAAAATAAGACACAATTTTTTTTAACAAATTCATTGGAGAAATAAATTTTTAATTGATAATGATAACAAATTTTTTCCCTGATTTCAAAAATATGTTTATCAAAAATTTACCTTGTTGGATGTCTGTGATTTCAGTGAGTCCAGCAATGGGCTGCAGATCACAGAGTGGCTGTGTGTTGTTGCTGCAAAGGGCCATTTCGAGCTGCGCTTGCTGCAACCAGTCGGGCGTCTTGAGGCACAGCTGCACTCGGTGTCCGCAGAGCTAAATTCAGAATATTGTCATTATTAAATTTCGAGGATATAAATTACAAACTCACAGTAAGCCTGCCTTTGTTGGCTGCAGCCAGGGCACACTCGCCCTCCCTGAAGGTGACCCACATGGTTTCTTCAACAAACCTGACCAGAATGACTTCGCCCACCTGTGACAACTCTTGTAGCAGCTCCATCATGAATTCGTCGGTGAAAAGTGACACGGCTTCGTTTTCATCCTTCACGTCCTCAACTCTGACCACAACCGTTGCATCCGGAGGTCCTTGCTGCTGCAGAACATCCAACAAAACCTAAAACAGTAAACTTTTAAATATTTCATTAAACACTATGTAAAATTTGCTACCTGGTGCCTTCTGTTTTCATCAACCTTGAGTACTTCAATATCTACAATTGCAATCACAGGTCTGTGGTCGCTCTGTTTCAGTTCGGCCCGGCCGTAATAGGCCAAGACACCTGGATTCCAGTCCTTGATGAGTGCTGTTAAAAAAATGTTTTAAATTATGCAGGTACAAAATTACTACCAAAGTACCATCATCAGCTATTTGCTTTCTGCGCTTCCACAGTACTCTGTCCGTCCAAGCAGGGGCTCTGGCTTTTTCACTGGTGTCAAAGTCGTCAGAGAAGAGGTCATATTTGTAAGTGGGGGGAAAGTCAACGTCGCCTTCGATGTAATTTTTGAAGCAGTTGCCCTCTGCTTGAGATTTCTGTGAAAAGATCCGTAAGATCAAATTAAAACTGCATAGGTCAAACCATTTACCTTTAATTGATCATTAAGCAAAATTTGCTGGAGATCTCCCTTCTTGACCAGTTCTTTAATTTCGTCCTTGTCCATGTCTATTCTGTAGTTGAAATCTCCACACCAGAAAACATAATCGTGGGAATTCAAGCTTCGTCCCTGTTAGAAAAATTTTAATTTTTTTTTCATTTTACTCAGCCTTGTAATACCATTGGAAAAGCAATTTTTCTGGTGATTTCCGCGTAGTCGGCATTTCGCTCGTTGACCTGCGACTGTCCTGCAGCAAAGTGGGCGCAAACAAAGCACATGGAAGTGTTGAATAAGACCAGTCTGATGGCAACGCCACCCTTGTTACCTGATTAAATAAAGATTTTAGTCACCCAAGCAATTTGCCTTTAAAATTAATTACCAGTGGCTCCTCCGAGACCAGTTTTGACAGAGTCGACAGCAACGTCTCTCAAGTACGGAGCAAGTTCCGGCTTAATGAAGAGGAAGAGGCAAACGCCGACTAGCTGGACATAGGTGACAAGCGCAAATTTGTTGTCTCTGGACAAAACTTTCTGCAGCTCCACTGCCCATAATTTGGCATTTTCCGAACTGAAACCAAATGATTTGATAAAAAAATAAATTGACAAACAATTTCACTCTAACCTTGCTGCCATGATGTTGCTGGCATTCAGATCAACAATTTCCTCAAATCCAATGGCAAATATGTCAGACGACTTGTCTGAAGGTTCATCTGGGTGTGATAAGTCAACCATGGCTGTTTTGGAATTGAATTTCATAATTTTAATATATTATATAACTTCTCAGTGGAAATGTAGTCACTTTTCTTTTCATGTCAGAGTTTAAATCAATTAATTTTTTTAAATTTACTCACAATTGGATCTGCTGATTTTAATAGCATCTAACAACCAGTCAGCAAGAGAGACATCCTTATAGGCAACACTTCGAAAGTGTTTTCCTCCATTCACATTGTATGTCCCGACAGAAACCCTCAGACTTGTCGGACTGGCGTACTCGTAATACCTTTTGCACATCTCCCGTAAAACAGGAGTGGGAGCTATTGATTTAAAAACATTTAAAAATTAAACCATGAAAATTTAATTGAACCAACCGTGGAGCATGACTTGAGGGAGAAGGATTCGTGCCCTGTCTGCCAACTCGCTGTTCAAATTGGACCCGACCAGCAGAATGTCTATTGCCTCCTGCTTGCTGTTGTCCAGCAGGTTGTTCTGAATTGTTCTGGCCGCTGATCTTGCCCCATCCATAAGCTATTGATAAATCAAATTGATTAAGAATTACGATCACAATTGTTTAAAATTCACTTTTGATCCTCCCTGAATGGCTCCAGTTCCAGCATAAATCTTGCTCACTTCGTTGCCGTTGTTAATCCACATTTGACGAAAAACTTCCTCAAATCTTGAAACCATCTGCTGCTTTTCCATTAAATTCAAAAAGGTCAACTGCCTTGTTAAATTCTGAAAAAAATATATTTAGATAAAAATTAAATTAAATATATAATTTTTTTTCCACCTCAAGACCCAAAAAGGTCTGGACACAGTTTGTTCTGTCAAGACAGTCGAGGCAATTGGTCCTGATGGTGCCTCTCTGAATAGAATGTACTTCATCTCCCACCGAGCTAAAAATGCCAAAAGCCTCAAAGTGCCGGCGCATCTTGTTCATCATCTTGTTCAGATTTTTGGTGTTGCCTCCGCGGCATTCCTGGTGGTAGTCGAAGATCAAGTGGGGCACTTCTCGGTGCAAACTGCTCGCTTTGTGGTGAGCCTGAAGAAAAATAATTTTGTTTTCATAATCACATGAATGATGAAACACAATACTTGGAAGAGTTGACTGAGCATGGCCTCGCCTTCCTTGGAGCCGACCAAACTGGAACCAAGCAAATTGACTATGACTTGGTGTCCGTAGCGCTCCTTCATGCAGTCCATGTGTCTTTCAAATGCTGGACCCGACACTTCGTATCCCCGGGACATTTTCACTTTGTGAGATCCGACCTTTAAAAAAGTTTTTTTTGTTACAACATCAAACTAAAAAATTTGTAAAATACCCCAATTAAGTCAAGGGTAATAATTTAATTAGTTTAAAAAAAATGCGATACTATTTATGTATTTACTTAAAATAATAAAAATTCACAAATAAATCTTTTTTTATTTAAATGAACTAACCTGCACTCCTGGCTGCTCCCAAAAGAGGGGAACAGAGCCTCTTGTCTGGACAAAAGAGGTCACCTCCTGGTCTAGGTAGATGACCTGCTCAGTCTCAACAAAATTCGCAACATATCCGTCATCGTTGCTGCCTCGGACATTGAATCTGTACAAAATTTATTAGAAAAAATTGGTTCTTTAAAAATAATTATGTGATTAAAAAAAGTTTTAAAACATATCAGTTATACAGATCATTATTTTATTTTACCTCGTCCCTGCCCTTTCGCAGCTGAGCCTTGAAATAATTGCCACAGAAGCCTTCCTGTGTCCCACGTAGACAGTCCTGATCTCAACGCTGCCGCACATGGCCTTCAACAGCCACTGACTGCAGTTGACCCCAAACCGCATCATGTGCACATGCAGCATGCGATTCCTGTTAATTCTCTTGATTAATAAAAAGAGGCTCAAATTTTGAAAACAGACCAGAAGAACCGGTTGTCAGTTTGGTTGGCGTTTTTCTTCCTCTGGGCACAGAGACTCAGATCGATGGGTTCCCCAGACGAGGACCAGCTGAAGTAGAAGGTGCCTGAGTTGAGCAATTTGCGCACCTCTGTGATGCGCTCCTCGTCCTGCTGCTGACCACTGAGGCTGACAAAGGTCGTCGCTGTCACTCGGAACACCTCCGAGTCGCCAACTTTTCCGATGGACACACATCCTGTCACCATTACCAGGAACAACACTTGCCTGTCGCCTGGAAGTATTTTTATTTTAAATTTATGAAACGATTTGTAATAATTTGAGCCATACCAGCATTTATTTGGAGCACCCCTAAACATCCGTAGGCGTCCAAAACTTTCGTGTACTGTCGTTTCACAGATTCTGTCTCTTGCTGAGCTGGAAATTAGAAAAAAAATTTAATGATTTTATTTTCTTTTTTAGTAAAAAAAGTTTCAATAAAAAAGTAGTGTAAAAGTTCACCCTTTGAAATTGTATAAAAGAACAATCAATTTTTGTATTTAAGTCAGTGGATCGATTGGAACAAAAACTGCATAGTTTTGGAAATTCTTCTAAACAAATTACGTGGATTTATTTTCAAATAATTAATTTAGCCCCGTTCAAAGAACAATCGATAACCCGTTTTCAACGTGTATAGCCTTTGACATTAGGAGGACAACACAGGGCAAACGACAAAGGGGGTGTATTTAGGGGCGGATCGGAGGCCTCGGGGGGCGGCGGAGCGACTCACAGAGGACGGCGACCGCCTGCGACTCGAGCAGCAGGGTGTCCTCCTTGCCCCTCTGCTCGACCAGCACGCTGTAAGGGTTCGGAGGGCTGATTTTCTCCAGCACCCGGAACCCCTTGCCCATCGCCATGGCGGCCCTTGCTGGATGTAGGATGGAGTGGATGGAGTAGAGAAAATTCGCAGATTGACACGCCCACCCACTAGGGGGCACGGGTGACCTCATTTCCCATTGGTCGGCAAACAGCGCCAAAAGAGATTTTTTGAAATTTGCCCGCGAATCTCGCGTGTCCCTTTGATTTCATGGTGTGTTTTGTTAGTTTTGAAATAATTAACTGAGATTTTCCTAATTACAAAATCGTTTGATTCCCTTAATTCGGCTGTTACATTTTTAAATCCAGATTTTAAAAACTTCACGGATTCTAATCTAATTATTTCTTTTTGAATTTTCTAAGAATTTCAGAGTAAAATATTTTAAGGAAAACAAATGAACTGATATGTTTTTTCTGCATTTATTGACACTTTGATGCTCCACATACTCTCCAAATATATACATAAAATAATAATATTATTACGATACCTATAACAACAGTTGATAAAATACCAAATGTACACACATACACATAGTTTGCTTCTCTTCAGCGAGAAAAATACTTGCTCGTCTCCTTGAGAAAGCTTTTTACATTTCAATTATTCGCTGAATAAAGAAAGCGCAGCAGATCAACAATCACAACATCTATTCCAGCTTTTAACGGGCAAGATTTGACTTAACCATATATTTTTTTTCAATACGAACACTACACCAATTAAATGTCAGAGATGTTCTCGAGAGCTATAATTTATAATTTAAACTGACCCAAAAAATTTGAATTAAAATTGCTTATCAATGTTAATTGCGATTGTTACACAAGTGAATTAATTAAATGCATTTTAAGACTCGGATCGACTAAAATTAAACCAACACTCGCTCTCAGTTATGAAAAATAAGGAACATCTAAAAATCTACGCGTCTCTTTTTCATATATTGGCAGGGTCTCTAAAATTAGCATTCAAATTACAAAAGCGTGAAAATATTGCGCAATCGGCCGAGGCAACTATCAATGACTCTGAGCACTTCGTTTTTAATTTCTAAAAATAAAGACTTAATTAAAACCCTGCTCAACTAAAGGTTAAAAACGTTTGATTTCATAAATAAACATACAGGTGAGAGATGAATAATTTTTCGCTATATACTTGTTAAAATACCCAAAGGCTGCTCGGAGAAGCAGCCAAAGCTCCCCGAGCGGCCGCTGGTTGGTCTTTTGCTCGAGAAAATCACATCAAAAAATATTGAGGGGGGCGAACACTACTGGGCCGGGCCGGGTCACGGTCAGGGGCCTTCGGAAGCCTCTACAAGTAGTGAAAGCAGCAGTCTGGGGGCGCTACGTGCCAGCCCCAGCCAGAGACCGGCCCGAAAGTTTGTGCTTGCTGAGTATTTGACACGAGAGCGATCTTTGCCTCTTTTAACAAAGTTACTTTATATATGCATGTGAACAATGTAACCCGTGAATCAACTACTGGTACGACTGCTGACGGAACATGGAGCTGATCTCCTCCATGGTCTTGTTCTTGGTCTCGGGCACCTTCTTCAGCACAAACAACACAAAGAGTGCCAGCAAGAAGGCGAACACAAAGAACACGTTGCCGCCTATCACCTCCTGCAATCAGAAAAAAATCAGAAGTTATTACAATGTTTACAAACATGGTAGAAAAATATGATTTTCTGAAACTTTGTAGACCCTTTTAATTCCCATATTTTATTAATCATTTTTTTAAATAGTGTCTATGTAAGGTTTTATGCTTTACCTGCAGTGGCAAGAAACCAATGCCAACGATGAAGTTGGCCGTCCAGTTGACGCAAACTGCAAGAGAAGTGGCCGCCGGCCTGGCCGACTGGTTGAACAGCTCGGAAACAAGGAACCAGGGAATGGAGCCAGGGCCAGTGGCAAACATGATGACGAAGAAAATGACCAGCACAATGCTGAAGTACGAAATCCACAGTGCCTCAGTCTAAATATAAAAAAATTAGTTTCGGTTTAATTTTGCAAAACTTAAATTATTTACCGCGTATTTGAGGCAAATGGCCAAGAGGATGGTGTCGAAGAACATGCCAGTGAAGCCGACAAGCAGCAGGGTCTTGCGTCCAGCCTTCTCCACCAGCACCAGACTTATGATGGTCATGATGACATTCATGGTGCCCATGGCGATGGTGGCCAACTGTGCGTGGTCGTCGCTCAATTGGGCCATCTTGAAGATTTTGGTCGAGAAGAACATCACCTTTGAGGAGGAAAAAAATTATAAAAAAAAATCATACAAAAATTTAAAAAAAAAAAACTTACAGCGTTGATGCCTGAGAGTTGCTGAGCGATCATGATGACAACGCAGATAATCAGGGGGCTCCTGAGAGACGAGTTGATGAAAAGCTCCTTCAGGGTGACCTTGGACACCAATTTAGCCGCTTCGTACTCGGAACGCATCTCCTCCATCTCGTCGTGGACCTCAATGGTGCCTCGGAGCCAAGTCAGACCTGAACAAGTTAAAAAATTCAATTTAAATATTGAATTAAATAAACAATTGGAATGTAAGTAATTTAAAAAATTTGTTTTATAAAAAGATTAAAATTTTTTTCAAAAGCTCACCTCTTTGAGCTTCGAGTTCCTTGCCAGAGTTGAGCAGGGTGAATTTGGGCGACTCTGGGCAAATGGGCAGGGTGGCGAGCTGGAAGATAGCGGGAAGGGCGGTAAGGGCAAGCAGCAGCGGCCACATGTCAGGGGTGCCGAGCACCGAGCCGAGGCCGAAGAGCTGCGACAGAAGGATGGAGATGGTGATGACCAGTTGGTAGACGGTGCCGACGGCGCCTCGCAGGTGCACCGGCGCGATCTCGGCCAGGTACATGGGGGCCAGGCCGGCGTTCAGACCAGAGTTGATGCCGATGAAGAAGCGGCCCAAGATCAGCATTTCGTAAGAGCCGGCAGACTTGGCCGCTCCCATCAGCACGGCCGCCAGGAACACCAGCACGTTGTTGATCAGCAGACCACCCTGACAAAAATAATAATAATAAAATTTAAAGTCAGATTTATTAAGATGAACGGAAAAAAAATAAATGTGTTGAATAAAATATATTTTTAATAAAATTAAAAAAGGAATGTGACCATAATTTAATTAGAAAGTTGTAAATGCAAAAGATATTTCGATTGCATTTCATTAAATACTTTCTGGATTAATTCAAATCATTCTGCTTCTGCCTACCTTGCGTCCAAACTTGTCAGCAACGAGGCCTGTGATGCAACCGCCCAGCATCCCGCCAACGCAGAAGAGAGACACGGCCAGCGAGAAAATCATGGTGACAGTTTGCTGGTCTGGGACCACACCCGATCGGGCTTCCTGCACAGAGCTGATCCATTCCTCAATCAGCTAAACAGAGAAATAATTAAATTATTTTCTTGTCCGATTGTGATAAAAAAAAGGGTGCGCACCGTTTGAGGAGCATTTACGACTCCGGTGTTGTAGCCATGCTGGAAGGCTGAGCCTAGGGCGGCGGCCGAGATCGCAAACGCCAGACGCCCATTGAATCCCTGAAACACGCACAATCGCTTAATTATTTAATTGGCCATCGAAAATAAAATCATAATTAAACAGTCAAGGTTGATTTTGTTGTTGTCCTGAAAGACCTTATTCGCGGGTCTTCATTGAATTTGTATATTAACTCGCCCCGGGGCGTCTCGCTTTCAAAGGTTTCCTATGCCTTGACAACATCGATCTGCGAAATTCGCCTCAAGTTTTTGCTATTTCTGCGCCAACGAGACGAGAATAGATGGAGATCAATTACTTAGACTGATGATATTGATCAAGAGAGAGAGAGAGAGACTGGAAAGGGCACTTCAATATTTTGATTTTCAGTTTCCAAGAGCCACGCCCGATCAAGACTCAAGACCAGTATATTAAAAGCACATTCCGGCTGATCACCAGCCATAAATTAGTCAAGGTTGAGTCTCTACATATTTTAAAGAGGCGTCAAGGTCGATTTTACGGGAAGAAAAATATAAACGCAGAGAAATAAAAAGTGAGCCTGGAGAGATCGACAGAAAGGTAAAAAGTATTTAATTCATTTTTGGATATTTGCTAAAATGATTCAAATAAACAAAATTCCGAAACATAATGTTTAAGGAACTTGAAAAATCTGATGTTCTTCGTGGCAGAATTTATAAATTCTAGGCAAAATTGGGCAGAAAAAAGAAAGAGTTGTAATAAGCAAATTCTGTTATCAAAATTACAAATTCAGAGCCTCAAAATTTGTTTCTTTTTTCACACCTTATTGGTCAGGCTGGAATGGTCAGAACATCAAATTTGGCGAAAATGTAGCCTGCACGACCACGACACGCTTGTCTACTAAATTGAGCAGGTAAAAAAATCAAATTTAGGCAATATCTTGACAAGTATGTAGTGCGGGTTGCATTTAAAAATCTGATGACCTGCGGTCAAAGAATACAAATTTTATCAACAATAAAAATGTTTGTTTCTCGTTAGAAACAAGCTTGTCCTCATTAATTGAAATAACATTTCGCATAATAATTTTGTGCATGTTAATTGTGGCACGGAACATTTCCAGACTCCACTCAGCACAAATGTGAATGGGAGACAAGTGCACTCGCCTACATAAGAGTTTTACTGTTTTGCATATCAACGCCATAATTCGCACAGCGAGCGAATTTTATCTGGCGTGCGTAAATCATGCAAAAGACGGGAGTGTCGCTCTGTGGGCGAGAGACAAAAAAATAAGCAAGACGAGAAGGGCTCGTGAACCAGTTTTTCTGAAAGCAGTTCACAGCTTTTCGAGCAATTTCCTTGGACGAGCCTCTGTCGCGCTCGAAGGTCGGCGGCTCCGAATTCATATATTTTTTTTACAATCAGAGAGAGACACGCCTGGAGGAGCAAAAGGTCGCATGGGCTGAGTGACGAAGAGAAAGCTGAACTATGCCGAATTTGGGATTCTGTCAGTTTTCGATTTGAGAGAAATTTGCATCACAATGTAATCCTACAGGCGGAGCAGCAATTTGACCAATTTTCATAATTACAGCACCTTTGTAATTTTACAATTTTTTTGCTCGGCGCCTTTTAATTAAAAGGAAAACATTTTTACGATTCAGCGAGCAATTAAGATAATTAACCGAGCGCACGGAATAAAAATAAACCCGAGGCCTCAGAAAAATTCCGTTTTCTGCTGGCAATAATTATATTTTTACACACACACGCGACCTCTCAGGTTGCAGAGCGAAAGGCGCCAATGCAGAGGTCCACACGTGTGCATATATAAAGAATAAAAGAAGTGAAAGCTTATTATAGAGAATACGAACCGGCAGCATAATTTTACTATGGGCGCGAATTCGGGTGTCTGTTTGCAACCGCGATAAAAGTTTTATCTGCACTCAGACAGAGAGCGGAAACGGAGCCAGCTGCGCGAATGCTGCCGAGCTCTCGGTTTTCCCTCTTTGATAAAATAAACACGAAAGGACACGGAGAGGACGAAATAGACGCGGCAAGGTGCAGGTCTATGCTAATTGCATGTTTGCATAGGACACGAGGCGATAAGTGGTTCACGGCGAAATAGAGAAAAGCGGAATCGCCTTGCGAAATCAAATGCGTTACGTAAGAAATTTTTTTTGAAAATCTACAAACAAATTTTTTGATTAAAAAATCCTTTGAAAAATTCAAATTTCGCAAAGATCTAAAAATTAAGTTTTTAATTTTGTAAATTAAAATATAACATTGAAATTTTCTGATATATAATTTTTTTCGTAATTTAAAAAAAAATGAAATTCTTATGTACATACCGCTCTTCTTATGTAAGGCATGTTTGAGGTGAACAAGAAAGTGTTGCCAAGCGTTAACCATAAAGGAGTACGCGAGAGACGCGAATTGTGTGGCTGTCTTGAGCGAACGAAACGCGGCGCACCGAGCCCCCCGCGTTTTATACCGAGGGGCTTGCGGCGCGGCCCTCGCTCACGATTGGCTTGGAAAGCGGTCGAGCCTCTGCGTTTTTTATCGTTGCATCAGATTCTTGCGTCACCACCACACTCTCGACGTGCGGCAGAAACAGAGGCCGGCGTCAAAGGGGTAAATATACTAAAAGTATGTACGTGTAAGGTGTTTTGTAAATAAGAGCGGTAAATAATGCATATGTAGTCGACCAACCCGCAAGTCGTGCAAGTGCAAACGTTGGTAAAATATAAACAGGATGTTATTGAATTTGCAAGTTCACGGCCTCAGACATTCAAATTTATTTCAATAAAATTGTTTTCAATTACAATTAAGTTTAAAAATTCTCTACTAAATTTTAAATAAAAATTTAAAATGAGTTGCAAATATTTTAAAATAATTCTAGACTATATTGCGATAATTTTGTTTCCAAAATAGGCAACTTTTAGGGCTCAAACTCTACGAGTCCAAGGAAAAGTAATTTTTAACCAAAAAAACTCGCAATGTCATTTTTTAATTATTGATTTTTTTTTTAACGCAATAGAAGTATTTTATTTTTTAATATCCAGCATTATTACAAATAAGAAGGCAAGAGATAAAATCATGAAGTAAGTATTTTTCCTGAAAAATCGTTTTAGTCTCTCATCTTTTAAGAATGACACAATTTGTAAAGACCTGTCGTCAGAATATTCTGGAGTGAATAAAATAATCCAAATAAATTTTTCACTGGTCTATAAAATTTGAATCAAAATTTTCTGATTGTAAAATTTTCTGTTAATTTTTATATATATATTTTTTTTTAATCTTAGTCTGGGCCAGTCTGGGCATTGCAATTAATACATTTGTAAGCAAGGGAAGTGTTTTACCATGGCAAAAAATTATTGAAGTCGTGACAAGTATCGGGCTTTCACCTTGCAAAACGCCTGACAACTTCAAGCAGAAAAGTCTCGCTCTGCCAAGGCGAGTGTAAATTACAAAACTAATGCAGTTCCATTTCCTTCCTCTCGAACAATCCGTTGAACTTGTCAAGATCAACCAATCAAAATGGAAAAAAGCATTTTGTCCCTTTTCAATGTCAAATCACATTTAATGATTTGCGACACTCAAGGAATCAATCAATCAATCGTGAATTTTATTTCACATTAAATTTACGGCTTTGGACGAACAAGTGGACAAAAAGTTGATCTCCTTGTGAGTAATAATTCTAATATAAATTAATCCCATCCTGCGATTGGTCGGATTTTCATCCGTTTTTCCTGGTAGAGAAAACCGGTTGGGGCCGAGATCTTTGAGAGGCTGCAGTCGCGCCTTTATTTATAGACAAAGCAGACAACAACTATAAAGCTTTCTGGTGTATAAGACAGGTCAATGGAATGCTCGCAGAGAAAGAGCATGGTTTTAATTTAAATGGAGAAAAATAAGTAAGTAAAGTCGTTTGTATTGAGAACGACCAAACTTGGAGTTTGGAGCCGACTATTGTTTTTCAAAAGAAAAGAAAGAGCCAATATTAAATTCATTACTTGTAAGTCCAATGGATATTCCAATATTTGCCGCTTTTTTCTCAATTGACACTGTACATCAAGAGAAAATATTTTTCTAGTTTGAACTTTTTGATTCTTGATCGGTTTCATAATATCCAAAATGAGATGGATTAAAAACAAATTACCGAAAAATGAGAAAGGTTTTTTTATTATTAATAGAGGGAAGTTTATGCTGAAATCAAAATTTAATGTTGATGTTGATTTTTAATCTTTGAATAATATTTAATTTCCAATATGACATGAATTGAGAGAAATAATTATTAAATATTAATTATTTTTTGTAATAAAGAAATCCTCAAAATTGGGTTGAAAAGAATTGATAAAACTCCGTCAATCATTCACAGCGATAAAGTCCCTTGATTAAAAAAAAATATATATCAATAAAGCTTATTTTTAGTTAAAGCATTTTTTTAATTTTATCAGAGTTGAAGTGGTCTAGATATGGTTTAATTTTTTTTTTTTATAGTTTTACGGCGGTGATTTAATTGCTGTGCGTGTATTCTAGGAAATGCAATTGTCACTAGAGATTATAATTTCTATCAGAGTGACAAAAATTTTTTCTCAGTCACACCCATTCAATAAAAGTTTTTCTGCTCAATTTAAAAGTCTTTGATCGTAATTCCAGTCAGAAGTAAAAATTCACTTATCTTAATTCAGCTGTGAACTCACGCCACAAAAAGATAAACCGCAATTATACTGCTCTAGACGCCGCTAATTAATCCTTTTGGTAAAATGCGTCTAAAGTTCACAAAGAATTGCGGTTTGGGAAATTTTCCTCTGAAGTTTTGTGCAGATTAGATTTTCATGACGCAAAAAAGGAAATTGATGTAGAGTTCTTTTCTTATGCTCAAAAGTGCGTGATATGATTGAAATGATATAGGCGAGGGCAGATGAATAGAAATAATAGTTGTGAAGGCAACGGTCGCGAATAATGCAAATTAATTCTTGAGTACCATCAAGCGGACTTTGGTGAAGGTCACTTTAATAAAGCTTTTTGCCGGCCGGTCTGCGCTGACCAAGCACTTTTCGACTGCGATTTTTTCTGCTCATCAATCACA